CCCCCTTCAACCCACCATAATCCGTGCCAATCGTGTGAACATCGACACGCTAACTTTCCGACAATTTATACATTCTTTACCGATTTTTATTCGCTGGTTTTACACCGTTCTATTCATTTTCCAATTACTGACTACCGAATTTGCGAAGTTTCACCCGAAAATTCAAGGTCGCGCTTCAGGGGTTTAAGAGTTTAATTAGAGTCAATGGTAAGGGGAGGAATAATGAGGAAATAATGGAAAATTACGGAAATTGTTGTTATCGGTTTGTCAAGTTCAAGTTTAAATTTAAATAGCAGTCTAAAATTAACGAGCAGAAGAGATTATGAATAGTCATTCTCGGGGTAATCAATTATGAAAAAATTGGTCAAAGGCTATCTGTCCGTGATGGAATCCGCGAATTATTCAATTCAATATGAACTTCACTCTCATCGCGATCTGTTCAAATTGACTTGAAATTTATTTTTTAAATTATAGAAAATGTTAAATTCATTTCCGATAATCAACAATTTTCTCAGAGTCGCCAATTTATCAAAATTATTAGTAAAATTCTAATCGCAAAACCGAACGCGGAATAACGAAAAACTTTCATATAATTTCGTTGCTAATTATTTCAATTATTTCACAATAAATACCCTGGGTAAAAAAAAAATTGTAATCGGAATATTTTTTCCAAATTTTCAAAAAATTTCTGGAAAATTTTTCAGAAATTTTCTTTTTGAAAAAAAAGTCGGAATACAAAACAATTGTATTTTTGGGAAATGTTTTGAAAAATTTTTCAAAAAGTTGTTTCGGAAAATTTTTTTATAATTTTCTAGAAATTTTTACGAATATAATTTTCTCTTTTTAATTTTTCAATATTCTCCAAAAATAAGCCATCTAAACTATAAAAAAAATTTCCTATTCAAATTTTTGAAGAATTTTTCAAAACCTTACCCAAAAATAAAATAGCTTTGTTCTCCGATTTTTTTTTATAAAAAAAATTTTCTGAAAAGTTTTTCAGAAATGTTTTGAAAATTTCAAAAAAATATTCCGATAAAAATTTTTTTATCCGGGTATGCAATTAAATATTAATAAATGATGGAGAAAATGGAGGACGTGGGGTATTAAACAAATTTTTTCCCTCCCACCATTTAGCCATGAGAAAAAGATAATTGTAACCGATTAAAAATTCAAAATAACTGAAATAAGAATTGCGCGATAGTAAATACGATTCAAAATACGTCCAAAGTTCGACGATAATACTTTTATATCCGACAGTTACATTGTCAGTCAGAAATTTATACTCAATAATTTCAACGGGGCTATCAAGAGTCGAGGGAAAATTCCAGTGGGTTATAAAAAAAAAGCAACAATGGAAGACTCGTAAAAACTATAGAAGTCGACGCGCATCGGTGATTATTTACTTTTTCATTCGCTGACTAATTCTATTCATCTCTACGAGAAATTCTCAATTATGTATGCATATTCAGACAAGAATAATCACTCTGGGTGTGCGGAATGTAATGACTGCAGGCGTTAAATCGCAAATTGCAGATATCAAGCAATAACAGATAACGATACGCGATCATTCGGTTGATTGTCTATTTTTCACCTTCCATCACTCCTAAATCAATAAAATTATCAATCACTCAAAAATGATTAATGGAAAATTTTCCCACTGGATTGTTTCCCTCAAATATTTCCCTCGAATTTCCCCCATCAATCCCCCAAAATTTCCATCAATTAATAATACCAATTACAACCATTATTTTGATTTTAATAAAAAATAAAATTTCCCCAAAAATCCATAGCTAATTAATTAAACTATCAGCAATTACTAATCAACCCAAAGAGGTCACGACAAACAACACCTCGGGATTGACTAGGAAAATAGAATCCTGGAAAATTCAAGGTCGGCCATTGATATTTTCCCATTATTCCAATCTTTTATTCAACCACAAGAATTTTCCATGAGTGAATTTCTCGAGACATACGCGAGAATTACAGGCGTCGCTCGTGCGAGACAGCAAATTCGAAAGTTACCCGCCAACTTGCCCCCCCTGCCCTCTCCCCCCTTTTCCCACTACGTATCTTTAACAATTATCGTCATGTAAATGATGGTCTCTCCAGTTGAAAAATGCCACGAGGAAAAATAAAATCCGCGAGGACGTATGAATATAATTAATATGATCAATTCTCTATTTCAATCCTAGACTGAATTAATATTTGTGCTAATACCCGTGGGCTTTTATTTCATGTCAGTCAGATGTAATTACATATTTCCTTCTCCCATTCATTACACGTTTTTACCGATCACGAATATATTCACGATAATACCTGATTAAGAACTATCCGGTAATCATTACAATTAATTTATCGATTAATTTGTATTGATTGGTATCGATGATCATCGATCTGCGGTGGGAGAAAAATATTTTTGTATTTTTAGTATGAGGTAATGACGCATATTCATGCGTCTGTCCTGTTATCTTTGCTATTTAATTACTCGTAAGATTATAAATTTATTTGCAAAAGTGGTGTTTTTTATTTTTGCGAAAAATAGGTGTCAGCCTTGACGAACGTATTTTACATTAATTTTATTTCATGGGATGTGAGATGTTTTAAAATTAATCGCTCGACATCAAAATCTCGTTAATACGTCTCGGATTTTTATTCCTTTGTCAGTAGTCGAGATGGATGAGCCTGAATTTTTTCGCGATTATTAACGGTGTGAAAGAATCGGTTACTTTTGTGAAGATATTTAACCGTAAAAACCGGAAACCCTCGGGATTTTATTCCGAGAATTTTAAAAATTTCATTTCCCACTGATTACATTGTATTACGTTCAATTTTTATCGATGGGCATTGAAGTGCCATAACAAAATATGGTATAAAATAATTGGCTAGAAATGGCATGCGCAAACCGAATTACACGGTTTACCGATTGCTTTCTCAAAATTAACCACCGTAATTACAAATCTCGTGCAATTAGTCGCACCGTTTTTAGTTCGTTAAACTCGCCATCATCTCCATTCGTCATTTTTCATTATAAACTCGGGAAAACAGTGAAATTCGGAAAAAAATCGGCAAGACGATCGCCCCCCACTAATTCCCCTGACATTTCACCGACAAATTTTCATCTAGAAATTTTTTTTTTTTTCAATTACGCCAATTTCTGGGAATTAGTAATTACTAGGGCGGACTGGATTGGTAAATACGTAAAGACACTCGTAAATCGGCAATTCCCTGGGTTGTGGGGGAGATATAGAATTGATTTCACGTGTTGTAAAAAAAAGAGAGTGGATTTTCTGTTTTTGTGGGAGTGACGGTGTCAGTGGTAGCCATTTGTGTAATTAAAAACGAATAACAAAGTTATATTTGGTGCAGTCGGGAAAAAAAGTAGCAGTACTACAGAAAATTGGTTCAATTCCCAACTTTCCAGTGCGCGATTTCTCTAGTCGTTGCTTATACAGTTTTAAACTTGTGTGCGCGCGCAGCCGTCGCCACTGGGTCAATCGCGTGCTAGTCAATGCGCGCCAAATGAGAATTATCTACTTATCCACTGTCAATGCCACTTTATCATTTCAAATCATCAAATTGTAATCAAATTCCATTCTTCAATTAATTTCTTTATTCCACAGGAATTGGACCAAAAAATAGTCGATAATTCGAACGAGAGAATTAATTATTTTGGTAAATCCATTTACTTCCGTCTAGTAATTTCGATTGAAGAAAATCATTTGTTTTGTTAAACAACATTTTTTATCTGTTTTGATTTTTTAATTGATGGAATTTTTAAGGGGAAGAATTGCTAATTAATTTCAAATAATATTATCATACTTTTAAAAATATTTGATTCAAGGATTGAGTAGAAATTTCAATTTCCAATTTCCCCAATTTCCCTCATAAATAATAATTAAATATAATGTAAATAAATTAAATTAATTAAACAGTAAAATTATAAAAATCGATGAATCCACGAATGATGGAAATACTTTCGCCAGTGGAATGACTTCATCGAGTTTATAAAAATTCCGATGAGATTTCAGTCCACCAAATCGATAATTTCTCCTGACCCCACGCATTCCAGATATCCCCGAAGAACTCGTAATAAAAAAACAATAATCACAAAATAAATCACTCACCGTTTCCATCTCGAATCCACCGCCGTACACCATTTTCCGCTGACCTGAAGGACCGATGATTCTTCGAGTGTCTGACCAGTAGAAACAGCCACTGGATTGAAAATCCGCGGATCCTCCCGCGGATTACACTCCGGATATTTCACAGTTTCTCCAGTTCGTAAACTTCACGCATGAAAAATAAATAATGAATAAAAAGTGCGAGAAAATTTTTTAATTCTGTATGACTCCAATTCACATTCACAAAAGCACAAATCGCTGGAGATCTGTCGTTATGCACCGGGTGCAATTGTAAACAAATGGGTACCGGTATCGCGTGGTTGTGTTTTGCCACGAAAAAAAATTATTGTATGACTGCATCGAGCGACTACTTGCGCATGACTGAGTGAACGTTGAAGAAGTCAGTTGCGGCGTGGTGGTGCGCGCGAACTGCGACCTACTAAAATCGTCGCTGGTGCGCATGCGCACTGAGTACCCTGTCACCCTCCCACCGTTGGTTAATCCCCCTTCTCCTACCCCCCACCGGTGGTTAACCCCCCTTCTCCTACCCCCCACCGGTGGTTAACCCCCTTCTCCTACCCCCCACCGGTGGTTAACCCCCCTTCTCCTTCCACCCACCGGTGGTTAACCCCCTTCTCCTCCCACCCACCCACCAACAGTTGAACTTCTCTTTTCCGCTCGCTTTTCACCGGAGACATCGACGCCTCAGCTCTTTTACCTCTTCTCCATCTCGTCATCATTTCATCCTTCTCCCACAATTTTTTCCCCCTTTTCCCCCTTCACCCCCTCTATTCCCTCGTCAACCTCTTTTTTTTGTAAATATTGATACAGTACCGATTCCCTCTCTTCGATTTGTGAATGATCGAATCCAAGGAAATAAATACTCTCAAAACCGAAATGACGACGAGCAATTGCGTCAGTTGAAAACATCGCGACTGTCCAAATAAAAATGAAAAGAACACTCACCGTCATTCCGGTGATATCTAAGGCTCAATCATCAACAGGAACTCCAAAAAAAAAATCATTGGCGCCATTCCAGGTTGATGTCAAATAAATTCCCATTCTCCAATGAATAATTCTACACCAGAAATCAACAGCTTATTAATTATTTATTCATATTCCCGGCTTCGGAGGTATTATAAACATTTTTTGGGTTCTGATGGCCGAATTATTTGATTGATACCCGAAACGAAAAAATGTAGATCATTCGATTTTTAAATTCTTTCATCATGACATGAATTAATTATTCGAATGGACGAGTGTCTCGGGTTTAAAATAAAAAAAATTATTGAATATTATTTCACTCGTGTTCCTTTCAATAAAACTTATTCCCACGGATTTTATCATCGAGAATAAAATAGTACAGACATTGAAATGCAATTGTAATTCCTGATAAGACGAATAGAAAATTAAGATTACGTTTCGTTCACGAAAAGCGGTCCCCATGTGTGGAGAATAAGGCCCAGGGTACCGGGGGTTTCCGGAGAATTTTCACGGTTGGAAAATTGGATATAGAGTTGGGAAAAATTCATTTGCCACTCAGAGGAAAAATCAAAGCAATTTTTTTTTTTCTTACCGATATGTTCCGTTCACGAAAGACTTTTCCCATGCGTCGAGAATAGGCCCCAGCGGGAGCATTTCGGACGTGTGGATTGACATTCGAATCGATAAATACTTCTGATCTTATCAGCACGTCATGATTACTGAAAACTGCAATGATAAATGATGGAGAAAATTATGCATCAGCGCAGATAAATCTGATATTATTTCATTCGTCTATTGAAAAATCGTCGCCGGGTAAAAAATAGTTGAGGGAGTGGGAGAATGCGTTGATCCATGGGATAAATAATTGCACGATGAATTGCGGTTATAAACATTATGCGTAATGTGTCGTGAATGTACACCTGCAATTAGATCATGGACTGGAGGGTCCGGGGTGTTTAACCTGAGACATAACAAGAGAAATTTTCTCATTTGAATTTCATTGAACCGTAAAAATCGGGGATTTCCCATTATTAAACGGAAATAACTGAACAATTATTGTAATTAATATGAATTAATTGCGTTAATTGGTTGTTCTGTGGAAAAAAATTCCGGTGAGTAATCGTAAAAATTATCATAATTTGATGAGTCCTCTTGATGAGTTTTTTTTTTATGGGTAATTATTGTTGTTTATTGTCGAAATTGTGCAATTAATGTTTGATGGGGTAGACAATTGTTGGAGGAATGGATTTTCATTATTTGCGTGTCACATTATTCTTGAAGGAATTAAAAATAATTTCTCATTGACGCGTATCGCGGGTAGCGCAGGTATGTCACCGCGTGGGCGAGCATTAGATCCGCGATGATATTTCATTGAACTATCAAATGGAAATGAAACAATTGCGATAATGGCTCTTTGTACGTGACAATGGGAAAATTCCCCGTCAAGTGATCGAGTTGTCGCTGGAATAGTTTAACACCCGGTTAAAAAAATTGTAATCGAAATATTTTTTCCAAATTTTACAATTTTTCTGGAGAACTATTCAGAAATTTTGGTTTTTGAAACAAATAAAAATTTCAAAACCTTTTCCAAAAATTAAATTGTTTTGCGGTCCAATTTTTTTTTTCATAAAAAAAATTTTCTGAAAATTTTCCAGAAATTTTTGAAAAATTTGGAAAAAATATTCCGATTACAATTTTTTTTACCCGAGACCTTTCGCGGGATTTTTATTTTTAATTGTCAACCAATTTATTTATTTATAAATAATTTATTCTTCAGACCGTTATTTCTTTATTATTCACTTGCGTTGTTTATTGTTATTATTATTATGACAATTTTGGAGATACCGTTGGGTTGAAGAATATTTCATCACCTTTTTTAAGGAATGGACTGAAAAAATTATCGCGGAATTCATGAGAACTCGAGAATTCTGGGGATAAATAACATTTTTTATCAACATTCTTGTTGAAAAAATCTGTAATTATGTTGGCGCCACTTTTACCCTACGCCAACACAATTTCTGTCTGCGGAAATCAATAAAATAACAATTAAGGGGAAAAAATAGCACCGCGACGCCTTGCCCGCGGCAACGGGGAAAATCTTCCGCGTTCGTACATTTATTCCCATTTATTTGCGACATGCATTATTATTTTTTTCTGAATGGAGAAAAAAAATTTGCATAGATTAAAGTTGTTTGTTGTATCCATTGACTTCTTTATTTCTCACCCGAGGGCATTCGACTCAATTCGCGTGAATCATTTCTGATATCAAAGTTGCGTGTTCAATGATTTTTTTTTTCCTCTAAGATGACCCTTTAATATTCCACAATAAAAATGGCGTTCGATTTGTTTATCATGTCTAAATGTTTGTAAGGAATTATTGTTTGTTTCTATTTGGAAGTCGTGAATAAATTTTTGAACTTTATTTTAATTCTTTTTCGTTTTTTTTTTCTCCATTAAATTAATTGACTCTAGGTGAAGTGCACTGAATTAATTACACATATGCATGAGTTATTCGAGATAATTCACGTCAGAGCGATGAAAAACCACCGACGCATCAACGAATAATAAACAAACAAAAGGAAAAAATTATTTAGCTCCCACGAAAATGTTAGCATATCCGGAGTGCAAGTGAATTGAATTTGCGTCAGCAGAAAGTGAGAAATGCGGAGTCTCGGGATAAATCCCGGAGATAAATTCGCATTTTGCGTCGGATCTCCCTCTGAGGGATCATGAGGAAAGAGGAGGGACAGACTATATCGTGAGAGTACCACGTACAAAAATAAAGACTCATGATGTGTGTGAGACATATCCTGTGAATGAATGAAAAAAAAAACATCGAAAAAATTGTTCCATTTTTTCACGGATATCTCCACTGAAATAATTTCCACATTTCTTAGATTTTTCGTTGAATTAAATAAAACAAACTTCGACATGATTCATCTTAAAATTAAAATTAAAATTTCAATTGTGATTACCCGTGTAAAAAACAATTGTAATCAAAATATTTTTTTTTTAATTATCAAAAAATTTCTGGACAACTTTTCAGAATTTTTTTTTATGAAACAAAAAAAAATTGGAAAACAAGGCAATCTTGTTTTTGGGAAAGTGTTTGAAAAATTTTTCAAAAATTTGAATAGGAAAAATTTTTTGTAATTGAGATGGCGTATTTTTTGAGAATATTAACTCATCCGTTAACAATTTCAAAGATATTCATAATACGATCAAAAATGGCATAAGTCCACTTATCTCGTTATTCCCCTTAATCACAGAAACGTAACGATAACGTATTTTTTTTATCTTATGCAACGAAGGGGAGGGTATAAAAAGGTATTATTAACCCTCGTATGACCACTAATACCTGGATCGATAGACCTGAATCACTATCCTCCACGAAAGATTGTTATTAACTCCCTCTTATCTCCATCAACTAACAATAAGCCCAAGTCTCAACGTAATGCACTACATACAAGTACATAAACGAACGAAAAATAAACATGAAGATTAAAAAAAAAAATTGAAGTAGACATACCTACCAGTAATTCGGTTATAATAATTGCAATACCCCCGAGACATAATCCCATTGTTCAGAGGGAATTGAGCTGAGGATGCCCCGGGAATTTTATCTCTCTTTATTCCTCTTCAGGTACTCCTTGCAAGTATGAGGTACGACCCTGATATCGTACCCACTGATGTCGGGATTTTCAATCCGATAAAAAATATTCAAATTTCACGAAATCATTCAATACCTCTGGATAAACAATTTTATGCGCCGGTGAATAATAAAATTGCGAGACAATCCCAAGAGTTTTTTTTTTATTCATCTCCTAATTTTATGAGAGATTATATTACTGGGGGATTATTACTGGAATTGTAATTAATTGGGTAATTGTTGGGTATTTTTTAAGAATTATTCACTGTCACTTTTATTTATCCAGATCTTGAAAGTTCGTGCGCAAATTGTTCCCGAGGCAGTGCGATAATAAATCAGATAGCCCATTGACTATAATAATTCAATTGACCACTCCACACCTGATTAAACCCTAATTAACAATAAATTCAGCGAAATAAAAAAAACTGGGAAATAATTTCACTCACGCACGTATCAGATTTATCCCTCGAAACTCGAACAATCGGCAATCCCCATAATTAAATAAAACATAAACCACCCCTCTCATTTAATTACCCCCTCCTCTTTCCCCTCTAAAATAACGCAGACAAAAATAAATCCACACGCATTAATCAACTAAATAAATTCCCCCGACGACAATAAATTGCACAAATGATTTTTAAATGTAATGACAAATTCTCCGGAGTCCATGAAATTACAAAATTACAAGCGAAAAATTTACGCCTCATTTCAATCCGAATAAACGTAATTCGTAATTGATTGTGACATGAACTCATTGAGTATGCAGAGGGTATAATGTACATGCGTACCGTAGGTTATTGCGCCTCATTTTCCCCCCTCTGCCCCCCCCCCCATCTATTTTTTGTAGAGTTGCGTAAATATAGGGCACGACGTATGGTTTCCCCAGTAGAGGGGGCCTGACCCCCATGACCCAAACCCGAGAGTCTTGAGAAGAAAAAAGTGGTGGGGGATGAAGAGGAATAAAAAGGGACCAGAACGAGGGACCAGAACGAGGGACCGAGCGAGTAAAAGAGTTGGAGAATGCAGAGACCAATGGATGGGGTGGGGGATAAAAAAAAAATGTTTAAAAAAAAAAGGGGAATGAAAAAAAATAAAGGAAAATACAGTATATGGTCTGGTGCAAGTGGGAGAGGTACTCGGGGATAATGGTGGGGGTAAGAGAGATAAAAGTACACTAAAGAGACGTACGTTCCCACAAGAACCCCCCAAGATGCGTCCCGGCGTCGGGCCCCTGGACCCTCGATGCCCAGAAGCTGATAAAAACAGCTACAAAACTGCCTACCGGTGTTTTCTGCCTTTTGCTCCTGCGTTACTTCTATCTTCCTGTTTTTCACTTTTTCCTTTATTTTTCTTTTTCTTTTACTTTTTTACTTCTTACGGGGTTTTAGCTCGCGGAGATGGCCATCTATTTTGCACTTGGTTTTCCAATTTTCTCTCGCACCCTAACACCTAAATATTTAGATTGTTGATAATTACTGGAATTTGAATTCAATTTGAATTCAATTAAATCGTCTTTCATTTAACGTTCGTATATTTTTTTTTTTGGTCGTCCGACAATTATCGAAAATTGATAATGGGAAGAAAAGCAATCAGATGTCATTTAATTACGTAAAGATGGGGGAAAGGGGAGGAATAATGAGGAGAAAATCATGAGGGGTGTGACGGGGAGAGGAATTACGATTCCGAAGTGAGAGAAGGAAAGTGCGGAATATTTGAGATGATGGCGCAGGGAATAAAGTTATAATCATATGTATATGGGAGTTTGGATTAACGAGATGGGATTCACGGAGTTATCGGAATTTTAATCTGCCGAGTGAACGAGTGGAAAAAAGAAAAGAACCGGGGAAAAATAGAGAAGTCGGTGGAACGTCGGGGATTTTATGAGGAATTTACTGGTTGCCATGTTTACAGGAGCTACATTCCATTTTATCCGATGATTAAGGTGTGGACTAATGGTCAAGTGACACTGGATTAAATCTCCATGTCTTACCTAGGCGAATAGATAAATCACGATTTTCATTAATTTATTGTGCAGTTTGAAAATTACTGGTGAAATTTCAAGTTGAGGACATGAAATTAAAATAACTGATAAATCATCATTTTTATTTTTCATCACTCAGAGAATATTACGGTAATTTTCCATTTAATTGCATTTAGTCATTCATAAAAAATAATAATAATAAATAAATGAATGAATCGTTTTCAATCAAAATAGAATTTCAAGTCATACAATTGAAAATTTAAGTTAAAATGTAAATTTTTAATAGTTAATAATAAAAAATATTAGCGACACTGTGAATTTTTTCGGATTTCATGATTGGGAAGGGGTAAAAGTGATAAAATCATTCCCGCGATATCATAAAATGGACGAACGGCAAAACCGGTAATTGCAGTTCAATCGCAAGCCCTCGGTACCGGGCGTAATTTCATAAAGCATTGTTGCTATTGCGACATCGGTAAACCAACAACCGTGGGAAATGTATTCGCCATGTTTTTCAGAGGCGTATAGCCACGTTATGAATGTACCGAACCGAGGATTTAATAATGCTACTTGCAAAGACGCGCTTGCGGCTCAACACGAATACAAGTGAGATGAAGGAATCGAAACTTCAAGTGCGTTAGCAACAAATTTTCCAGTTGTCTCACGAGTTTGAATTCCATTGCACAATTGACAGATTAAAAAAAAAATAACAAGTAGAAATATCGTACATCGTCAGCTAGAATTCCAGACATTTCTCCGATTAAATAAATTGTTCACCCATTAAAATTGTTTCATTGTTTTTTTAAATTCATTTCGATAATTCATATTTTTTTATCAATATTTCAATCATTTCCGCATATTTTTCGCGTGTGTTTCGCATTTTTTTTTATTAATACCTCGTCAATATTTTTAATAATAATAATAATAATAATACCAATAAACTGTTTTTATGTTAATAATAATTATGAATTGTTATAAAAAATGAAGTTCAACGTGAATTTTGAGTGAATCAAAAAAAAATAAATGTTGACATGAGAAATTTTGCAATTTTAACGTTTAATTACCTGAGAATAAATCGATAACCGGCAAAATAGCAAATACAAATGCCAGGAATTGCAGTACAAGATGAACAAGTCAGTATCTAACATCTCATTTTTTCCCTCATCTTGATTCACTCTTTTCGCAATAAGTACGAAGGTAACAAGAATAATGAAAAAAAGAAGAAAAAAAAAAATTTGCGGCGAAACAAAACAACTCGATAAATAGAGAGAGAGAGAGAAAAAAAAAAGGATTACTTTGTTCTTACGTGTTTACCACTGAAATGATGATTATCACGTGATACCTCACGTGGATGGTGGATATCTCGGTTAATTAATCTGATCGAGGGATGGGGTTTTGAATTCAAAGGGAGAGACAGGGGGGAATCCCAAATCCTGAGATACAAGATTTCCAGTTATCCACAATAATTATCGCAATTGCAACAAATTCTTGAGTGATAATGAGATATTTTTATCTGAACTTTCAACCGATCGTAAAAATAATTACAGATCTGGCCGGGATGACATCATATTCATTATTTCTCGGCTTTTTATTTTTCATTCTGACGATTGTAATATTTATCTATTGCGGGATTCAGAGAAAACGTTTATGGTAATTGTTACAAGTTCACTCATCACTGCCGATTGAATGTTTAATAATATTGGTTGATATTCCGATTGAAGACTCAATAGATTAATATTATAATTAGCTGGGGATTTCCGAGGTTACCAGTTGGCTCTTATTGAACTTGTAACAGTGACTTCTCAGCAAGAGTTATGAGGTAATGATTGTAATAATAGGTGTTACCGAGAATAATTACTCGGGAGAGGTAAAGTCCGTTGGTTAAGTCGACGAACCAGTGAATTATTGAAAAATTGTAAACATCGTTATTGCAATTGATTCCATCGGAATTACTCGGACGACAATTTTTTTTTATCGAATATAAAGTATGGAATTATATTTTTAATTCAATTCACCTGAAAAATATTTATTTACTTTACTTTACTTCTAAATAAATAACAAGAAATTGCGCAATTATTCAAATGATTGAGGACTCGTTATTGCGAGTTGAGAATTAATTAAAAAATTACACGAAAATTTATGGATTTAGGGGTATTAGGATTAACCGGAGGTTGAATTTACCATACCATCGGTACACGAGAGAACGTCTCAATTCTACTGGTCGATACCACAACCGATTCCCTCGATCCTATCTCGAAGAGTCTCGCCAGGTTCTCGAACCAAAGCGCATGGCACACCAGAAGATAATGGTATCTGCTTAAGGATTCAGCCGATAAATTAAATATCGACGCCTTCCTCTGTCCATTTTTTTTCCCTCAAATTCAAGTATGGCAAAAGGTCTCTCCGATTTTTCTTTATTTTTGGAACTAACCAGTAACACACGTATCGGTTGCACTCGACGATTGCCATTACCCACAATTATCGATGTAAAAAATAATTTTAAGGTACGCGTGGGTGTTCCAGGGACAATTTCTCTGGTGACTCCTTGGGGCTGAGAAAGAGTTGTGGAGGTGGTGAAGATGGTGGAGGCAATAGGAATCAGCCAAGAAGGTCCGCTTTAATTTATTTAAATTACCACCATCGCACGAATGGCATTTCACCGATTCGCCATTGTCAGTGGTTTTTGTTATTTATCGATTTCGCCTTTGCCACCGGGCCAATGCGATTTAAATAGCATTATTCCTCACTTTTTTTTTTATCAACTTTATTTACTCTTTCGTATTATTTTTATCAGTTTATGTTTGTTTTCTCTTTAAAATTCTCTTATTGGTCTCTCTGTACTCTTGTTTTGCCTTCCATTCTCGATATCAGTACATGCCAACGGAACGCGAAGGTCTGACCTTCGAGTGAGCTTTCATGGATGACACCGAATTATAAGGAAATTCTTGCATTTATTTATTTTTCGTCGTTTAAAACCCTTTGTGGGAAACAGGATATGAATAAAACGTGATTATCTCTGTATTGAACTCGGCATTATAAAGGAATTGTCATTGTCAATTGTCATTGTCAAAGACAATTAAATTAAAATTCAAAAGACCATTTTTTAGATAAACTAATCCAGTTAATTCTGAAGAAATTCTTTCTGCTCTTTTGCTCTCACTTCATTCTCCAGCATTATCATTTTTTTATCGAGTGATTAATTCTTTCTCTTTGTACCCAAATACTTATTTAAAAAGTCCCTAATTCCTCTAATGGTCGTTATACTTGTCGCAGTGGGTGATTAATTTCTCGAAAGACACGTGAAGAAGTCTTCATGGAAAAAAAAGTGGAGGAGAAAAAAATAAACGAAGAGAAAGAATCAGTGGAACAAGTGTGTGAGGCACAACTGCGTCTTGAAAAAAAATTATCCCACGCAACCGTTGACAGCTGAGGGCAGATTTTTTTTAACTCCCTTCAAACGATTTTTATGTACATGGGAAATTGGACAATTGATTTTTATTACCATTTTTTAATCATTTTGATTTTATATTATACAAAACACAACGTCCTCCCATATATTAATCGATACATGTACACAAGCGTAATTACTACATCATCAAAGACCCCCGGAGAGTAAATCCTCTGGACTAAATAAAATATCATAATTAGATTCATTAACAAGAGATAATAATTACGTAAAACTAAAGTTTCACTAATATCTGAGTTTACACCGGAGAAACTGAAGGTAAAAAATTGGTAGAAATGCATACAATCGATGGATTTACAAGAGACATGGATAATTACACTAATCTTAACGTTGCAAATGTTTCACGAGTGCTCGGCCAATTAATAAATGACTGAATTACCCTAGAAACGTTTGCAAAGCGCTGCTCAACTCTCGATACACCTCTGCAATTAAATCCATGACAAATCGCTATTTTCTGCAGTGTGAATAATTATCTGAAGGAGAATTGATTTGTATCACCACGAGGATACAAATATCCTCACAAGTTCATTGGAAAATTTGCTAACGCCAATTCGTCACTTCCGGGAGTAATGAAAAATATCCAATGGCTTAAGGAGGATGCATCATTTACAAGGAATTAAATACGAAAAATCGTGTTTCGAGTTGAGATAATATCAGGATGAGTCAAGGGAAAATACTATTCAATTCTTCGATCCAATGATCATTAATTACATGACGAAAATGTTATTTCGATTGATTACTTTTTTTTTTCCTTCCTGTCATTCTGTCGACTAGCCAACGACCTCGGAGACTATTCGCGTGCCATTTCTCACTATCGATTGCAACTGTTGGGCTGCTCCCTGTGTAAAAAATCCAAACGTTTTTTTTTCTTTTTCATTAAAAATCGGTCGGGTGGAAAGAAATTGTTAGTCCTGGAATTATGCCAGTGGAAAAAGAAATGTCGAGAGATTAATTGACGTCTACAGAAAACACTCCCTGGAAAATCAAGTACTTTATCATTTCGCGGGAATTATCCGCAAGAAAAATTATATTCTCAGGAAAAACATCAAAAACATGTGTTTTGTAAATATTTTTCACAGAATACTCACCAATAATTAATAGAATAGGTATATTAAGGTCATAATAAAGTAATGAATGTTCTTTACATTCGTGAACTAAAAGTAATTTTTAATTTAATGAATAAACATGTCAATTAGTTAATTATTTACTTTTTCTACTGGGTTTTTCAGGACTGATAAACAAAAAAATGTTTAATTTACCGTAATCGCAGCACCAAGAAACTGACTAAAAACCCGAGTTGCCCCAATGGCGGCATTAAGCATCTGAGCTCTGAAACCCTCGGCCCCCTCTTGTCCCCTCGGTCGTTCCCCGCCGAAATTGAAATTGCTAAAAAGTGGAGATGGATAAGTAGAGCTTGGAGTCCAGTCCGGTGGTCTTGGTCTGGTTGTCGTAATTCTTCTCGGTGTCGTTTTCGGTGAGAGCGTCGTCGGGGCACCCTTCGCCTAAAAGTTAATCCATCAATCCATAATCCCTCCAGATGCAAATGACAATCACCAACAATTAAAATATACAACCATTGAAATGTAAAAATGAATCAAGATTTAAATGACAAATAATAAAACTCACGGCAAATGCCAGTTTATCCCTGATATTATTAATCGGCGTCGAGGGTCCGATTCCCTGAGACTTCAGTAATTCCGCTAGTAACGCGGCGTCACTAGGTGGTCCCGTCGAGGGGTCTGGGGCTTTCACCGAAGCTTGACCATTCAAAATGGACCTCAAGAAGCTCTCGTCATGCTCAGACACTGCAGCAGCTTTCGCTGGTTTATTCTCGTTGTTAGCTGCATTGAGAAGCTGGAGTAAGAACTTGGCGTCGTCCTCTGGTGAGAAGGTAGTGGATTTGGTTGTGGTTGTTGTTCTTGCAGTTGTCGAAGTTGTTGTTCTCGGGGTGATTTGAACGGTTGTCTGGGGTCTTCTGGTGGTGGCAGATCTGTCTGTCGTCGGCGGGGCGAGGATGTTCCTTCCGAAGATCGCCTGGAGGAGATTTGCACCGAATCTGAATGGAGGTTGCGTTGTCGGTGGTCTTGGTTGAGGTCTTGGTTGAGGTCTTGGTTGAGGTCTCGGTGATGGTCTCTGTGATGGAATGATCCTCGTGGTTGTTGTTGATGGTGTTGTGGTTGTTGATGGTGCTGCTGTTGTTGTTGATGTGGTAGTTGTTGTGGTAGTTGTTGTCCTCGTGGTTGGTGGATGCGTTGGGAACATCCAGGGTGTCTGCGTTGACGCAAAATCAACTCCATTACCAATTTTCACGGATGGTAATATTGGTAAGGTCGGTACAGGTGGTAGTGTCGACGTTACAGTGTCTCTGCTACCTGTATTGGATGGGGTGACAATGACCGTGGGTTTCCACGTCACTGATTTACTTGTGGTACTGGGAACTACTTTTCTCGTTGACGACTGTAGCAGATCAATTATTATCGGCTGCGAGGTGCTCCCGTGGGTTGGATATACATCCAGGGAATTTGGTGCTGAATTTGACGGCTGAATCGCCTTTGGTGAACGTGTAGGACCAGCATTACCCAGTGCCAGGGACAATATCTGCGGAGAATATTTCCAGGTTCCCATAAAAATTAATTACTACAGGCCCCTGCGTGCTGATTTCTTAGCGAAAATATTTTGCGCACTCGATTTATTACGACTTTATCATATCTAGTTGTAAATCGGTAGTTAAATGATATTATGAGACATGCCTGAGAGAAAAATCTGCAAATCACTCTGTAAATCTCTGTCAACCCCGGGGACAGTAAAAAAAAAAAATATCAAAACAGCTTTTTGGAGAAAGTAGATGACCTTCCGATTTTTCACACAAAGGTGCATGAATTTCAGTGTAAATTCTCGAATTAAAGGTGCGTAATAGGAAAATTCGGGATTGACAGGCTCTCACCCAGTATCTCATGAAATCAATGAAGTGAAAATTCACTGAAAGCAATAACTACATATTTCCACCGATACCAGTGCTGATAACAATGAATTCAATTAGTAAATCCAATAGTACCTCCCTCCTTTTACTTACCCAACTTGTTATAGTGAGAAATCGTGTTACTAGAATCTTCTTGAATGATTAAAAAATATATTTTAACAACCAGCCACCATGTAAATGAGACACCACGTGTTTAAACCTCAACACAAGGCATAGTTGTCCATAAAATACGACGCAGTAACTTGCGATACTGCACCAGGATAAACAAGTAGCCTTCAAGAACGACATTTGGATGACTATAAACGTTAGCAGCAGCCAGTGGCAGAGCATTAAATTAAGCATATATTTATCCGTGAATTATACATTATAAAAAAAAAGCACCAAGCGAAAAAAAGCCATGAAATACTAGAGACAGTTTCTCATGAAAGATTTTGTAATTAGCCGGTCGTATCCCCAACATCCACTAGAACGTGTCATCAGGATCGCCCGGGGCTTTGCGGTAGATGTAAAAAAAAAAACATCACGGGTGAATAATAAAAGGAATAGCTAAAGGATATAATTGAAAATAAAAGTCCTACAAAGGATCCCGAGATGGGGATAACGTGCACCCACTGACGTCATCCTCGTTACCCACGTCCAATGCCAATGGCGCGTAAAACGTTAATTATTGTTGGCGATTCACCAGAGACGAGGCGATTCGCATAATTGCCCGGTTGCACAGTGAAAAACCAGTGATTGAGGAATAAAAAATAGTTTAGACGTGGAATTTACTCAATCGTGGGTGCACGCACGCGACTGTACGTTTCTGATAGAGACCGATCGACACGAAAATAGTGTAGATAAAAAAAAAATTGAGAATTGATGAGGAAAAAAATGTACAGATGCCCGTGAGGCACGATTCAGAAGGTACAGGGAGGTCGAAACGCTTGGCAGGTGACCTCGGAGATCGTGCAATTTCTACAATCGTTTTGCGTTGGTTTATTCTGTTGAAGGGGGTTGTACAGAATTTTCTGACTCCAGGCGTACACCAGAATAAATCATGGCACGATTGTCAATTGGTAATTGGATTAATTAACGTCAATTGTTAATTGGATTATTCATCAGAGGATGTCTCAGTTATTCACGCATCTAGGATTACGTTTAAAGAATTGAAAAATCATTTGAAAAAAAATCAAATACATTCCGACAATCATTACCCCTGAGGATTAATTACTCTATTTCTTGGAATTGTGGGTTTATCAAATTGTTGATTATTTTACACTGAAATAATCACAAGGACTTTTACTGTTCATTATGGATAATTGTCGTGATAATTCATCAATGTTTTTCTTATTCCACCTCTTATCTACCGTTACTACCTCAGGGCGACGGTTTGTTTTTTTTATTTATTCACTTCTCTAGTTTCTTATACAAAGAATATGCTGCGGTTGACAAATGATAAACTATTGCAATAAATCGCGGATCGTTGGAAATAAAAAGTCGGAAGAATTTCCGTTGCGAAATGCGACGTGACAATCAAAGAAATTCATATTTCACGGGGTTGAGTGGAAATTGAAAACTTTAAGACTTGGCGTATTCGAGAAAAACGGAAGTTCGGGGATTTCCCGAACGCGCGATTTTCCACATTTATCGGAAACCAGATTAAATCGCAGATTAAATTCGCATCGGATAATTGATTAATCTCCCATTATTCCAATATCGATCAACCGTTAGTTCCCCAGTCAACCGGTAATTCTCATTCATTTATTTCCCGTAATTTTTCCACTCATGATCCGACCAGATTCCCCGAGTCATTAATCTCCTCAATTTATGATTCACTTCCATTTCGATCGGTCAAACAAACGCCCAGGGAATATGAGATAATAATATGAGATGTCCAGTGGAGAATTTAAATCGTAATGTATGATACTGTCCGCTGGCTTTGAGAATTGAATTAATTAATTGAATTTAAAGAGTTGTCTGGCGTCGGGTGTTGATTTCACGGTGATGATTAGCACGCGTGATAACGAGATGGAAAAAAAAATTGATGTTTGAGTACTCGTGGAAATATTGTTAATCTGGTGATTGTTGAGACCACAATCGTCACTGCCTCACGTCGCGAAGGACGAAGACAAGGCCGATGTCGACCATTCACCGGTGACTAGTCGCATAAGACGCTAATAGCTGTGTTTATGGTTTTAATCTCGATGTTGGGCTGATTTCGAAATAACCCACGGCGGATTTCATATCGATATTGATCTTGGTGTTAATAAGCCCACCACCTCTATATGAGTCACTATTTTATACTAATTTTTATTCACTGCCTCCACACGAAGAGAAATACTTTCAATAAAAATTAAACTGAGATAAATTTCCTCTTCCAACATATTTACTTCCCACTAGTAAATCTGTATAAATACTCTAGGATAATTTTATGGGATCGTTATGGATTTTTTAGAGCTTTCCATTTTTTTATGTGCAGTTTCTATGAAAAATTTGTAGTTTATGGATTTATTTAATTTCAATCATTTTTTTTGGATTTTGTCTTCGTGGGGGTACCGTGAGGCGTGTGGAATTGATGCAATTAGAATATTGGCTTTTTTGGAGTTGTGAGGGATTTGTCAAATTACTCACTCGGTTCGCCAGAAGTCTCTCGACGTCCGTGAGGGTTTTCGGGGTTGAGCTGCTGATGGAGTTGACGTGCTGATTCGTCTGCAACTGAATCAAAGAGAAATCAATTTTTAACAACTCTTAAACGTTTATTTTCACAGGGTTTGAAAAACATTTAAATAATATTCTTCTGGTAATTCATAAATTAATTGCATTTGCACCAGAAAAAAATCAGTTTGAAACCCGATTTAAAGGATTTGATGCGGAAATTTTGGGTATTCAGTCTCGACAAATTTTTCTCTTCGAGTTTGTCAGTAAAAAATAATTACCAACGAGTTGAGGAAAGCAATATCATCGAAAGTAGCACCAAACGGTGCTGGACGCGCAGCAGCAGTGCTAAATGAGGGTGTTGTAGGATTGAAAGTTGTTCTGGTGATTGTCACTGGAACAGTACTGGGTATCGAAGTTGTTGTGGTTGTTGTTGTGGTTGGCCCTGTGGTAGCAGTACTTGTTGTAGCTGCCAAGGTGGTCGTAGATGTAGTACTGAAAGTGGTAGTGACACTAGGTGCAACAGTGGTGGTCGTGATCGAAGTGTCTCCTGGCAAGAGAGCGTCGTTCGACATGGGGGTGAAGACCTCGGGTAGCCGATTTATGGGAGGCACCGTGATCGGCGATCTCGATGGACTCTGCTCGTCCTGTAACATAATTATGTGACCGACGTTGATAATATCTACATTGGAATCATCGTGGCTGGGATTCGGACTCTATCTCTCTACATTCGTTGAATCAGTGGTGGTGGAATTTGTATTTTAATGCGCCGGGGATACTTACGATGGTATTGGAGGCGACTGATGCTCGAATCATTGGGGACTCCGTTGTGATACCAAAGATCTGATCAAGTGGATCTTTCCAGGGGAAACCTGGTGGTGCTGTGACTTCATCCTTTGAAATTATATCCAGGGGAGGCAGTGGTCCTGTGCTCGATCCTGATCCCTCGTTCACAGCGCTCTAGTCATTAAAATTATATACCTCTATTTATGAGGGCTTTCATTTATTATAATATATAATGCATGCCTTTTAATTACATGATTGATGTTATAAGTATTAAATAAATATATTCCATGAGAACTCACAGTAACAGAATTAATATTAACACTAACGACTCTGGAATCATTGTTTCTGGATGAATCATCACTCCAATAGTTGATGAACTTCTCCTGAAACAATCCAAGTGGCGATTTCACCTCAATCGATTAGCATCAACCGTAAATCACGTTCCACTCATTTCTTCTTTCTCCATCTGTTTTTATTGTATTTAAATGCAACAACGGTGAGAAGAGGAGTACAGTACCTGTCCAATGTACACACTGCTGCGTTGACCTCCGGCCTCCTTAGTCCTGCTGACCTTGTCCCTCTCTCTGTCCTGAATAATACGACCACCCTGCGAATTGAGGCTCGAGGGTGCTGATGATGGTGGTCCCTCCGTCGTCAACAATCCCATCTCCGTTGTCGCATTCAACGATCCCATTTGCCAATTCAACGGAATATCACTCTATAAATATTGATAATTTATTACTACTTATGGTCAAGGTGGATTTTTTGCTTTTCCAGAGATAATGAAAATTCAGCGAGACGTTTGTGCATTGTAGTGTGTAATATCGAAAGATGACTAACAGATGGAAAGTGATATTTATGAATTGCCGTAAAATTATGGGAAAATGAATGGTGCTGAGGGGTGCTATGAATTTGGAAAACCTGTACAATTTAAGTGCATGATGAATATTCACAGGCATTTACAGTAAATTATAATGAGAATATTGTTCTTATCGGTATGTACATGTCACCGTTATGGCGGATCATATTTCGATATTTTTCGCTGTCCCTCGGGGGTATTTCAATGCCACTTCATTCAATACTGTAACTTGATAATCGAATAAATTTTTGGAAATTATTGGATTTAATGAGCATTCTTCTGGTAGAATTGTTAACACGTTGCAGATTGCAAGAATCGTCAATTCAGCGGTGGAAGTTAATGGAGATTGAGTGAAAAATCACGGCCTGGTGATTCTCTCCTTATCTTGAATAATAAAAATTTTAATGAGCACCGTAAAAATTTATTAATTGACACGCGTTTGAACGCGATACTTTTCGCAATATTGACTGCGACGATTTGTTAAATGACCAAAAAATTCCTGTCACCATTCAAGTGATTATTATTTTTCTCCACGTTTTCTTCTGTTCTTTAAATTGAAATAATTCGTTAACTTCCAGATAATTAAATTGAAAATAAAAAATTTGGACAATTTATTTTTTAATATTCACGTTTTGATGAGCGACTCGATGAAATCAAAAAAATTCCAAGATAAACTTTTGACATTACCCAAAAATCCATTTCTAAAAATAAAAATAAAAACAATCTCTGGGCCTATAATCTTCCAAGAAATCTCCATTGACAATCCCCCGCTAAACCACGAGTCCCCGAATTTTAGTGGAAACAAGAATTACACAAAGATAAAAACAAACAAAAAAGCGTTAAAACAGAAAGAAAGAAAAATAAAATTAAACAAATTAGAGCAAGAATCTGCAGAGAGAAGTGTTGCATGACTGTTTGTCATTAATATCTTTTTTCAAATTTAAAAAGAGAGAGGGATACCATTTGCTCGCTGGTACTCTGGTTGCCGACATTACCAACGCCCGTCAATAAAGTGGAACGGTCATTCTGATTTTGTTCATCTCCGTCGATAGTGATAGCGTTACCAGACAGTCCAAGATTTAGCTGGCTACGATTACCGCTGACTCCAATAGATAAACTCATTAAATTATCCATAATACGATTATTCCCATAAAAATTCGATTTGTTATTCCCAGGGTTAGACGTAATTGGTCTGTTAGTTATGCTTGCTGTGGTAGTACTAAGCGAGAAGACAACTTCAACCGGATTGCTCGGTGGATCCGGAATTACCGTTCCATTGGGATACTTCCGGACGAGTTTACCATCAGGAAATATCCCGAAGATGACATAAGGGCTGTCAACATTCCTGGCATCAATGAGGTTGTCCTCCGGTCGTTTTCTCACTATTGTCTTGTTAGGATAAATTCCATAAACATGATAATCCCTCAGAGGTACCACTGTAGACGAGCTTGAGCTGAATCTCGGGGCTGGGGTCATCCTGGAGGCGCCAAAACGTCCAGAGTACTGACTACCAGTGGTTGATGTTGTTGTATTAATTGTTGAAGTGACGACTGTCGCCTGAGACGACTCCTCAGGCCTCAATGAACTCGATTCTCGTTCAACTGTTGTCGCACTATCAGACTGAATAGTGCTGGAGGGGGTTGTGGGTGCTGGGGGATTTGGGGTCGTTTGGGATGGGGTTGATGCGTCACTCGCCGTCGTTTGGGCGGTTGATGTTGTTTCGTCCTGGAAACCGGCAAGTACATTAGGAGAATCGGTTGGGACCGATGAATCTGGGGACGGGGGTGGCATGGAGGGGTCGGTGGATGCCGTTGTTACATCTGCAGGGGTTGGATCGGTTTGTGGATCGGTTGTTTCGGGGGTCTCGGTCATTTGTTCGGTTGTAGAATCTGAATTAACTGTTGTAATTTCAGTTGTGGCATCTGAGATATCTGGGGTGGTCGTTAGTGTTGTTGATTCGGTTTGAGTTGTTTGAGTTTGAGGGACTTGAGTTGTTTGAGTTGTTTGAGTTGTTTGAGTTAATTGAGTTATTTGAGTTGTCATTTCCCCAGTATTCGGTAATGATGGGGTCGTTTCAGGGGATGGAGGTTGTGATGAGGCTTCAGGAGTTGTTTCATCATTTGAAACTTCTGGAGTCGTGGGATTGTCTGTTTGTGAAGCTTGTGTTGTTTTTGAGCTGTTGAGCTCTATTAAATCTTCTAGAGTTGTATTCTCTACAGTATTATTCGTTTGACCTAGAGTCTCTACTTCTAGTGTTAGATCTCTATCTGTGTTATCTAGGAAGCCACCTAACATCTGGGCCGGGTCGTCATTTTTGACGGACGTTGACTCGAGGGTTTGCGATTGCGATGAACCACTGTCGATGTTGAAGACACTCATTAGTCTCTTCATCATTGCAGTTAGGAAAGCCTCGTCGATGTCCGGGGTAATCACATCGTTACCCGTGGAATTTAAATCGCGAGGGGTTGTGCTTTCGGGTATTTGGGTCGTGTCGATCTCAATTGTGGATGATTCGGTTGAGATTGATGTGCCCTCCTGGGAATCCATTACCTGATTTGTCGTGGTAGATTCCAAAATTTGAGAGAGGATCGCTGGTGATGAGGCTTCAGGGGTTGTTGCAACGGATTCTGTAGACTCCACAGGTGCAGGTGTTGAAGATTCCATTGAAGTTGTAGTTGAAGTACTTGCAGCAGTAGTTGTTGGAATTGCAGTTGTCTCCGAAGTTGTTGGAAATGCCTCCGTTGTTGTCTCGATGGAAGAAGACTCTGAAGATGGTGCGATCGTTTCAGGAGCTTCAGTGGTTGAAACAGTCGATGACTCAGTAATTGAAACCGTCGACGATTCAGTAATTGAAACAGTCGAAGATTCAGTAATTGAACCCGTCGATGGTTCAGTAATTGAACCCGTCGATGGTTCAGTAATTGAAACACTCGATGATTCAGTAATTGAATTATCTAGATCAGTCGTCGTCTCTACTGACGACACCATCGAGTCAATCAGACTCCCCATGAGAATCTCCATAGGTTCCCTCGTTAACGAGATCATATTGATGTCTGGAGTTAAATCTGTTGAAGCTACAGATCCTTCAGTCGTCGTCGGGTTTGTCCCATCATCCACTTCATTACTTAGTTCAGTAAATGAACTATTCCTTTCCTTATTTACATCGCCATCCAAATCGCCATTTACCTCGGTATTTACAACAGTATTTACATCAGTATTTACACCGACCTCAGGCATTCCTGAAGAAACCGAAATTGTATCGTTACTCGAAAAAGTGGTGGATGCTGTGGAAGCTGGGGAATCTGTGGAATCTGTGGTAGATGTGATTTCTGATGTGGATTCAGTGGTTTCAGGAAGAGCTGCGCCGGTGGTTGTGGCTTCCGTGGTATCTGGACTAGTGGGTGTAATTGTGATAACCGCAGTGGTGGTTTCTGGGTCTGGGGTACCATCTACATTAGTTAAACTATCAATCGTTGTTACTGGCACTACACTTGTCTCTATCGTTGATGTTGTGTCATTGTTAGCGTTACGCGTTACGTTAGGGTCAGTTTCGTTATTGGTCGCTACCTGCGGTACCGTATCAATTTTTAAACGACTCGGTGAGTCGGTCGTTTGCTCTACTTCGTTGGTTATACTAGCTGATTCCAGGGCCTGGTAAAACGTTATGACTTTGGGCTCGCCGGGACTTGACACTGATATTTTGGGTGATCGATCGTCCTGGGAACAGAAACGGGGTGCGGGTGCTGTACACATTTACATGGGTGAATCATGCAGTGGTATTTACGATTGTTAACACTTCAATCACGTCGATTTATATTTCATATTTATTTATTAATTGTGAATCCCGTTGTTGTCGCATCTTTTATCAATTTACTAGGCATGATAACATCGTATTCATGGAAATGATCAATCGATCCATTAGCCATTGCACGGAGAAAAATATTCAATAAAAATTTTGTGTCCGCAATTCCGGAACGAAATCTCGTTGTAAGAAATTTTACGGAAATTTCACGTCATTTCTATCTCAAGTCGCGGAATTTTTCCGCGGCGTTCCGTAATTTTTATCCGAATTTTCTGTGAAAAATTATACCCTCACTTTTCCAGTCGATTCCGTAATCGGTAAGCGACCGGAAAATTCCGTCATTTTTACCAAATATTTCCCCCTGTGTAGGAAGACGAAGAAAAGATTGACAATGATCACAAAAAAGATTATTTTACGCATCTTTTGGTTTTCCCAATTTAATAATCGATTGAAAGATGGGAAATTGAATTCCGGGGAAAATAAACCTGAAAATTAAATTTCTCTCGTATCTGTAAAAATTGGATTTATATTTACAGTCCAATTCTTCATAACGGGAGTTAACTGTAATCGATTAATCGATCCATTGATCATCGATCTTCTCCTAGAATTTTTTCTGTACGAATTCTGGAAAAATTTCGTGAACTCATCCGTAAATGTCCGATTTTTCTCTATTATTTACATGCATCGACAAATTAACGGGTTAAAACGAAAGCTTTACACCTGCAGTATCATTAAATAAAAACAGTAAAGACTCATTGAAATTGTTAGTAATTCAATAATGGAGATAATATTTTCCCCTGATCCCCTCATTCTCCACCGTCTATATTTCATCCACCCACCAATGCTCTAGATCTCACGGGTCAAACTGGTGTTTATATATCTGTTGTTTCATTATTATAACGAGTTGCTCGAGTTTAAGTGCTGGCGTGTGTGTGACGCGGTCTTAACGAGAGCGAAACGAATACTTTCACTGGTGCAAGTGGTGGGGTTTATCCTGGTGGGAATAAATGCACGTGTCCTTGCAAGAAATTTCAAATTTCTATCATCAAAAAAATTCTGATTCCCCTATACAGGACAAGACTAGAAAAATCATTCCAAATATTTCTACGAAAAAAGAGGAATTAAAAGATAAAAAACGAGAGTGCTGTGAAAATTGACGAAAAAAAATGTAAAAGTGATTTTAAAAAACCCTGAAGGCACGATAAATCCTACCTTTGTTGATGTCAGTGGAGTGGTGGGTCCTGATGAATCAGAATCACTTGGTTTTCTCACGAACAATTCAACCCCGCGATATCTGGCACTGAATCTTGCTGGGGAACCACTTGGTGTCACTCGCATTGAGTTCTAAAAATTATCATGATCATTGAGCGCAAATTTTAATTACAGAGCAGATTGATTTTAATAGTAATTAACTTACTCCAGGATCAACCGTGCTGTAGGGAGCTGAGAAGATTGGTGTTCTGTTGCCTAAAGCACTCAACAAAGGTGCAACAGTACTCCGGAGTTGCTCCAATAAAGTACTATTGGAGCTTATCAGGTACGTTGTCTTCGCGGGATTGAAGATATTCGAATCAGAACTAGCGGTGGTGCCACTGCTGCCTCGGTTACTCAGGGAGATACCCGTCGAGTTCCCATCACCAGAGATAGTCCCATTGGAAAGTGCAAGACTCACCGTAGGTTCCTGTCTTGCCGATCGCTCCGAAGAGCCCGATGACTTCACAGATGAGTGGAATTTCTGGACCTTCGGGGTTATCACGACACTACCCGACTCGGTCGATGAAGAAGAGTTCACAGCGCCCTCTGAGTGCCGACGATAGGTCGCAGTTCTGGGACGGGATTCCCGGCGTTTTATCGGTTGCGGTGGTCTCTCCGTTGAGGACCGCGAAATTTCAGAGGATCTCGATGATTTTGATGGTGTAAAAGATCTCCTCGTCGCCGAAGACTCGGTGGACTCCGACGACCTCTCCGAAGGGTCTTGCCAGTTTTTGTCAAGGTACGCAGCATTCCAGTGTCTAGGTCTTTTGGTTGATGTCGGGATCTTCAGAATGTGTGTCACTGTCTCTGGAGAAGATGATTTAGTTGTGACTTCGTGGGAGCTCTGGGAACGTGACCTGGGGGTTGTCGGTGCACCTTCGGTTGACGGATTCTTCGATCTTTGAGACAGAACCCAAGATTTCACGGTCTGCGTTCTTACGGGCTCTGGTGTTGATTCGGGAGAGTAAGGGATAGTTGCTGTTATCAATTCATTATCATCATCACGTTTCTTGTCTATCCGATCTTTACGGATACTTGTGGATTGTACTACTCTGATATTACTGCGGTGAACGCTCTTACTTGTTCTCGTGTAGGTTTTCGAAATTGGGGCGGTCGTCGGTGGTTGTGGAGTTGTTGTCGAAGTCTTCGATGAACGTTTACCTGTCCGGGATCCTTCACCCGTTGATTCAAACGATTTCGTGATCCTGCTGATGTTTCTCGATGTACTCGGTGCTGCTTCATCCCCTCCCGTGACTTCCTCGCTCTTCATATCTGGCTTTATCAGCTTCCTCGCATTCGCCAATTTTTCTCTAGACTTTGATGATATCGGGACACTCAGCTGGCGCTTCTTCGAACCCTGAAAAGTCTTCGGTTCGTCTCTAGAGCTCTCAATCCAGTCACCGTTCATGCACACCGAAGCTATTCCGATGATTTAATCTTATTTTTTGTTAGCAACCGGAAGCCAACGATATTGTTCATTGATTAAAGCCACATGCACTTTTATTATCGCCAAGTCACAGTGTCATATCAACTGCGATTGTTGGATATTTATTTTTTCTGAGGCTTTAAATAATTCATCGCACTTAGATACATAATTAGACTCAAGCAGCATGCTTTATCATCCAGTTCTTAACTTCACCATCATTCACTCCACGATGAACACTCGAGGAGAGTTCACTTCCTCTCCCAGGAAGTGAACTTATGTTGTGTTTATGATAAATGATTGATATTTATTCATGTAATTTTGTTTATAGAGTGTCCGTATTTTTATCTTGTGGATTCTCCGATGCAACGCGATATATCTTTTTAGGAAAGGTTTAGTCGGGGTACTTGAGGTCGGGGGGGGAATTGTTACGGAAGTATGTGCCAATCCGGGATATCAGTGGCTGGACGACGGACCACATTTTCATGGCTGATGATAAAAACTGAAATAGTTAAGGTTTTCTGTATCTGACCGTTCGCTGAGCCCTCATGACTGGTAATATTTACAACAGCTGTGGACATTCCATTAAATTTCAATGGGAATATCTAGAATTCCGTGTGCGAGTTAAAAATGGATAATGCTGTAAAGACCAATTGTGTAATAATCTGTTTCTGGTTTTAGTGTACTCTCTCTATCTCTCGATCGGCCCGAATCGTGTTCACCTCGTGTCCACCTCGATAGCACACATACACTTGTAATAACTCTCGAGTACTTTCTCCAGGAGATTGAGGGGAAAAGAGATCAACGGCCACATGATTAATGCAGGCGGGGCAACGCGGATTCAATGGACCTGGGGGATCTCCGATAGTCGCTGAATTATATCCTTTCTCGTTTGGGATTTTTGGGGAGAGGAATGGGATCATGTGCAAGCCAATTGGGATAAATGATACGTCAAGCCACGTGGATGCTCTTGCAAAATCAGGAGAAGAGGTAGAACGCCCTCAATCGGTGCATCTTCCTCCAATTTTGAGATATTAATCAAAAAATTGCGAGTGGAAGAGCCCGACGTGCACTGGTGGAGAATTATACTCGCTATTTTGAGTAATAACTTGATTTGTGACGGAAATTTCGAGGAATTTTTAAGTGCGAAACGTTTTATCTCTTGATCACTGAAATTGCAGGGGACAAATCTGAAATTCGCGATCATTGCGCAAATATTTGAATAAATTCAATTACTTCAAGTTCTCCCTCTCCCAAAAATTAGCTCATTACCATGCACCTATTTCTTCTCTCCCTTCACGTCGAAATAGTCACCGGAATCGTTTGTAGTGAAAAAAAAAATGCCAAAGTGTAATAAAAAAAAATATTATCCACCTGCCAGAGTTAGAATGACAATGATCCCCATATGCCAAACAAATAATCGATTGCAAAATTTCCCAAGCAAAAATTATTGCCCAGTCTCAATCGGCAACTCCAAAAAGACAAAAAATCCCCGATTTAAAAATCATCCCGAGCATCAAGAATGAATTTCTTACATCGGTTGCCTCCTCAGGGTCCCCTAACGGAGTCGTCACTACCGGAAATGGATAAACTGTCGCCGGAAATTGATCATTTTCCGGGAATTCACTGTGGATATCTTTTTGGTCGACCGAGCGTGAGTGTCGGATAACTGTCATCATTACGTCCTATATACGAGTCGGGAGAATAAATAGCGTCTTAATGTGTTATCCAACTAATTTCTACTAATTTGTCCCCATTCTGTAACTTTCCATCGTAATTATGTTTGAGTAGAGGCACCGAAGCACCGAAAATCGAGTTAAGATTATTATATAGAAAATTGAGTTAAGATTATTCCTCTTTATTAAGTTCAATAAAAAGAGACTCGATGTATTATCAAGGCGCTGGATTACTCTGTTCTAATTACTATCAATTATTAATGGAGTTAGTCATGTAAAAGTACTCACTTCTGTTATCCTAGAGCCACCGCCTGGACCATCCTGATCAGATCGGTTCTGCAAAAGATCAAAATTTCACACTTCTTTCTTCAGACCTTCAGTCCTTCCCATTCCCCATTCCCCCATTTTTTTCTGACTTCTCATCGATTTCCTTCACTTCCATCTCTTCTCTAGTTTCTTCCATTTCATCTTTCGATTATTCCACAAGACAATACCTCCATTTTTGTTTAAAATTCGGAACAATAAAGTTTATTATCTATCAATCTATCCTGTGACCTTGAAATTCATTGCAATTATCGCCAGATATTTAAACTCACCAGCTTCGCCAGTTTGGCCTTGAATTCGGGAGGATAATTATCATCGGGAGTGATTTCCCTATCAATTTTGAAGACCACTGAAGCAATTTGTCTACGAGGTGGAATTTCATTGGCCATCACCGAAGGATTTGCTCCCCCAGCTTGTCCGCCATCTGCATAATTATGTGGTCGCCTCTTCAGGGTCCATCCAGGGTTTCCATTCGTGGGACTCCCCGGGGGTGAACCAGGGGCTGTCCCTGAATGAGGCTTCCTCCCTCTGAATCCCAATCCACGATTGAAGTAATCCTCTTTCGGTGCAGAAGCTTGGGTCTGATTATTCGGTGGATTTGTCACTGGTGCCTGTCGCCGTTTGTTCAAATTCTCTTTCCCATCTCCATTGGGGGATGACGTGGGGAGGGCGATTGGAGACACCTGTGTCGACGCTATCAACGATTCTGAAGCGACGAATTGAGGTGTCGTGTCCAGGTCTGGGTGAGCCCCTGTCACTCCTGGAGTTGTCTCAGGAAATCGAGTTGTCGGCTCCGGAGCAATTTCGTGTCCTGAAGATCGAAGTTTCTCGATTTTCCCCCCAGTTTTACCACGAGACTCGCCCTTCGATGATCGGAATTTATCGGTCTTGATGGAGACCTTCGGTTTTAATGTGTTGGTCTCGATCTTTGGTGATCGTGGTTTTGGAATTTCTGAATTCGCTCTGAATCTCAGGATTTTCTCCGAAGACGTCACCGATTTCGTTGTCTTATCCTTACCCGGAGACCTAGTGGACGACTCAGGATCTTTAGATTTTTTATCCGAATGCTGTGGTTTCTTGGATGTTGGCTCGGATCTTCTCCCGTGACTACGAAGTTTTGCTTTTGTATTTCCAGGTGGTGGTCTGTGAGAATTTATTTCAGTTTGCACATCCTCCAGTGGATTGAAATTCTCAAATTCCCCAGGTGTGAATACTGAGTACTTCAGAGGACCTCTTCGAGAGTACTCTGTAGATTCCACAGATGTTTTTCTGGGTGGTAAAACGGTGATGCGTTCTGAGGTTGAGGTACTTCCCAGAGGTACTTCAGATGACACATCAGGATTGGGAGATGATGAATCATGTCTTCGAGTGCTTCGTTCGGTGATGCGTCTTCCTGGGCCTCTGGGGGTTGATCTTTCCTTACTAGCCGCCTGCCTTTCAGTGCTCCTCTCAGTGATTCTCCTAGAAGAAGATCTTCTGGTTTCACCAGAGTCTCTAGTTCGGTTTCTTCCTGATGGTATCGACCTAGTAGTTGTGGTTGAAGTCTCTTCACTGCTTGTTCTCCCCCGCTGCCTTCTGCTCACCAATTTAGGACTCTCGTGAGGCAGCTCCAGATGAACATCACCCTCCAATCTTCTTGATCTTCTATCTTTGCCCTCTGGTATGTACCTCCTGTCATTACTCGCTGCATTAGCCAAGTCCTGTTCGGGCACCTGTCCCGTTGATGGATATCTCCTCACCCCAGACCTTGATCCCTCTCTTCTCCTGGAAATATTCGCTGCTTCCTTCACCTCAAAATCACGATCACGCCTACTCCTCAGGGTAGTTGTTCCAGTCTTCTTGTCATTCGCTCTTCCTGATGATGGAGTAACCGCGGGCTTTCCTCGACGGCTCGACCTCCATTGAGAGGAGAAAGGCTGAGGAGAGGTCTCAGGTGTTTCCTCGACCTTCGGACTGAAACGAGAACCACCTCGTGGTCTGATTGTTGTCGAGGGCGATACATCGACCTGAAAAGTTAACAAACAAATGCCAGGAGTTGTTGTAAAGGTAAATAGTGAATAAAAATTATAAACAGTTATCAAAAAATTTCCATCAAAATTCTGACCACCGATTTCTCTCGATTGTCTAATTATCCTAATCATGACAGATTAAAAAAAAATTCTCATTACTCCAATCATGTATTTATCCGAAACAGCTCCACTAGCTCCAACAGAAATATGCTCGCCTTCGATATCCTTTCTAATCGACGCAAGAAAATACCAAAACCAGATTTCCATGTGAAATTACCTGGAGTTCTCCTGGAGTTCTCAAGCGATAGCTGAAAATAATGATAAATAAAACTCATCCCGAGACCCAGTGCAGTTATTAATCGAGAAATCGATAGGTCGTTGTGTTGCAACCGCTGAATCGTCATTAAAATAAATTGTGCAGTGATCATGGAACGAAAAAAAAATCCCAGAGGTCCCAGATCAATTATTTAATAACACCCTTCACCTCATCTCCATATTTCGTGGTACCCTGATCTTCAGCCTCGTCTCTTGGGAAATCGGGGATCCAGCAATCACCAATTTGAGATGTCAATCAGTCCCACAAATTCCACAGGCCATTGAAGTCGTGTGAACGTCATAAAATCGATTTTTTTACCCAGTGATTAGGAGATTCGAAGATCGGTTATTAGTCGATTATCGGTGAAACGTAATGACTGCTGGTGGATGATGAACTGATCACTTTGGATCCTGAAAATATTTCCTCATCGCGAATTATCCGTGGACAAACGGCGAGAGGAATTGCCGATTTTTCGTGCCTCCAGGTGTTAAGAAAATGATAAATAAATCGGTACGTACTCCCCATTGGCCAACACTTCGTAATTGCCTCTTTCTGCCTTTTGTGTAAACGATTTACAGTTATCACAATTGCTGGGTAATTATCGCTCATGACTCACTGGATCATTGAGCGAGGACATACGGTAGCTAAACCCTAGATTCAGTCGAGAAATAATGAAACTGTTTGAGTTACGTATCATATCGGTATTATTCTGCTATTACCTCGCGTTAATGAGGGGCTCCGAGTGAAATAATGAAAACACCTTTTCAGGGAAATGTTTCCAGGTTTGGGATACGTTTCTTCGGGTTATGAAGTCAATTACCCTCAGGATAATTACATAATTTTGGAAACCCTCATTTGCACATCGAGTGGTTCGTCGATGAAGTCATTTATTTTTTTTAAAGCGATTCCAACGAAATTCTGGAGTGATTGGAACCAGTTTTCAGGTGCTACTCAGACAACTCAATCAAATGTTTCGGGGATTAATTGGAGATCAAGGCCAGAGGAGCAGGCCCAATGGAGAGTTGTGATTGGTCTTATTTCGGTGGGTTATTTAACAATTTTGTTTAACTTTCAGTCATGGTTTTGGGGTTGATTTCAACTTTCAATTGACAAGGACGTCTGGGGCATTCAGATGTCCCCTGGTGCTCTGGAAGGTCTCCAAGGGATTCAATTTACTCTCAATCAGGTCTCTTTGTTGATTAATTAATAATTAATATCTGCTAGCTACTCAGCACTTCTGAGATCAGAATAAATAGATTCTTGAATCCCTTCATTATTTTATTAGTATTTTTCCGTAATTCTCACGCCGAATATTCGAATGACTGATTGATCGTGATGAAAGGAACATCTAATTATCCCATTGGGATGAAAATCGTGCAACTAATGCGAGGGCTCTAATTACCATTCCTCAGTACATCATAAAATCCAAGAAAATCTTCTCACAATCCGTGTGAAGGAAATAAGAATTTTTTGCTGTTATTGAAAAATTGAAATCGAATGGAAAATTTTTCAATTTTTTAAGGACCGATCGTTTGTGGTCTCTTCTAGTTTCAATGCTAATCTGCATTCTCTTTGAGTCATTAATTAATCCATTACTCTCCTTGTTCGGACATTTTTACCAGTGAAAGTCACTGAATAAACTGTTGTGCATTATTAGAGCTCATTGGCTATAGTAAAATTAATTATTGGATTGTGGAGAAAGTGGGCCAGTGGTTTTTAGATGCGGTACCTTCATGAATCATTAAAAATTTACCTCAAGTACTGAAGGAGAAGGAGAAATTTTAAGCGATGGAAAATGACAGCTTTGATTTATGGAATAGATTTTTTGGGGGCAAATTATTGCGGTGGAATTGACAATTAAGGGGAGATATTTGGATTGCAAACAGAAAACATTGAAAACTCGTTCAGAATCAAAGTGAAGGGCGTGGTTGTGGTAAATTGGCAGAGAGGGTCCTTTCACGTACGTTATATGAGGCCCACTTCAATGAATTGTACAACGTTTTGCTACCGAGTGCAACTTTCAACGCCTCAAGTACAAATTTCAATGGAAGAAACAATGAAAAATATTTATAAAGAAACACGGATTTAATTTATTATGGAAAAAGTTGGAAACGGGAATTTTGTTGGGTGAAATGGATTAACTGGTGGAAAGTGTTTCATGGAATTGATTCTTATTGTTTTTACTTTCTGGGGGAGCTATTGCGAATATTATTATTACATTTTACATTTTAATTTCAATTCCTCAATTTTTGTTCATAAATCCTAAATAAACCCATTTTTACCCGCAATTTTCCACGCATTTATTTATTTAGGAAATTTTTATCGTCAATCAGAATTATTTTTATATTTTTGTTGAATTGATTTTTTTTTTTTCGCAACTAGTGGCCATCAATCTCTTCGAGGGTTTTGTCAGTGTTGATTTATGATGTAGACTAGATTATATTTAAATATTCACGGATCTCACTTTCTAGTTCAAAACTCATGGGACAAGGCCACACTTTTTACTCCTCATCATCATTCGCATAAATGCAATGTTTCGTAAGAATTTTTTTATTTCACGCTTCAAGTGCGTGAGCTCAATGATATTGAGAGTAAAAGGATTGATAAAATTATTCCGGTTTGAGAAAGGGTGGGGCAGATGGTAGTGTTCAATAAAAAAAATAATTATTGGATCGAGTCCCATGATCGATCGATGAATCGATTATTTTTAACGAGTAATTGCGATTTTTTGTGAAAACCTGATAATTATCATTCCCTGACAATTCCCTTGTAATTAAAAAAATCTCAGTGACTTCCATCCAATTATATAAATAAATTGTAATAATAACAATTGATTTTTCGATCGATAAGGAATTAATTGAATCTAATAGGAATTTTTCGAGTGATTTTTCCTTAGATTTTAAAATGTTTAAACGTCTCGTTTAAAACTTCACTAGTAATTTTGTAATGAGAATTATTGCTCGAACGTAATGGAAGACAATATACGCTGCAATAAATTGACAAGTGGTCTATTTCGCGAGCCGTTTCTCCAAGAAATTATGCAACTGTTTGAACCATAAATTCAATTTGCAGTTAACAAATCACATGGGAAAGATGATTATTCATAAAAATTGCAGGAGCTCTTGATCCGGGAATTACCATTATTATTACTTATTAATTACGTCAGTGAAACGTTTATCGTTCCGCTTTCAGAGAAGTCATAAAAATATTTCAAATTGTCAAAGTAGGAAGACCCAACGATGCGTTCACTTCCGCTTCAGCTTAAATTATTGAATATGCAATTTGTTTTATTAATAACAAATTCGAATGCGAGGGATTTATTTCGGTATTATTTTCCCCGGAATTCCTCACCGGACAAGGCAGTGGATTATTTACAATAATTGACATAAGAGAAAATTCTGAGATAAAGAATCCGAAGAAGAAATTTTATTCTTCTTCTAGTTGTTTCTCGCAAAGTGCGATGCTGAGATAAATTAATTAACTTGTATAAAAATCAATTGATTTATTGCAAGAATTTTTTCTGAGTGAAGTTCTAAGTTATTGGGTTCAATAGGTTCTGGAAAATGCGTAGCAGAATAATAAATAACGAGTGGATGGGAATTGAAAAGCTGAGTAAGAGTTTCGCAAGGAAGAGGCATCCAGTGCAAGGACTTAATAATAATCTAGTTGGCATCTATCCCGGTGGAAAGTTGACTCGTTTTTTTATTCATTTCCGTTTTTTTATAAATGAATTATGAAATTATTTGCCTTCGCAATGTTTTATGCATATTGAACATTTTGTTGGACTGTGAATCTTTTCTCAAGACATTTTCTGCAAAGTTTTCCAGAAAGTTTTTGAAAATTTGAAAAAAACATTACGATTACAATTTTCTTTACCCGGGATTCTCTGCGCAATGAAAAAACAGCAGCATCGGACTGTCAACCAATTATCCAGTCATTTTAATTTTGTTCCAGTCTAATTCAACGCGACATAAATACTTAAATCGTCTATACATTTCCCGCGGAATTTCCCCGCGATATTCAAATTTTTAGTGAATTTTCATAATCACAATATCCGCGATTTGACCGAGAATTAATTACCCCCGACGATTTTAACAAAGAAACTAAGAATTCGCAATAACAATAGAGAAAACATTGAATGTGGTTTAATGACGGTACTTATTACAGGGTTTACACAATTACTCATTGCTCTCAAGCGTGTAAACCTTTGTTTCATCCTGAAAGACTGAGGTACGACTTCGCCGAGAGGATCTCGTCACAATATCGCGATAAATCAATTGAAACGAGGTAAATTAGTCAACATCCTTCGAGTATTTGATTTATCGAGAGTCTCGGATACACTACCACAGGAAATCCACAACAATTTGTCAAGACGAGAAAGTCGGTGATTTTTAATGAAGCATGAAAGTCCGAGACTTAGAAAACCACCGGATTCATCAACACCCATTCTTTTCATTGTTATTAAAAATACATTAATCGATTTTTTATTTTATACTCTATTGCCTCTGCTCTCCCTAAAAACGCGGAGTCATTCGTCGAGAGGATCAACTGCCGGAGGAATTAATTAATCTCGATTAAATTTCACAATCGATTCCCAAGGATAATCAATGTCTCGAGGAATGATAATACCTCGCAACAAAAAATCTATCGTCCTTGCACTATTTCATTTTATAATTATTAATGAGGTGCAATACTTGCGGTACATCGAATTTATTTTCTTGGTTTACTGGAAAATGGCGGAGTAAAGTGGGCGGCAAAAGAGAACGGTTTCCTCACGAAATTTCTCGTTACGGGAATGGGATTTATGATGTCATATAACAAACTGTGACATCAAGTTCTATTGATGCGATATGAAAATTGTGGGGGAATTGTTCTCTGAAGTGTAAATGATCACTCGATGGAAAATCGGTTGCATTGCGTAATGGGGAAATGTGGAACGAGGAAACTATTGAAATAATTCGGAGATTATTCGTGAACACGCAGGTCTTACACTATTTACACTCTACATTGTTGGAAAATGGCTATTGAAATTCCAAGCGAAAAAACATTCAATCCAATTTTATTTTAATTCAATTTAAATTCGATTTTTTTTATTTGTGTAAGACAATTTGCGTCAACTCAATCATCACGATCGACAGCTAAAATATTTTCTACTCGAGACTCGAGTAAAAAAATTGTAATCGGAATATTTTTTCCAAATTTTCAAAACATTTCTGGAAAATTTTTCAGGAAATTTTTCTTTTGAAACAAAAAAAATCGGGGAGCAAAACAATTTTTATTTTTGGGAAATGTTTTGTAAAATTTTTCGAAAATTTGTTTCGGAAAACTTTTTTTATAACTTTCCAAAAATTTTTGCGAATATAATTTTTTCTTTTAATTATTCTATTATTTTTTACTTTTTTGATTTTTCAATATTCTCAAGAAATACGCCATCAAAATAATAAAAAAAAATTTCCTATTTAAATCCTATTTAAATTTTAGAAAAATTTTTCAAAACCTTTCGCAAAAATAAAATTCCTTTGTTTTCCCGAAATTTTTTGAAAATTCGGAAAAAATATTCCGATTACAATTTTTTTTACCCGAGGAGTTCAAATGTAATTTTCAAAATTGTACCGCTAAAATTGCAGAGTTCAATTACGGTATTAGTATCAGCGAGTACATACACTGGCATTAACCGTAAATACATCTAAAGAGATATGAATACTGTTAGCAATCTTATAAACTCGAGAAAAGCTAGTTTTATCTGTTACAGCCACGAGGTACTAGATATAGAGTTGCAACTGAGTTTCATGCATTTATAATGTACTTTCCACCTAGAATTGAATATTAGTCTTATTATAAACAAGTTAATAAACAATATTACGGAAATTCGTAATGAGAGAATCAATGAATTAAAAATATACGAATATTATTTTTATGATAATCACTTTATCTCCATCAGAAGTTATTTTTAGATTCAACTATTGTATTTTGTATGCATGGTTTTCATTTAATACTCAAATGCAACTGCATTCGCATTATTCAAACGATTTTCCTAGTGGTTCATTTTTCTGAATTGCTGTGGAGTGAAAGGATAAATGTGGTTGCCACGTTTTTTAATGAAAAATTTTCAAATTACAATCATTTGCGCGGGTTTAAGGATTCATTACTGTCTCGCATTCAAATTATTTATTTGAGAATAAAAAAATCGGCTACTCAATTATATCCTGATTATTTAAAATAATTCAATTGAATTTTGATATTGAATTTTTATGAGTGAAATTTTAAAATTCAATTCAAAACCCAATTCCCTTGAATTTACAGATATAAATAAATAAAATAAATGAATAAAATTAAGACTCATATAAATTGAAAATGTAATTACGCTATTATTTTGAAGTTGCACTCGACAATCTATTAATTCGAGATCAGTAATGGGCGGTAAATTAGAAGTGACAATTCACTTTTTATTACGATTGATGAATTTACTGGAAAATTAGCTGAGGGAATAGTTTGAATCTGTCAACTGAACTCGATAATTACGTTTTAATTCCAGTCTCTAAGAATGGGTAATTACATGTGGGTAATGACGCCATTTCTTCACATGCGACTTGAAAAAATGAAAATCTATGGAATTGGACAGATCTAATAACCCTTGGAGATTTCCAAATAATCGCGTGTTGTCACTAAATATTATTCTATAAATTATCTGAGCTGAAAGGTCAGGTCCTGGTTGCACCAGCATGACCAAGAGCTATAGCACCAGTTACGATTTAACGGTCACCCTACATTCAACATTTTTTTTATTTAACAATCTTTTCCTCGCATGCAGGAGCAAATGGCGCGCGACTAGGCGTGGATTGTGATCGCACGAGAAATATCTAGTCATGCATATTTAAAATTCTGTTTAAGTTTCTGAAATTTGGGATCTGATCTATAATTTCAGATAAATTTTATCACCAATCACCAATTATTTACTCCCAATTTTAAATAAAATCTCCACAGCCTCAAGGTTACAAACATTTTTTTTTATTTTCCATCCCCCGAATCTCTCGTCCTCCCGCGGTGGTTATAAATAAATAATTCATGCCTGATAAACAATCTTTTAAAGTACTAATAACGATTTTTTTATTCATCACCGTGATTTCCAGTCGCAAGAAAGTACGTTATCCCGATTTAATGTTTTATAAAAAGTGCGTTTAAAATGGCGCAGTAAAATGCATTACGAGTAAGATGTAACTATTGAGATTGATGTTAACGCGATGGGCCGACATTTCTATTTCGCGACTTTCGCTGACATAAGGGGAAGGTGGAAATTCCATTTGCGAATGATTTCCAAGTGAACGCATAACTGTCATTGAGTAAATATAACCGAGGATGAGGCAAGATCATAAATTACATTTAATACTCGCCCATCGAGATCATACGGCTAATTAATCCTGCCATCAATAACATTTTAGAAAATATATTGAATATCCCAAGTTAGCGCAAATTATTCCATCAACGTGGATGGGAATCCGGATAATTGAAGGAATACAGAAATGAAAAAATTTTCATATAAATAACCGCGATGGTTAACCTATCCTGATTAATTATTCTGAGTAATTAGTGCAACGAGGGATTCAACAAAATGAGAGAAACTAGAGACGATAATTTCCCTCTGGACGACCCACATTTTGTCGCACTAGATCATAAAAGATACATTAGATTCATTGAGCGAAATACTGGGGAAATTGTCCAGAGGAACTATAAACATTAACGTTATTAAACCATGACACAGTTTAACAGGGAAATTTCATGACTCTGCAATAATTCATCGAGTGATAAAATTATCGCCTAAACAAGAAAAATATTTGTAACAATAATTTTTCAATTAGACTTCCAAATTTTCGCGATAAAAAATGCAAACTTCTCTCATCACTGCAATTAATTTATTGCTTGAAATATTAAAAATTTAATAGAATTATTAAATTAAAAATTAAATAGAAAAAGGTAAGATGGAAAAGGGAGTGATTTAAAGGGCACTGGAATATTTAAATATTTCTCGTGCATAATGAGAATTGGAATTCGTCTGGAGAATAAAAAATCCGTCAATTATTTTGAGACAGAAAAATAATTCAATGTATTTTTCAATCCTTAATTGATACCTTTCGTTATAAATCAGGATATGGAAAATTAAAATCGATTACAAACGTCTCGCATGACTTTTTCTCGGCGGGATTGACACACGGAAATAATGAGTACCAAACGAGCCCCGCGCAATTTCAAATTATTCAGTGAATGTTTCGAGTGATAATAGCAATAATAAAATGTCCATCCACTGCAAGAACTTCCGTTACTTCAATGAGTCATCGTCGGATGATTACGCAATTTCAATATTTCCGATGGTTTCATACGAAATCGTCTGCCAGAAATATTTCGACACGCCATATTGCAGGGGTGTTTATCCGATTGAATTTTCCTTTGAGTAATTGTCTATGTATTACCGATTATTTAAAATTGTTACTCACGTTTGTGGCAGGTCCCCGGAGGCAGTCGGACGTAACGAATAGCAACGCCAGAGCTAGGGCCCCCGTAATCCAAGACCTCGCCATTCTGAAATGAAATAAAAATTTATTATTTCGATTATTTCAACTATTTCGTCATTTTTTTATTATTTATTTCAGGTGAGAGAAAGTGTTCGGTCAACATTTCATTATGATATTGCTAAAAATTATATTTAATACATTAGACCAATCAATTCTTTCACTAGAAAAATATTTATTTATGGCGAATAATAATAATAATAATAATAATAAAGAATAATTTTGTACTTGTCGTGATGGAGGAATTGAAATTTTTGTAGCTACGATAAATAAATTGATTTTGGATTAAAAAAAAATTGGAGACTGTGCGATTTAATTGGATTATGGGATAATTAAAATAATTAGAAAAAGTGATTCGGGGGATTCCCCCGATATTCCATGATATTTGAAGTGAAAGCCGAATGATAGAAAATAATTTCAATGTCCTCCATTTTACACTCAGAAAAATTCAGGCCCCCGGTAAAATAGAAATTAAACGCTATGGGACCCATCATCCCCGGGAGCGTTTAATTCGCGAGTTCAGCGGATCGCGGAAATCAATTTTTCGGATTAGCGTTAAATTATCGGAAAGGAGGAATTTAGAAGATCCACCAGAACTTTCCAATTTCTGCATTGAACGTGGACGCGCATGAATTCACAATTCGATAAAACAAAAGTCGAGGGAAATGTCACTTTCGAAATGAATTCAGGCCAATGAAATTATTGTTAAATATGTGGAATTGGTTTTCCTCCTCGATGCTGCTCTTCTCCTCGGCCTTGGACTTCAGGATCATGACTATTATATGAGGCCCAAGGTGAAGAGGAAAGAGAGAGATGATAATCCGGTTGGGCCTTACGATAGGAACCGTTAGATCGATCGTAGTATTGTTCCGTGATTCCCATTCAATGATTTCAATCAATACCACTGCAATTATTTTTCATCAATTCAATACCAAAATCAAATTCTGAATTTAAAAATCCTTTTAACTAATTAATTAATGCCCGGAAAAAATGGGTTGGACCGTTTTTTTTTTAGAAAATCGGCAATCGAAAAAATCGGATGACATTTCCTGCATATTGCAATATTTTTAATTCAATATTTTTAATATATATATATATATATATATATCATATTGCAATATTTTCAATTCAATAAAAATATTCAAAATTATTACAAATCACTGGAGTTTACATAAAAAATATTATTAACCGCAGAAAATTCTGGGTTTGAATGAAATTAAATTTTTGAATCGGAAAAAATTGATTGGCAATTTGAATAGGGATGGATTGCGGGAAATATCGGGCGGGAAAATAATTTCGAATGAACAGATTCTTTGAAATTTTGAATATTCAAATAATTCCCAAGAATTTCTCGGTGAAAATCCCAAACTCGTCCTAACCCTATACAATTTAATATTTTACGTAAGTTTAAACAAGAACATCTGGTTGTCAGTCTGGATTCGTGAAAGTTGACTGTCCAGGCGACTAAGAAACGGTCAGTTAATCTTGTTCGGTCAGTTAATATTCCACAATTCTCCATTCTGTCCAGCTAAATTGCGGAACAATTTGAGGCAGACACTTAATCTAGAACTTCGTTATTGTTCTGCGGTTAAAACCGCGGAAATTTGAGATAAAAACCTGGAGCATTGTCAACCGATCGACAATTTACCCGTCGGTTTGAAAGCGCACGTTGGACCACACGAATGGACATTCACTTGCACTCATAAAAATAATAAAAAATAATTGATACTTTTACAACCGAAAACTTTAGACAAAAATTTTTAAACCCCAATCCCAAATAAATAAAACCGAAATCGAAATCGATCGAAATCGTTAAAATAAACAATGGAAGAGCAATCAATGGACAACAAAAAAATTAATTCTCACCTTGATTCAAAGAGAGTGCAATCCAAACATATCACAAACCATAAACAAACAATTGATAATAAAATAAAGAAGAAAAGTCACAGCACAGAGAAACTTATCGATTTTAGTCACATGTAGGAATAATTCTCGCGTAACTTGAATTTCTTAGGAGAAAAATAATGCGTCTGTAGGAGAATGACGATCTGATGTACTCGTGAGGGATGACAACTGAGTAATAATCACAGTTGAATCGGTCTGTTCATTTTTACCGGTTTTCCCCTGAGTGATGAACTCAGACGGAGTGTCGAAGACAAATGAAAAGCCGATCGAATCCGTCGTGTCAAAAAAAAAAACGGGGGCAGTGGCGAGGGAAAAAAAGAGAGAAAAAGAGAGTGTCCAGTCGGGGAATGAAATGAAAAGGAAGAAAATGGACAAAAAATAAAGTGGCGAACGTGCCAAGACATGACGGTATTTTCCCTTTCGCTCGTGTTGAATTCACCCTACCCCAGCATTCAAGTCTCTCCCATTGGTAAGTTCAATGAGGGAATGGAGGGAGATTAATCCCCAGGGCATACGCACGTTGTTTTCAACGATTTGATTCGAAAATTTGCACCGAAAAAAATGGAGTACATATTATTACGAGGACGTACCATTTTTTTCATTGTCCCCTTGTGGAAATTCACTGACAAAAAAAATTGTTAGTGGAAATTTATTTATTTTTCTATCTTCAGTCCTTTACTATTTTTCTTCTAAAATTTTTATACTCGAATTGGAAAATGCAGATGTAAAATGTGAAAATAGAAAGAAAATAGAAAATGCGCTCGATGAATGGATCGTCTTTATCGTTCAATAAATCGTCAGTGTTTTTTTTTTATTATCGGTATTCTCAATCACTCTTATCGCTCTTGAAGTCAAGATTGGTTTAGTCTCGTCGATTAATTTTTGATTGACAATTGCACATGAGAAAATGCCCGCATCCTTTTACCTGAATTTAAATCCACTGATTATTCAATTATAATTACTAAATTACAAACTCCCGCAGAAACCATTAATTTTATAATTGAAATCTCGTTGAGGACTTGCTCATTACAAATGTCTCGCATCAACGACGAAAAAATAGTTAAACGAGGGCTTTCGATTGTGACCTAGAAACCCGAACAATTCATTTCCCCACATTTATCATTTTTCCATATCATCAATCATGACGAATGCAATTATCCAAGTAATGACAACAATAAAAATAGAAAGCCGATTTAAAAAATCGCCGAAAAATACGCAGATCTCTGTTTTATCAATGTCATTTGTGTCGGGTGACAGTTCGGACATCTCCGGTTGTTCTCGGTTTTTAAATGTCAGTTTAACACCAGCTGATGGACGAATCAAATGAGTTGTCAGACTGTTGATCAGTCTGAGCCCGTATACCCCATCAATTAACAATTCCAGTGATAATGTGACAAATCATTCTCTCTTATCTCAAAGTTTTTATTTTTTTTTTATCACCGATAGACGTAGACACGTCAAGACATAATAATCGTATTGTTGAAACTACTCTAGACATAACCTTCACGTTAAATAAAATGTATTATTTTCTAAACTGCAATTGAAGATTTCAGCGACTTTGGATTTTTTAAATCGTATCCTTTTCAATTTTTAGATAAAGTGTGGAGTTTAGGATTTATTTAATCTAGCTCTTTGTCTTGAATTGTTTAATTGATTTTACGAGAGCTCATGACGAGCTTCGTGTTGACGTAAACCTTCATATTTTCACGTGCACGTCATTGTGGCCTCAATCTCAAGGATAAAAAAACGTTGAGTTCATTGTGTTTATTGTTTAAGGATTTTTATGAGATTGCTTATGGTGTTGCAATAATTGAGTTAGGAGTTGTGAAGTTGTGGGGTTATGATGGTTCAGTGAGGATTCGTGATGGAGTCGTGATAAATGTTTTGATTGTCATTGATGGGATCAATTTACAGGCTCGAGACATGATTTCATAAAGTGATTTTGCAATCCCCTGGGAAATACCGAAATCGGAATTAACCCCGAATTTTTCTGATTATGTTAATAAAATTATTAACGTCATTGCTGGAATTTTAATTGTTAAGTAATTCAATTATCCAGTCGTTTTTTGTTTATATAATTCATCAATATATTTCTTGACTCAAATAAGTCTCGTCAGATGACAAGAAATTTTTAGACAAACGAATAAATAAAACGCCTTGAAGGAATAAAGTCGTCATAATGCCGATAACTGGAGCACCTGAGGAAACAAATGTAACGAACGTAACAATCAGCAGAGAAGTCAGTGAAGACCACGGCCTCTCCCACGATTCCGAATACGATGATGATCTAGGTGTTCCAGACTCCCTCGACATCACAATAATGGAAAATGGAGAATCGATCAATATTCCAGACATAACCGACGATCATCCCACCAAGAATCACCGAAAAGTCATTTCATTCTCCTCGATTCATGCCCCAGCAGTTAAATTAAAAAATCAAAACAGAAATATTTTTATACTCGGTGAGAATATTTTAGTGAGCATCGTTGAGAATGAGAGGAGCGTTACGACACATCCCATCAATCCAAATTTATACACAATTGAGTTTAAACACGGTCCATTTATTTGGACAGTTAAAAAGAGGTACAAACACATTCAGCATTTGCATAACCAGTTGAAACTGTACAGAGCTAGTCTGAATATTCCATTTCCTACGAAAAGCCATCGAGAGAGAAGGAATAGTCTGAAGAATTTGGAGGAGAATAAGAAGAGAAGATCCAGAGGAGCTTTGCCAAGGTATTTGGACAATTGAATCAATAGAGACAACGCAGCAAAAAATTTTGAAATAAATTTCAACATGCCTTAACATTTACCCGAATTATCAAGACGTTCAAAAAACACTAGAATATAAATACGTTTTTTTCAGATTTCCCAACAGACCTGATGGACTTCTTCCATCCGAACTTGTTAGTCATCGAATGAAAGAATTAGAGGATTATTTAACAAATTTATTAAAAATTGAGATTTATAAACGTCACGCAGAAACAGTAAGTCCGTCCTAATTTTCTTCCATAAATAATCACCTAACTGAATCAGTGAGTGGATTATTTATTTCATCAATTTTCAGCTTAATTTTATGGAACTGTCGTATCTGTCTTTCATCGAAGACCTGGGGGACAAGGGAAAAGAAGGAATAATCCTGAAACGAACTGGTTCAAGTGCGAAAGCAGGATGCAACTTCTTTGGTCTTGTGGAGGGCATGTGCTGCCTGAGACCTTATTATTTCTGCACATCATTATGCAGCACGTGGCACCGAAGACATCTCCTCGTCAAGGACACATTTGTTGCCTACATAACGCCAAAGGATGGGAAGATCAAGTCGGTGATACTGATGGACAATGGATTCGAAGTGAGCTCGGGTATGTATGCTACTGGACTGAGGAATGGACTGCAAATTATGAATTCTAGCAGGCATGTTGTCATTAAGTGCTGGACACGTAGAAAGGCCAGGGAGTGGCTGGAATTCATACAGAGGATAGCCAACGATCAAGGAAGACCCTTCATCCAACCCAACCCCCACCAGTCCTTCGTCCCCTTTCGACCCAACACCCCCTCGAGCTTCTTCGTCGATGGCTCTTCCTACATGTCAGCAATTGCTGACGCCCTAGAATCCGCCAAAGAAGAGATATTCATAGCAGACTGGTGGCTGTCCCCCGAGATCTATATGAAACGCCCAATAATCGACGGTGACTACTGGCGCCTGGATAAGATCCTCCAGAGGAAGGCCCTGGAGGGTGTCAAGGTCTTCGTGATGATCTACAAAGAAGTTGAACTAGCCCTCGGTATAAACAGTTACTACAGCAAGCAGAAGCTCGTGGAAAAATGCCCAGAGAACATAAAAGTCCTGCGACACCCAGATCACGCTCGCGTAGGTGTGTTTCTCTGGGCGCACCACGAGAAAATCGTAGTGGTGGATCAGACGGTGGCATTTCTGGGGGGCCTGGATCTGTGCTACGGCCGTTGGGACACCAACGAGCACAGACTGACGGATCTGGGATCAGTCCACCAGTCCAGCATCTATATTCCGACGAGGGGAAAAATCACGAGTACTAGTAGTAAACGAACTGTTGAAACTTGTGCTGACAATCACGTCCTTCTTCCTCTAGCTATTGCCACCAACACAGTGGCGATGGCCACCACAAAATGCCTTCCACTTCTCCCTATCTCTAAACGTCAATCCCTCTCTCCAACTCCCAGAAATAAATTCGATCCCACTCTCCTGTCACCTCCACAAGAGATGGAGCATCGAAAATGCAATACACCAGATCTCCAGAAGAAAAATCTCTTCGACATGGCGAAGAATACCGTCGACAGAGTCAAGCAAAACGTCAAAATGAAACGACGAGAATTCATAAATATGGTTTACAACCCACAGGAATTATGCAGCAGTGATGACGAGGATGAAGTTGATAATGTGAGAATGCAGGAGCCTGTGGACGTCGAGGGAGTCCTGAGGAACAACGAGGACATCGTCAAGGGCCTTCCTGGAGCAGCCAAGCTCTGGTTGGGAAAGGATTACACAAACTTCATCGTTAAAGATTTCTACGACCTAGAAAGACCCTACCAGGACCTAGTGGACAGAAGCACAACCCCTAGAATGCCCTGGCACGATGTCGGGGTGATGGTTCAGGGGGCCAGCGCTAGGGATGTCGCGAGACACTTCATACAACGATGGAATGCTATAAAAATGGAAAAATCCAAATTAAATGGTGCTTATCCATTCTTGCTCCCGAAATCCTACAGGAATTTCGGGTATCCACAGCTATTTGGAGATGGAAGTTTGGAAAGTGTGAGGTGCCAGGTGTTGAGGTCCGTGAGCTCGTGGTCTGCTGGATTCCTGGAAGCCGACACCCTGGAGCAGAGCATTCACGAGGCTTATATAGAGGCTATCGCCAGGGCTGAGAGATATATTTATATCGAGAATCAGTTCTTTATCACGTTGGCTACTATGGACAGACATACTGTGAAGAATAGAATTGGGGAGACCCTGTTGAAGAGGATTTTGAGAGCACACAGGGAGGGGACCGTGTTCAGGGTGTTCGTGGTTATGCCACTGCTGCCAGGGTTCGAGGGGGAGGTGGGAGGACCCTCGGGGACGGCTCTCCATGCAATAACCCACTGGAATTATTCATCCATATCCAGAGGCAAGGATGCCATTCTTAATAAATTGATCGAGGCTGGTATACCGGATCCCAGTGAATACATCAGTTTTCACGGCCTTAGAACTCACTCTATGCTCAATGGAACCATGGTTACTGAACTTATTTATGTTCACAGCAAACTCATGATTGTCGATGACAAAACTGTCATCTGTGGCTCGGCGAACATAAATGACAGAAGCATGATTGCCAGTAGAGACAGTGAGATCGCGGTTATAATTCATGATGAGGAATTTACTGAGGGCAGGATGAATCAATGTTCGTATCCCTGTGGGAGATTCGCGGGGAGCCTGAGGAAACAGCTGTTTAAGGAGCACCTGGGGATCATGTGGGCCAAGGAAAGGGCCTCAGTGGATGATCCCATCAGGCACTCCTTCTGGTCTGGCCTCTGGAAGGCCAGGAGTCTCAACAATACTGAGATCTATGAGGAAGTGTTTCATTGTATTCCTTCTGATCAGGCTACCAATTTTTCGACACTCAGGGCTTATCAGAATGAACCTGGACTTTGTCAGGCTGATCCTGCTGCTGCCAGGGAAATGCTTATGGGGGTCAAGGGGCATTTAGTCGATCTACCTCTTAGATTTTTGGCCGAGGAGACACTTACACCGGCTGCGGGAACGGTCGAGGGCATGATGCCAACGTCTTTGTGGACTTAATTTTTTTTTTTTTGGGAGTCAGGGGACGCCTTCAGAAATTTTGTGTTTCGCATTTATTAGAGAGGTGAAGATATTATTGACCAAAAGAGAATTTTTAAGCGATTTTTAAGCGAATGCATTTTGAAGATTTTTTTACGTCTTTTTCCGATTCTGATGTCTTGCCAATGGCGATGCATTTAACAGTATTTCCATAATAACAATTTTATTAATTTATCGAAGTGAGATTCGAGTGACAACTTCTATTGAGACCTTCAGAGACCAGCACTCCTAATTACTCGTCTCTCGTGATGAATTTAAACATAATTATGATATTTAGAGAGGATTTTAAATTGTTACCGCGCCATTGCATTTTTTTTAATGACCTGACATTAATTGTAAACGCTCAAAACCCATTGTCTTAAGATATTTGTACAAATGGAGCTGTTGATTCTATTTAATGATATAATAAATTTTTTTAAGGAAAATGCCGCGTAAAATGAATTTCTGTACTTACCACATCATTTTCCTGGTGTGACGTCATGAGGCAGGAAACACTGGATTCCACATCTTGAAGAGCGCGCACTAAATTTCCGTTTCATATTTCCCGGAATCAAATTATAATTGCACAAGCATCAAAAACACTTCCACTTCACTTTCACACACTGTCGCACGAAAACATTTTTACGCACCGCACCATTTTTCGAAATTGAGTTCGATATCCGATCGTGTATTATGTCCATAAAAATCAATTAACCACTCACTAATATGTCCACTGGTGTTTATTAACACAACACTTCGTTTAAAAGCACACTTTTTACACGAATATTCATTAATTTATCGAGAAACTATTCAGACAACGGGCGAATTCCTTTATTGTCAGGGAAAACGCAGTTCAGTCACTTCGAACCTCTAATTTACACTGTCTAATCAATTACGACGTCAAAAAATTCACCAAAACTGGTTGTCCCTTTGATTTATATATCATTCCCGTCGTTGGAGTGTGAAATAAAATTTTTTCCGTTTTAATATCGACTCAAACACTTGAAAATAACGAACTGACAAGCACCCGACGGCGCGGGATGAATCTGTCACTCTGCGCATCCCACTGCGTCTTTCTAGTGACTTCCCGTCAGTCTTCCAACCAAAAAGATTGACTGAAGCTGAGGCTCAGTTCTGGGGATTTGAGTGACCCCACCGGTATTGTAGTACCTCACTCTATGAGAGAGAGGGCGCGCTTTTTGTTTTTTATTATAAAATTTCAAATTTTCACATTTCAAAATTTATGAAAAAGTATCGGGGGGGCATGAAAATCGAGGAAGTATTCACTGGAATTGAAAAATTTAAAATTTTCGAAAAAGTATCCGGGGAGCATGAAAATCGAGCAGGTATTCACTGAAATTAAAAAATTTGAAATTTTCAAAAAAATATTAGGGGAGCATAAAAATCGAAGAGATATTCACTGAAATTGAAAAATTTGAAATTTTCAAAAAAATATTAGGGGAGCATAAAAATCAAAGAAGTATTCGATGAAATTGAAAAATTGGAAATTTTCAAAATTTTCGAAAAAGTATCAGGGGAGCATGACATTGGAGGAGGTATTCGATGAAATTGAAAAATTGGAAATTTTCAAAAATGTATCAAGGGAGCATGAAAATGGAGGGGATATTCACTAAAATGTGAAAATTCGAAATTTTATAATAAAAAACCGAAACCAATTTCGTAACGGAAAAAATTTCATTCACCCCATCGACCGGTCCCCTTTGACAGCGGGACGGCGACTGAGGCAGTTATCGAATCGGCTGACAGGCGGCAGACACCCCCCCCATCGCGTGTGGCCCCCTCTCTCCGTTGGGGGGAGGTACTACGATGGCGGTGGGGGTACTCAAACCCCCCGAACTGAGCCCCTACTTCAGTCTATCCCCTCTGCTTCCAACGAATCCCAAGAAATTTTCAAATTTGTGTTTGGCAATTCTGACAGTTGGAAAATCCAAAAAAACAAACCGTCAAATTCTGCCATATATCACCTGCTAATATTCGCCTGGTACTGCTCTTTCAAGGAGTGAATAAAAAAAACAAGAGAATAAAAACAAAAGAAAATCGTTGAACCGAATCTAGTGTCTTCCGTTCATCGCCATATTGTTGGTGGAAAATAAAAATAATCATCATGGTTTTTATAAATGCGATGATGGCGTCCGACCGCTGATTATTCCCCCCTCCCCAAAATGGCAAATCATTGATAATCTGCAGTGTAAAGTTATTTCTACATGAGTTACATTACCCTAAACCATTACCGTGACTGTAGGTAATTGATTAAAAAACGAGAATCAATCATTTATCAGTGTTAAACCGATATAGAGAGTTATTATTAGATCGATTTGTCCCAATAAACTGCCACCGTCATCGTATCAAAACACGAGCATCAGGAGACGAGAAAGATCTGACAAATTTTTTTTTAATACAAAAGGAAAAAGAGTTATTCAATTCGTGGCAAGCCTGCCGCTAAAATCTAGTAAAATTTATTTTCAAAATGGCAGCGACGAGGAGATTGCAAAAGGTAAATTCATCCTATTTTTTTTTATTTTTCGGTGAATTGTGAGACGTGACGATATGAAAATCGTCCAGAAATTGACGTGCGAGTTATTCTGCACGGAAAAAATATCGAAACTACATTTTCCTTGGAATTTTTCTTGAGATTTTTGTATGGAGAGCTATTTGCTTTTCCAGCAAATACTGTCCAGGGCTTTCCTTGATTTTTTTCAGGAGGCGATTGTCTTTTTTTTAGAGATGACCTCGTTTCTCGATTTTTTGTGGCAAAAATCACATTTAAGGTCTTTCGTTTTGCATTTATTTCAATGAATGTTGTTGAATCTCGATTGATTTGTATTATGATTTTTGTTTTCAGGAACTGGGGGACCTCAGGGCCTCGTCCATGAAGAACTTTACAAATATACAAGTAGATGAATCGAATATTCTCAATTGGCAGGGACTAATATTACCAGTGAGTTAACAAATTCCTCTGTTCATCTTAGACATCATAAGCTGTGGCGTGTACGTAACGAGAATTTGCTAGACAATTTTGGTTCAATGATTTTCCATGACTCATGCGGTTACGCACATGCTGCAACTGGTTTCTGCTCAGTGGAACTCGTTTTATTCATGGATTATAAAATATTCTCAGGACAATCCACCGTACAACAAGGGAGCATTTCGCATTGAGATTAATTTTCCAGCTGAGTATCCCTTCAAACCCCCAAGAATAACATTTAAAACAAAAATCTACCATCCCAATGTCGATGAGAAGGGACAAGTGTGTTTACCTATTATCACTGCTGAAAACTGGAAGCCAGCAACAAAAACTGATCAAGGTATCCCTAATCCTCCAGAATTAAATTCCCATCCCCTGGCCAATGAAATATTAAATAAATCCAATTTATTTGCAGTGATACAAGCATTAATTGCATTAGTCAACGATCCCGAGCCTGAGCATCCCCTTCGAGCTGATTTGGCCGAGGAATTCCTTAAAGACAGAAAGAAATACCTTAAAAATGCTGAGGAATTTACAAAGAAACATGCTGAGAAGAGACGAGAGCCATCTTCTTCCGAATAACCATTTTGATTAGCCGTTTACTCACCACGGATGCCTACAGTCAGAACGAAAAAATATCTGATTCATGAGAATCCAGAGAGAAGTAATTGGCTCACTGAAAAGAAAAACCAGGCAGAGATATATCCCTTTCCCACACGTGTACAGTATTGGTTTATCGTCGATGAAAAAAAAAAAAACATAAAATTATTTATAATACAAGGGAAACTCATAAAAAATCACCTAAGAATTATGATCGATGTATGATAAACAAAACTGTATAAATACTATGATTTAGACAATATCTATTCAGTAGAATATTTCTATAATCATTCGTATTTGTCGTTGATTAAAATGGATATGTGGAAGAAGCATTTTCAATTGGCTCTGATATTATTATAGGAAAATGTATTAATATTAATAACAGTTTTATAAAAATAATTACCTAGAATTTCTTTCGTTGCAAAAAATATTCTTCCATGTTTTAACAACAAATGCCAAAGAGGAAATCCTATCTTTCTTCATTCAAATCATTCGATGAGAATTTATTCGATCCTTGTTGCTTCGATAATCTTTCTTTATTTTTCATAGAATAAAATAACTGAGGCTATTTCTATGAAGTCTTTATTTATTTCAAGAACTGTTCCAGAATACTGTCAAGCATATTAAGGTACGAAAAGTTGGATTTACAGGTATGAGATATAATTGAAAATAATTAAAATGAAAAATCTTATATTATTTCTGGTTGAACAATTTTTTTGAGCGATTTCTCCCTGAGAATCATTTATATAATATAACTCATAATCCTAAACTCAAATGTGTAATGACACTCATGAAATACCAAAAGATCTAGACAATTAAATGAAAACCGAGACGCACAGCCATTCCCTCCAGATATTTTTGAATATCTTGGAATCATTTTATTCAATATTTGAATTGCCCATTGTTGAAATAATTCTAAGTAGAAAATAATCGTTGGTTTTTCATTATTAAATCGTTAGAAAAACATCCAGAGGAGCTCTAAAAATGTTATTCACAGTGCAAAAAAAATCTCACATTTTCAAGAACGCAGAAATGATCGTGAATTTGATAAAATCATCGAAACAAATAATTCAACTAAGACTAAAATGAAATTCCTCTGCAAAAATATCTTTTAGGAGAAAAAATAAACTTTGTTTTCATGGAAAATAATTATCAGCTGATAAATCACCGAGGGAATATTCCTCACGTTTTATTGGCTGCCCTCGATGTTTCTCAGTTCCACCAATCTCTTGAAGAGGCTATCCCAGGAGAAGTCATTGACATTATCCACCAGGTCGACAACATCCTTCTCGAGAATACTAAACAATTCCTTGGTGGAGGCTCCATACTCCAGCATCATAGGAACATTACCAACAATAATAATCTTATGTTTAGCCCGAGTCATCGCGACATTGAGCCTCTTGGGGTCCTCGAGGATCCTATATTCATGCTTGCCCTTGAACTCGAGTGCCTTCCCATGACTTTTGGTGCACGAGAACACAATAACACTCTTATCCCTCCCCTGATACTGATCCACAGTATTGATCTCCACATCCTCCTGTATCACTGTTCTCAGGAGATTGATCTGCGCCCTGAACGGAGCGATAACTCCAATCTCCTCAGAATTGATTCCCGCACTCATGAGAGCAGTCACCAGACGCTGAACAACACAAATCTCGTACCAATTGACAGCGTTTTTGGCAGTGTCCTCTTTCTGCATTCTCATTCTGAGAAAGGAATTGCGCTCAAGTCTCGTGTGAGCGATTAAATTGACAATGTCCCCAGTATTGAGAACAGTAACAGCCTTCTCCAAAGAGGGATCCAGGGCCCTCTGCACCCACATCTCGTAATTCTCCACTCTTCCAGGATTTTTGAACTTCAACGTGGCATTAGCAATAGCTTCATTTCCAGCACATAATTCACCCTTGTAAGTAAAGGCATTGGCAAGAGCCATGATTGTTTCATTCATCCTGTACTGGAGCCTCAAACTTCTGGTGTTGTTAGGAGTGTCTAGACGATTGAAGATGTCCTCTGCCATCCCCAGCTTCCTCGCCTCCAGGCTCTGGATCACCGCTGGCAACTGCTGTGGATCTCCCACAAATGCAAATTTATGAGCACTGTAAAGTGGTTTGAGGAGTACTGGCTGTAGCACCTGGGTGCACTCGTCGACGACACAGTAATCGAATATTCGTTTTGCCAAGACGATGTGACCAGCACCAAGACAGGTCACTCCAACGATCTTCTGTTTGTCGTACACCAGCCTGAGCTTCTCTGGAGTGTCACAGTCTGACGTTAATACTGATTCAGACTTGTGAATGAGATCTGGATGGAGTCTGTGATCACTCCCGAGTCTCATAAAATCCACCTTCCTCTGGTCCAGCTTCAGGAGAATATTGTCCACTGCGTTGTGTGTGTGAGCAGTGATTATCACTGATTTCCCGAGGTAAGAGAGGAGCTCAATGAGAGCCACCAGTGTCTCAGTCTTTCCTGTGCCAGGCATTCCCTTGATCAAGACGTAATCGTTGGCTGTTAAGACAGCAATCAAAGCTTTTTGCTGGTACATGTTAAGTCTGCCGAGGATTTTACGGGCTCCAGGGGTCTCAAAGTCCTTTGGCAAGGGCTCGGTGAATCGTGCCGGCTCCCTGTCGATTATCAGCCTTCGCAGACGACGTGTTATGTCATTTGGTGCCAGCAGGGTTGCCAGGGTTCCCAGGGTCTTGTACAACTGACTGCGCATTGTAATAATGTCAATGGTGTAAGTCTCGCTTTTTGTTAAACTTCGTTCTAGTCGCAGGATAAGGGAAGTCTTCTTCACAGAAATTATGAACCCTGAGGCGATGCTGAAACGCTTGTTTGTGCTCACTGTGATGTACTCTTCTCCGTGGAAGACCTGTCGGAAGTCCTTGACAGGAAAATCCTCGGTGGAGTCGCTTCTAATAAATTCATGGTGATAATTATTCTGTTTAGCTGTCACGTTAGCAATCTCCATGCACATGAGGGCTGATTTTCTCTTCTCCCGGGCCCTCGGTGGGAGGCTCCAGATATTATATCCAGGTAGATCCTCCTGGCTGCGAGCTTCCTCCATCTCCAACATGGCAGACCATTTCACCACGTAATTAATGTGATCATCTGTCAACTCCTCCATCACGATTCTGCTGAGTCTTGCAAGAGGATGGTGATTGCTAAGAGATAAATTCTTATCTGCATCAGCATACACACAGCATATACTGTTATGAGCGCAATATTCCTTGCAGTAGGTGTTGTGATAGATGGGTTGAGGAAGTTCCATTGTCTCCAAGATCGCCTCTTCATCGGAGCTCCCAGAGTTTGAAATACTGGCTGTTGGCTTCGAGAGGTAATAAGCTAAAAGATTTCTCATGGTCAGCAGTCCTCTCTGATCATTCTTCGAGCTCGTCACCTCCTGCATCTGATTATCCTTTATGTACAGAAGAAGACCAGACTCCACGTCGTATCCCAGCTGCTTCATCATCATCGTGTAAAGGTACAACTGGCCCCTGTGCTCATTAGAAAAGAGACTTCTACCTGTCTTAATCTCGAGTGGCATGACTCTTCGTTTTGAATTGTGAACTTTGACTTCAACAGTCACGTCGATTTTTCCCTTCAATCCCAAAGTTGGCAGCCAAATATTCTCCTCAATATCTCGAATCTCAACGATTTGACCGTTGAAATTCTTATCGAGAGCTTTTGGCTGCTTTCCATTGATGTAACGCTCTATGAATTCATGGATTTTTGATATGTACAAATCCATCATCACTTTGAAGTCCTCTGATGTGATGTCCGAGCCGTATAGCATCTGCACGGTATGTCTTTGTGTGGTCACCTTCCTGGCGAGCTCTTTTATCTCCTCAAGGGTATGCAGCTCGTCTCGAAGGGCTGTCTGCATGATCACATGGACTATTTGTCCAGTGGTCATTGCGGCATCCGCGGGTTTCAAATTTGGCAGAGAGTTGACGTTTTGAAAACGAACTTCCAGGATGGATTTTCGATTGCAGAAGAGACTAGAAGTCACTGTTGTACCTGATACGAGAATGTCAGGCTGTGTGACGCAATATCCCCACTCGTTCGTCACTGTCCAGTCGTCGAAGGATTTTTGAGCTTTTATTATTATGGATTCACCCACTGATATGTGCAGGTCCATCCAAACACCAGAGCAAATCACTAATGCTGTGGCATTTGAGTCTGGATTTGGATCAGAGACAGTCACGTGGATGCACATTCTTTTTTTATCGATCTCGGTGATGATGCACCTCGTGAAATCGGAGAGGTCGAGGAAGAATTGACCCGCCAGGTCCCATTCGTCGTCAAACAAATCATCAAAGTCATCATTAATATTCACGTCCAAGGGCTGCACACCTGAATCAACAGTTCTCTGGCTTCCTTGATTTTTCTCCTGAGTATTCGACGGCTGGGTGGGTTCCAGGGATTGCAATCCTGAGTCAGTACTCTGAAGATTATTACTCCTCTTCGCCGGCTCTGTGGACTCTTCCTTCGCTAAATCTTCTGACGAAGAAGATTCAGCAAAAAATTCGTCAATCCAGGAAGGATCTTGCCTCTCGAGACGTTCCTCATGGGTTAGTTTATTGTTATCCACAACTCCTGCATCCTCACAGGTATTTTTCAAGGTCACTGAGGCATTTTTCTTCGTTGTGGAATTATTTTTATTTTGGTGGAATTCAGAGGAGAATTGTGAGGCGTCTAGACTGTCATCGGAATCACAAGTCAAATCAACGAAATCGGTGGAATTACTTGTAGAATCGATTATTTTCCTCATTTTTAGAGGGGATTTTCCGTCACTGTCAGATTCTCTCGATCGTTTAGGCATTGTGTTTATCAGGGGATTATTGTTGTCTGTAGATTTTAGTCCCAGTGGCTGTTTCGATGATTGATAAACGAGAATAAATAAAACCAGGCATTCTTTTCAACACAAAATAGATATTGGTAAATAATCACTTGTAATGACGAATGTTTTTTTTCCATTTTTATTTTCGATTATCGGTGATTCGTCATTTTGCGACTCAAGCATCGACATGCACACGTTTTTCGCGCTAAAATTGTGTAATTTTATTATTATTATTTTTGCTGATTGGATAAGCGCCATCTAGGCGAATCTAATCAATAAAAATTCAAAAGAAAGTGAAGAGGTTACGAAAGAATTGAAAATCATCTTTCAACGAAATTCTGAGGTCTTATAATTTTATTGTTAGAACATGATTGAGTGTGCATTAGGCTTTGCACCACACTGTCGGTTAAAAAAATGTCAAACCAAATGTCCTTGATTTTTTTAATATCAATATTTCTGTCCAAATCGTGATGTTTGGATATTCTTACCTATTTATTTTAATTATCAAATAGTCTTATACTTTCGAGAGAGTTATTTCATCATCTTCGTCACTGGAGGTATCAATTGCATAGCACAACTGCAATAAAAAAAATATAATGACATCACCAGGAAACAATCCTGAGAATATTCTCATTTCGCGTGCAAAAAATTAATGAATCTGTAAATAAATTAAATCACCGTTGAATTACATCTGTAATATCATCCAAAAAAAATTACCTCATCAAGATTAGGATTTTTAAGTAAATCCTCCAGACCCGCGAGCCTCTCCAGATAATTCGGTTGATTGCAGGCGTCCAGGATAAATTCTGCCCCTCTCTCCCTGTACTCATTAAGGATAGGAACAGAACAGGCAGTGCAAGATGGAAATCTGTGAGTTATGGTGAGCCTCATCTCATGACTCCAGAGTGATCCTCGAATGGTGTGTGGCACAGCCCCAAGGAGACCCTCACATCCCTCTCGTTCACTTCTGCTGTACCCTTTCCCATCATCGACGAATGCACTCGCCTCGAGCCCTTTATTATGCTGAGTGATTCCTACCATAAGTTCAACGGCGAGTCCAGCAGCGATGGATGACAATCCAGGTCTGCTGACAGTGCACTGCTGATCAAGAGTCCTGTCAATCTGAGAATTGCCAGGCTGTGTGACATCATTGCAGAAGTAACAGCCAAGATCACTGCCCTGGGGATATCTCACAGAGAGATCTGGAGAACTAACAGAAGTTCCTGATGTCCTGGTGCCATGCCTCTGGACAGTGTACGAGTCAAACCCCAGAGCTGCATTAATTGCTACTTTATCGTACGCAGCACAGAGGACTGTGGGCAGCCATCTGGCCTCTCTGGAGTCCAAAAGAAGAAAGACAACGTCGTGTTTTTCAACCAGTGTCTCAAGGCTAGTTACAGCTGATTTTGTGGACTCCAACATGCTCTGGCCAACAACGTGCCCAGGCATTGGGATATGGAGGACAATTCCCTGGACGTTGAAGCTGGGGGAGATCCTGAGGAGTGCATCCTTGGCAGCTTCTGCCTTGAGACGTCTCTTCACAGCATCTTCGTGAGTGTACAGACTTTGTCTCACAGTGTTGCTGTGGGATACCGTTGAATTATCCACGAAGGTGATGGTTTTTATCCCCCAGCCTATTAAGACTCTCGCCACAGAGCATCCCAGGGTACCTGCACCTAACAACAGACATTTGAGATGACTGATTTTTTCAAGGTTGAGGTCTGGAACTAGACGCCATTTCATCAGCTTCAGGTTTAGGTCCACTGCACGTTCCGCCATTCTCGTGGGGTCCATCGATTGAGACAGATCTGCGATGTTTGGACCCATTTTTCCACTCATATTCGCTTCCCAACCGACTAATTTACTGGTCATTATGTCTGTCTTAACTTTATCCTCGGTTACAGTTGTTTTGGCTTTAATTTCGTACAGAAGAGAGTCTTTCCCTCGGTACGATATTATGGGAATTGTCTGGGAGAGCGAGTACGTGGGGCAGGTGAATATCAGGAGGCAGAGGAGATTCCGCAGGGGCCAGCCTGGTTCTGGGCTGTCGCAGGGGTCGAAGAAGCAAAATATTATCTTCCCTGGGGGATGACTACTCGATTTGATGAGGTCCACTCCCTCTGACAGCGACATTATCGTTAAGTCTTCAGGGGAGTTCGAGGCATTCCACAGGACTGAGAAAAAACACCTGGACTTTGCCTCCAGGAGGTCGAAGTCATGCTTCAGCTTCTCCAGGGATGATTCTGAGAGTTTTGAGGTGAGTGGCTGAGGGAGCGACTGGTGGAACATCTCCGGGATGTTGAAGGGGGTGGGATAGGCTGCCCAGTAGTGAAATCTGTATTTCTTCAGGTCTGCGTAGGAGAGGATCAGGAAGAGGGTGAGTTTTGAGGGATCTTTCAAGGCCGTCCCGTCTTTTATGGAGTTCAGGAGGTGCTGGCCAATTTTTTCGATGAATTTCTCGGGCTGGATCTGTCTGAAGGTTTCGAAGGTGTTGGTGTTTATCAGGTATCCTGAGCAGGGGACGGCTCCGTGGTGCGACGTCGTCTCCACATTTCTGGAATTGACGTCATGAATTAATTCTATTTTATCTTTTCCTTCTGCATTTTTTTCGACGTTCAAGGTAGTGCATTTTTTTTTTACTCGTTAAATGAGGTGCAGTCTAGTCCCAGTAGACTTTTAGTTTTTGTTGATCTGTCTAAACTATAGCTTGCCCACACCGATATCTCTGTTTTCTCCTCCAATTTGTATTTATCCAATTTTAGCTCCGCAAATTTAGCCCAGAAATTCGGATCTATCGCCGTTCGGAGTTTTGTGAACTTCACCATTTCCTCAGCCATTGTTGAAATTCAATTATCTAAAACGAAAATAGAGTAATTCTTGTCACAGCACTGGGTAATTGACCCAGTATTTTGAAAAGTCTCACCGAGTGTCAATCTGTCATGAGAATTAATCGAAACATGTATGGACCGATGACTCCACAATTCGATACATCGAAAGATTATTACGTTGTACCAGGGACTCGATCTATCGAAAATTCATCTGAGTCGATTTAGTCGATATTTTTTTTACTAAAGGATAAAGGATTTTTTTTTTACTAAAGGATAAAGGATAATAATAATAAATTTTACGGAGATGTGGGTCATCACGTGTGTATTAATAAAAGATTTCATAGAATGAATTTTCTACAGTAATGCAGACAATATTATATTTGCAGTAATATTTTGCAATATATTTTTTACAATAGAGATGAGAAAGAAAAATTGTTAATTAAACATCTAGAAGAGTTCCTCGAGGTCTCGATCTCTTGGAAGGATCTACCTCCGGTGGTGGCATTGTTTTCCTCTTAGTCATTCCTTTTCTCTCCAATTGTTTTTCGATGATTCTCGCATTATTGGCATAAGAATCAGCGACTTCTCTCTGTGAAGATAAAAAATCAGAGATTGAATCACGAAATTAAATAACACTGCAAAGATTTCAATAAAAAAACAAGGAGAACCCACGGCTTCAATTTCATCTTCCTCTTCGTCAATAGTAGATACAGTAACTGAACTGAATTTTCCCATATTCTTCGTGTGCTTGGTCACCATTATTTTTTTCGGTTTTTCAACAGCTACTTGATTGTAGATATCAGTCATTGGACCTTCTCCGGAGCTTTTTATCACAGCCCCTTTCACTACAAACACAATATTCGCTGAGGGTTCGTGTTTATAATACAATAAAAGCCCACATCTGTAAAAAAATAGATAAATAATGAGACCAGTACATATTAAATCCAGAGACCCTTACTTTTTACATTTCTGTCGGTATTGCTTCTCAATTCCTTCCTGACGCTTCAGGAAAACTGTTTCGTCCTGCTCACTTGTCATTTTATGAGCTCGTTTGCTGCCATCAATGACTCGTGCTCCATCACGTTTTCGCAGGGGTAATTTTTCGATTGCACAGTCTGAAATAAATCGATGAATAATTCGAAATTGATAAACGATTCATGCGTTAATAAATCCTGAATAATTATTGCGATGTAATTGTTACCAAGAATCAATGTCATTTGTCCACATAAACAATAGTAGATGTGCAGGGGTTTTTCTTCACTGTATTCTTCCTGATCTTTCGTGTCAGAACATATTATACTTCTCGATACGACTTTAGGCATTTTTCTAAAATTTTTCTGAAATTACTGACATTCACTTTATTATGAATTTGGATTAATTGGTAGCGGGGGTGCACTGAGAAGTCAACGAAACGATAGGGTGCAATGGAATGTTAGTAAACACAACATAACCTCAATGTTTGTTTACAATAAACCAATGAAAACATCAGCTGATAATTTTTTGAATGAATACTCATGTGTCCTCGTCGTCTGCAGCTCTGAATTATAAATATTTGCGATTCTCATACACAAAATGCGGGGTTTATTAAATATATCATCACGTCCAATTGTTTATGGAAAATTAAGAACAAGAACATTTGCTACAAAGAGTGAGAAAAAATCGTGAGTCCAATTCAAAACAGAAATATCAATTGTTACTAGTTGATTTGTCTTTTAATCAAGTTTGTCAAAAATCTCTAAGACATCCTGAAATTTCCCACGGAATTTATTATGAACAATAATTAATTTTGTTTAGAAAAAAATGGAAATCGGTTATTGGCCTCGAGATTCACGCACAGATATCGTCTTCATCAAAACTTTTTTCTGGTGCAAGTTGTAATTTTGGAGAGCCAGCGAATTCTTGTGTCTCTTTTTTCGACTGTTCAACACCAGGAACTCTTCCTGTAAATTAACAATTTTTTTTATTTAATCAATTAATCCAGATATTCATTTCCTAAAATCCGCTGTCTGTTCAGGTGTTGAATAAAAAATGTGTAGAAGCTGGAGTACTAACAGCTCTGGCATTATCATCACAATTAAATGAAGTATCCCTTTTCGATAGAAAACATTATTTCTACGCTGATTCACCCGTAAGTAATTCCCACAATAAAAAATTGGGTATAAATGAATATTAATTAACCAATTGTTTATTTCCATGTGAAATTTATCTAGTCTGGTTATCAAATAACACAACAGAGGAAACCGCTGGCAACAGGTGGAGAGTTAAAATTTTCAGTCTTTACTCCAGGAATTCATAAAGAGCCATATCTCAAGTCCTCGAGGCTGAAGCAATTGCAGCTGGAGCAAGACAGTGGGAAAAGTCTGCACGACGAGCCCAGGGGCAGGAGTTTGGTGGATTTGAACAGAGCTGGAGTGCCTCTCATAGAATTTGTATTTGAACCAGATCTATCTGATGGCGAAGAAGCTGCAGCTCTCGTTAAAGAACTCACTCTCATTCTGCAACGACTGAATACATGCTCTTGTAAAATGGAAGAGGGTGCACTACGTGTCGATGCAAATATATCCCTTCACCGGGAAAAAGAGCCACTTGGGGTGAGGACAGAAGTGAAAAATATATTCAGTGTTCGTGCAGTTGCTGCCGCGATAAAATATGAGATCGAACGACAGAAAAGTTTACTCGAAAAAGGAGAGAAGGTCGTTAATGAGACTTTGTCCTGGGATTCGCAGAGGAACAGGACAGTCCCCATGAGGGATAAAGAGGAGAAACAGGATTACAGGTTCATGCCAGAGCCGAATTTACCACCTCTTCGATTGAATCTCAAAGGAGATGGAAGTAATTGTGATCTTGTCGATGTGGAATATTGGAAATCTCGATTGCCAGAGCTCCCCGAACAATTGAGATTCAATTTGAGGATGGAGTTCTCTTTATCCTCACAGTCTGCTGCCAGAATTGTCAACAATAGTGTTATCTTTGGATTGTTTGGGGATATCATGAAGGAGAATCCTAAAAGGAGTCCCAAGATTACGTGTAATATTCTTCTGGAAGAACTATTGCAGTACACGAATAAATATAAAATTGAATTGAATAATTTGTTAGTTGAAATTTTGAAATCAGATCTCTGAAGTTTGAAAATCTTATAATACAACGAATTTCTGTGATTTTTATTTGCAGATTAATATCGGCGAGACAGATTGGCGATTTGATCGATTTAGTTGAGAGCAATACTATCAATTTAATTACAGTTAAAAAATTATGGGGAATGATGAGAGACGACTGCACTCTGTTGCCAAGTAAGGTGAGATTGAAAATAATTTGACATAATTACAGATAATTACAAGTACTTGCATTTTGAAATTAAATTCAAATATTTTTTTGTGGATAGATTGTCGAGGAGAACAAATGGGGTCAAATAAATGATGAAGACACACTGAGACGTATGTGTCAATCAGTTCTCGAAGATGATCCGACATTAGTAACCGCATATAAAAAAGGGAAGACGAAAGTAATTCGCGCCATGTTGGGGCAGGTATCAAAACGCTCTGAAGGTCTTGCCAATATGGGAAAAGTTGTGAAAATTCTAGAAGATTTGTTGAAATGAAAAAACACACCTGTGAATAATTGTCAATAAAAAATCAGTCAAGTACTGGACGAGGGTAAATTAAATTGATCCATTGTTTTCGTTAAATATTGTTGTATTTTTAAAAAATGTACATTGTTCATTCTTTCAGCTTACAATGTTTTAGCTACGATTTTCATTAATTATATAAAAACAATCACCATAGTTCAAACGTCCATATTGCAGTGTATAGTGACGTATATTTTTTTATAAATAACGTGAACATCTCATAAGTTACTCGCAAAACAAATTCTTTCTTTGTAGCGAAAGTCATAGAAAAACGAATAATTGGTGTTATTTTTTTGTATTCTCAATTGTTTCAGATCTCTGAGAAAAATACGTATCTACATAATTACATCGAGTCTTTACAAAGCATTTAACATTCACAGTTGTCTCAATTATTCAATCAATATCAATTATTTAAACTTTAAAAAATTGTCAAATTTGTTAATAATTTCGGTAACATCCTCTTTACAATGTCAATATAAAAAGTCTCGACTTTTCCTACTGACTGACATATGAACGTAAATTCACGTCTCCAAGTAATTGTCATTTTATTTTCAATAACAATTTTATTTTCGTAAATTATCGCCATTTGCCTTTGGCACAGCCACAATAGTAACTGAATCTACATCTTCATTTGAAATAAATTAAATAATTAACACAAAAATTAATCAATTTGTTTCAGCAATGTTGAATTGTTAAAATAATATGGATAAAGTAAATAATACAATTTGACAAATATTCATTTGCAGCCTTTCGACAAATCTTTATTTTATCATTTGGCCTCTTTGGATGCACCAAAGAGAATGAATCATTCGTTTATTTGGAAAGCTTACTGATAACTCTTATGAGAGCTCCGTTCTCGTCCTTTAGCCTCTGGTTCTCGCACTTCAACTGCTCCAGCATCTAGAAGATAAAATTTTAACATTTTTCCTTTTCTCGTTATTCAATTTGACAGGCGACATAACAGAAAATATTAATTCACCAGCTGTTGTAACACGCCCTAGATTACTATCAATTCATCAAGGATTAGAGTTGAATTAACAGAAAGGGTGACGAATCATTCGATGAGGTGAATTTATTTTTTTTGGAATAAATGAGAAATGAAATTTCAATTGAATTAAAAATGAGAGATGAAAAATCTCTTTCTGCCAAATATTCATCTACTTGGAAAGAATTAATGTGTTCAAACCACTTTTTTCGCTAATCGCGAATCGAACCTGAAATTTTAAACTCACGTCAAACAATTTTAATAATAATAATATTAATAAATAAATATTTGGCGAAAAGATAACAGTCGTGGGATTTTCCTTTTCAACAACAACATGCCAGACGATCTCATGCTGTGGAAATTATCATTTCCATAAACAATAATTCCGATGTCTCCAAGCAAAATAAAAAATATTTGCAGTAACAATTTGTTTTCAGTGATAAGGAGAGGGAATATATCACTATTGAAAATTTATTCTGTTCAATAGGACGTGATATATTCGAAAAAACTAGAACATATAAATACACAATTGAATTTATTCCATCACATACATAATATCAGTAATCAATCTGAAAATGCAAAAATCAAAAGAGCAATTTGTAGCGCAAAATGAAAATCAGTGTTTAAACGATAAAAATCATGCCAAAAAAAATATTTCATATTGCTTTCTCTGGTTATAAATAAAGCGTTGTAAATGCCTCGTCCCAAAATAAATTCATGCACATTGGGGTGCCGCTAAAAGGTGTTACAATGGGGAATCAATGAGTTACAATATACTATTTTCTTAGATAACTATCTGATTGTTGAGTGAGTTTTAATGACATTATTCGATTATTCATGAAACATTTGGATTTGTACTTTACAAAGTTACGGGAAAATCGAGATAAAATGTACTCATGATGACCTCGTTAATTATTAAAGCTAATAATTAATAAGATATTGAGAGTCAACAGTTTATGCTTTATCACTTCAGCTCTAAGATTATTTTATTTACGCTAAAATTAGAAATTAAACAAATAAGTAAATGCTGAACGTTAAGAGTTGGGTTTTTAATTTTGGAATAGTTGCACGCAGCTTAGTATTTTTTCGAATAAAATGCTGGAGCATGTGTAATCAAGTATTTTAATACTGCGTCAAGGTAATCCTAGTAATGTCTCTTTAAAAATATTAATTCAAACTGGATTATTACCCCACGATTAAACAATTTTAGTAAATAATTAAATGAAGAGATCGTAAAAATAATTATTTCATGATGATCATTAGACTTGTAAGATTGCATTCATTCTGGTGTTACTAGGATTCCCTTGGGAAAAAAGAAATAGAAGACGTGGTGGTCAATGAATTAATGAAAAAAAAACTTCTCTGTATAATAATGTAATTTTTTATTGATCTCTTTGTTAAACGCAGATGCTGTTGGTTTTGTTTTTGATTTTTTTTTCTTTTCATTATATCCTTTACCTATTTAGTAGTATTGGTGAGTTTGGATACGACGCGGGTAAGTGCCCGATTTTCGGCTTTCAATCGCTCATTTTCGGCTTTGAGCTTTTGCAATTGCTGTAAACAGTGGAAACAGTTAGGCCAATAATTTATCAATTAAATTCAAGCTTACACCTTTTTCAATATTCGAGAAAAGCCCTGAGACAATGAAAAATAATAATTCAAATCAAAGGGGGAACGAGAAAAATAACGATGAAAAATTCACACGTAAATATTCAAACGCTTTAATCAAATAATAAAAAGTCGATCATGTAAATCGATGTATGAAAATTTGATAATTAAATCAATAGTCTGTAGCGCATCGATGCAGCTTTCTTCAATGGATAATGGATGCAATTCGTGAGATAAAGGAGGAAAAAAAAAACAAGAAAAGCCATTGCAACCAAGCACTTGTTCCCTGAAGTTTAATAGAAACGATAGGTGAAATAAAGTGAGAAAAACCTTGCACCCTCGATGCAGACAAAAAATAATCGTAAAGAAAATCATTCGTGCAGGCCTATCCACGGCAACGAGTAATTCATTTTTTATTCAGAGAATATATCCAGTAGTTAAGAGGCGAAAACGTAACAACTGCAATTTTCTCATTTTCTCATTAACCAATAATTAATCAATTGCATCATTACGTTCACCCCTCGGCCACTTTGTATTCTGATTTCAATAATTTAATATCGAATCGCCCAATTTTTATAATATATATATTTTTTTCAATCCGTCGAAAATATTGAGAGTAAATTCGCAAATGTAAAGACAATTTGTTGCTAAAAATTACCTTGAGCTCCTCTTCCATCTCAGATAATTTTCTCTCCATGGCTCGTCTCTCCCGTTTTTCGATCTCTGATAAGGCAGCTTTGTTTTGATTACTCTGGGCCTTCTCCAGCAAACTCCTGGTCTCCTTGAGCTGATCATCCGATCTCCTCAGCTTGTCCTTCAATCGCTCATTCTCCGCCTGCGATTCCTCCCACAATTTTTTATAATCCAACTCTCCATTCTCCGAATTTGTTGATTTTGTCCTACTGGGGGTCGACGGCACCTCTGAAGAGACAGACGTGACTGAACCGAGACGACTCGATCGTCCAGAACGTTCATTTCCACTCTAAAATAATATTGGCAACAATCCCCAATTCAATTCAATCCTCAAGTCTCGATTATTATCGATTATTTCTGAATACAATTATAAATTATTCAGGGGCAAAAAAGTGATATCTTACGACGTATCCCTCTGATCCAGCTAGACTCTGGAGACTCGAGCTCCTGGAGCTAAAGTCCGAGGAGACTTTGGACTTGGGTCTGTTAAAACTCTCAGCTTTTTGCACAGACCTTCGGGTATTGACACCCGAGGTATTTCGATTGGAATAATTGGAGGAATAGCTGGTGGAGGGAACAGCGAGGTTGAGGGAACTTATGGAGGAGTGCGAGGGAAGAGTGAGACCACCGTATCCTGAGGCTGTACCACCGTATGTTGTGTAAGGATTCTGGTAGTTGAGATTGTTAATCGAGTTTGTGTATGGATTCTTCAAGTACGAATTCTTGGATGACTTGTTGAGGGACGAGGAGGTGTAGGAATTCGATGGTGAAATCCCCAGGAGATTCGAATACGTCGATTGACTGGGACTGAATAGTCCCCCGACACTTCTCGGTCTATTCCCAAATATGGAACTACCACTGGCTGATGCTTGGGCACGCAAACCAGCTGCTGTCGTTGGTTTTGACTGAGTCCTTTTTCGGTATGACGACATTGTCCCAGATTATTTATTGTATTCTGCTATTTTTATTTATTTTATTTATTTCATTTATCTCATGGAGAACGAAGTACTCGGAATTTCAATTCGTCCTTCACTTCACCCTTTACGACTATTCAACATTATTTGTTTATAATAATCTATTGGGAATTGATCTCGATTTGTTAATTATGCAGTTCTATCCGCTGGATTTAGATTTGTCACACGATAAATGACGATTTATTTATTTTTAAAAAATTTTAAGGACTTGAATTTTATAAATTTTGGCACGTCTCACCTTCTCGTTTTTTTTTCTCCAATTTTTGTAAGAAAAACAAGTATTTTAGGACGTCATACGGGCTAGCTGTTGTTTTTAATGTATTTTATTTATTTTTATGTTTTATTCATGAGGTGTGCAACGGGAATTTGAATTATACGTGTAAATGTGATTTCACGAATTTCGAGAGAAAAGAATTGAAAGTGAAAATTATTGAAAATATTTCTGCAGAATAATTGAGATCAATTTCCAAGTGCATGGGGAATCCGCTGACTCATTTTACGTGGAATACCTCAGATTTTTCAATTCGGTAATTAATTAGCGATATTTGATAATTTTTTCCAATTAATTCACTCCTCTTTGAGATAATGAGACCTACAGAGAGTAAAAACTTTTCATTTTGTGCCACTTCACCACTTACTGGTCCCTTCACAGACACAATTGATCATTGAATTGAGTATTGATGATCTCGGTATCTATCTTCATCAATGCAATCCGCCAATCAATCAATCAATTAATCAATCAATCAGAAATAATTCATATTTCAGTCAGTGATCTACAATCACTGACAGCAAGTGTTTGACTGATGTGGACCGCCCAGTAAAACTTCCACAATCATCAGCCAGATTTCGTATTTACCCCCACGAAAAATTGATTCTATAAATACAATCTACACACGTTCAACGCCGAAGGTTTTTCTCTCGCGGTTTCAAGGCGCGTATTCTCCATTCCAACGGCCCTTGGTCTTCAATCATCACGATGAAGAGAAAAAGAATAATCTAAGAGTTTGCCATTCCTCGATTCAATTCCAAAGAAATAAAACGACGGAGAAATGTCAGAGGCTCAGCAAAATCCCCAGTCCCTTTTTTTTCGGTTCATCGAACGTTCAATCACTCAATCCCATCCTTTTATTCATTTTCATCTCATCGTTTTGCGTTCTCTAGATGGGGATGGAGTCAGTCAAGTCTGTTGACTCTTGGGGATAAAATTAACGTCTTAAATGTTTAGGGATTATTTCCTGATTGCTTTCGGGGGGTATTTAAAAATTGATATTATTCATTCCAATTAAACTCTTTTTAATTGTAATTTTTTTCAAGTGATGGAGAATTATGGGGAATTATATTGATAAATTATTGATTGCAGTAAAAAATGTGGAAAAATTCAGCGCCGGTGAATTTTTCGTGGCGCGGTGGATTGTAGTTATTTTTAATATGTACTGAGTATGTAAGAATAGGGGTTCTTACTTGTGGTTGACCCAAAAATAACACATAACCACTAGGTTGGGTGTAAAATAGCTGCAGTAATTATCGTTGAGGGATTTTCGTACTAGACGGAGTGTCTGCCAATGGGAGATAATTTTTACACGGTATTTAAAATTATTTAAGAGTAAGGGGAATTGAAATTTTATTTCCAATTTTATTTATCCTCAAAAAATCCCCAACGCTTATAAAATTGAAAAGTGCACGTGAATTTTTATCACGAGAGGAAAAGTAGAAATGGAATCGCTTACCTCAGTGTGATTATTTTTCCCCTCCTCACTCTCCCCCACACTCGAGCCATCCTGTTTCTCTGGATCGATCTCCTGAAAGAAATTACGAGGAGAATTAAATATTATAAATAACACATGTGCATGTCGTAAACATGAAATTACGAAGTCTGCGGCTTTTCACGAGCACGTGAAACATCCAGAATTTCAGACCGACGAAATGGAACACCTAGATTATATTAATAGCTATCGACTCATGACGTCAGGCAACGATTTTACTTATAATGTATTTTTGGGATTATTTTTAGTATGAATGAATAAATTTTTTATCATCATGAAGATGGAAAATAATGATGAATGGTTCTTTTAAATTTGTAAAAAAATCACACAGAAATGAAGTCTCTTAACGTTTACGTCTCAGATTGATAGTTTGGGAGATAATTAATGATGAGCGAATTGTTAAATTCGACTATTCACTTTGCCCTTGAGCGTGAATTCTAGGAATGGATCCGAATAGTTTTATTTATTTACTGGTATTTTTTACTAACATCCATGTCCACGTGAACAACACCTGTCGATCTTCTTTTGGGTCGTCTTCGCCTCTGAATAACCGCCTGTGTTGCCTGAGCATTTCTACTATCATTCTCCTTGTCTTGTTCTTGAAACAGAAAGAAAGAAAAAAATGATTTTATAATAAGGAAAATTGAGCGCTAATCCCCAGTGCATGGCCCACTGGTGCATCAGTGCATCGGTGCATCTGGGAGATGAGAAATTTCATGACAGGACAATTACCTTTGTCCTCAGGTGATTTCAAGGATCGTCTCAATGGTAGGGTAACGGTTGCATCGGCTGTACCAGTGGTAATTGTTTCCACTGGGGCTGAACTGGGTCTAGGTATTCCCGTTCCACCTGAAGGCCTTCGTATGTACGCTGTTGTCGTATCCGATGATTTTATATTGTTGGCGTCTTCCAACTGAAACTGCCGAACAAATTTATTTCGTCTTTATTTTTTACAAGAAAATGCAAATTCCACTTCAAGACATTTCAATATCTTCGATACTGAAATAATTTTTCGTCAATTTGCCATTTATTTTTTAATCGCATTAATATTATTGAGTTGTGTGGAATTAAATGGTATAAAATGCATTGTACTGTTAGAATTAAAAAAAAAAATAAATAAGCCAACAAACCTTGCTCCCATTATCTACCCTCAACCGCCATGAGGGTCGTCTTTCAGGCAGGTTAGTCTCTTCAGGTAATTTGTTTGGAGTTACAGTCGTAGGAGTTGCTGTTGTTATCGTAGCTGTGATCGAGGCCGTTTGACCGATTGAAGCTGCAGGCTGAGTTATTGAGGAACAAAAGGAAAAAAGAAAAATCACATGAATTTTGGGAAGAAATTAATTCTGGTATTATTTAATTCGGATATCAATCCGTATTAAATCTCACTGAGTCTCATTCTTCGCTTGAATTCATCAGAGAATTAATCTACTTTGTAGATTGTTGCTCTCGTCAGAGATCAATTTTCTGACAGTCAATAGCAAAATGGGAAATTATTAGTCAATTTTGTACTTATTGTTAACTGTAAATGTGTGATAAGAATAGTGTTTTTTTCTACTTAATCGCATCTTATTAAACAATTTCTTAGATTTATTAAAATTTTGCCACTCCATCATTGATCTTTGTTATAAACACTGGGAGAATAAGTCAAGCAACAAATAGATAATTGTAACGAGTCACGAAAATTTTTCACCCAAACATTAACACGGACATTTTTTTAGACAACACATCAACTTCTGCAAGACAATCTGACAAATACTACGGGATTGTCATATAAAAATACTCCACGCATTGATTTTTTTCTGTCATCTGTATTATTTTCAATCTCCTGGAATGTTTCATACACGTAATATCAAAATTACAATAGTTGCCTAACAAAAATCCTAGGAAATATTCTGAAATTCACAATTTCCAATGATTTTATTAAAAAATATCCAGAAGAATTCACCACGTCAATTTAATATCGTAAGGAATCGATAAAATGACAGCTAATTTCATCATTCTGGAAACACTGATGGTCTCATTACGTTTTTTATTATTAATTACAGCCTCGGTATTATCGGTTGATGATTTTTGGTTGACGGTGAATTTAAAAAGACGATTGAAGTACATTTTCAAATGTTTCCCGAGGGGATTGAGATGGAATTTGAAATCTGTAATTTTTATTATATGATTTTTTCCCTTTGTTGTAACATCTGAAGCGTTAGTGTGAAAATCTACCTGGGGTGCAGACACTGGAGACGTATCGTTACTCTGCTGTTGTTTCTTCTTTACTAATTGCTCTGCACTTTTTATCTCGTCCAGAGTGACACCCTGGGTCGATCGTCGAGTCTCACGGACTCTCTTTGCGTGGGCTTTCCTCTGCGTTTCACTCTCCTCGTCACGAACAGGTGGCACAAATGACCTAGTGACATCCACATCATCATTGACTATATATAACTATTAATTATCAGCACTTAATTGATAAATTAAGATGACTGCATTTCACCCCGGGACAGTTATCCATCGATATCTCTTGAATCACGAGAAATACAGAAATTTTCATTGACATGTTTTTTGTAGAGCGACATGTGGAGCGAAAAAATGATTGAGATAAAAAAATTCATATCTCTCCCCGTTTCCGAAATATTAATCGATTATTGGAACTAAGTTAAATGCTCTCATCCTAGTTTACCATCTTGTGACGGATATTTGTTTATGAATATTTATTTATGGATGACTTGGAGGTATTTAATGAGTCGAATGATGATGAGCATCTATTTATCGATGAAATCTCCTCGTGACAAAATTTAATTTGTTATTTTCAGGGAAGTGGACAACCGAAAAAGTTGAAGTCTTTAAAATTCCGGGGAATTTTCACTGTATCCCTTTGAGCTGACGGGATATATATTTTTTAATTATTTCCCCTATTGAAATTTATTCATTTCTCAAATCATTACTGCTCTTCAAAATTTTTTGCAAATATATAATTCTGCTGGTCATTCGCACAATAAGCTGATTATGCAACCTAAATTAAATCAAATGGAAATCATATGAAGCATTATTTTTATATGTGCGTCCTTCGTGGGACAGTTGAGAATTAAAGTTATTCATTCACTCAGTCCTAGGAGTTGTAGAAAATAAATTAATTAATAAAATAAGTAAAAACTCATGTGTTAGTCGTTTTGTTTGATTTCACCGATGGAATATCATCGAGTGCACACACAAAACCGAAAATTAAATGCAAAAAATAAGTTGACAAAACTTTTTAAACAAAAAACTGAAAAATGCAGGGCAAAGCTGTCGTGTTGCTGATCTGTTCCATGCTGATGCTGAATAAAAAAATTCGGAATAAAAAATATCGAGTGAGTGAACTTACGGTATGAATGAAATAGTGAAGTGAAAAAATATAATTATTATTTTTGTAAATTTGAGAATAAAAGTGAAATTGACGTATGATCTATTAAATTCACTACTCGATTAATAATTGCACTCGTCTCATTATTCAAATCGAAAGTTCACGTGAATTCACAAAACTCAAACCCCTCGTAAAAATCATTGGCTTTTCATTCTCATATTGAGCTACGCACTTGAAGAAATTCTTGAAGATATTTCCAGGACTGAGTTTGCTTCCAGCCGGTGTATTTGGCGCTGAAGTTGTTGTCGCTGTGTTACGAGTAGGTGAAACGTTTGTTGAACTTGTTTCCACCGATTGTACGCTAGTCAGTCACATCAAATTTATGGCTCAATGTTTCACCATCACAGATTCTCATCGTAATTTCATAAGAAAATTGATAAACTCGTAAAAATCGAATAAAACCTTTTCCCAATGACGGATTTATCTCGTCACCTGTCAGCACAGGGTGAAAACATCAAAGGACTTTTCTGTAGCTATTTAAATTTCCCTAAAAAAATGCCTTCTGATATTTCCCCCTGGGATCAACGGATTCCAAGATCAAGCGACATTTAGCAAAACTGAAACATTCGATTTATTTCGATTCACCAATTTGCCACTGATTTTTTATGACATGACAGAAATGAATGAGGTGATAAAGATAAATGATAACGGAAATTCGGATTGAATGAAAGTACCTGCGGATCTGATTAGCTGGGACTGGACTGGTGGTGGTGGTGGCTGTGCTGGTAGTCGTTGAGGCAGTGGATGTTGTACTTGAACTCGTACCAGTTGGCAGTGTTGGTGATGACAAAATTTTATTTGATACAGAAGTGGGAGACGACGCATTGCTCTCCTGGGGGACTCGAGAAAGCTCCAGATTCAGCTTCACCTCCTTTTTCCTATTTTTTTTCAAACAATTGAATCATTTATCAATTAATTATCACAACAAACATTAAAAATCAAGCATTACGCAGGCTGGGAGGCAAGCACATTTTTGGATTATTATCAATTATTGACGAATTGCCAATGAATTGTTAATGAACATTTTTTTTCCAACAGATATTTAAGTGCAAATATCCTCGGGTTATCACAGACGATTTATTGGTTTTAGTTTTAAATGAAAAACATGCCTGATATACCTGTGAGTTTCGCGCAAGGACGCAGAACGAGTGGTCGTAGCGTTGGTGTGGTAAGGAGTAGCTTGATGACAGCGGTGGAGTGTAGGGCAGGAAGATGCCATGATTCGAGCTTGCAATGCCAGGTACTGCTCATAGAACCTGCGCAACATGCATCATGCCATGCGTACTTTTGCTAAGGACTTTTATCATTTTCTCTTGCACACATTTTCCATCATTTCTACTAACTGATTCTTCAAAAAATATACCAGTAGCAAAGTGGTACAAGATTGCAGTGAAAAAATATTCCGAATTAATCACGTCGAGATATTAATTCACTTGCAAAGTGATAAGCAAGTCCAATTATGATGATTGATCAGTTTTCAAAATATATGAAAGCAAGAGAATTTATGGTGTTCTAACAGGGTCTGTTCAAATACTGGCATGAAATTACGGGCTCAACAACCAAATATCACTCAGGGGTTACTAATCAGTGAAAACACGTTAGAAGCCACAAACTGGATGTCTCTTCTATCTTTTCTATTTTTTTCTCATTAGTAGCGTGAAATTGTTTTTCACTTACTTTTCATCTTTCTCGAAGCTGTGAGTCCGACGAAGAACGACCTCTGGCTCGGGGTTCACTTTGTTGGGGATTATCGGTGTCTTCGTTGATGAATTTTCTTTGTCTTCAATTTCTATGAGACCAAGGGAAACGACACAATAAAAAATTGAAAAATCCCACCATAATCACTCAAAAGTTTCAAACTCACTCGATGTTAATGAATTCGTAGATTCAGCCTCTTGAATCCTATTCCTAAATGAACCAGAGCGCCTCCAGGACGGAATAATTCCCTCTTCTGCATTTTCAGTCTGTTGTTTTGGTGGCAATATTGGAGCCTTGAAAATCGTGGAGATCATTGAAAAATGTAATGACTGTTCATTTCATTTCACTAATCACAGGTAATAATTGCTAGTACTCACTTGATTAGGAACCTTGGATATTTCTGCAGGTGACACTGGACTGAGAGATCCAGTGTCGTCTTTATTGGCTCTATTTTTCTTTTCTGCAAAAATGAAACAATAATTACCATCAACATCAATAATCACTTTGAAATACAGAAGCAAATCTAGTCTATCGCATCGACAATTTTTATATTGCTTTGTTGCTGATTTTCCACACCCCCTTACCATCATCTGTAAGACCTACTGACTGATCAGAAGGATGAGACCGATTGGAACCCGAGGAAGTCTGTGTTTCTGAGTTACTCTCAGATTCACCCTCAACTTCGCTCGCTTCAATATCAGTCTCTTCTCCACTTTCTATCCACGCAGCATGCAGACGAAATTGATTAATTATTTTACCCATTGATAAACTCATTAATTCATTAATCAATAATTATTATTCCACATTATTCCGCAATTCGAAGGGCTGATCACGTGGACAATTAAACAATTCCATTACACCTCACCAGAAATCAGATAATGAAAATGAAAAAAATTTTTGAAAATTACTGAGACCAGCCCTTCGTGATATTTATTATATAATTAGAAATTATTATTAATGAGAGATGAGAAAATAAATGGAGAATAACTCACCGACATCGCTATTCGTTCCTGTACTCGTATCCTCTTTATCCGACTGAATTTCTAGTTCAACTTTTATCACCTTATTCGGTGTCTCCTCCTCAAACGTGTCATTACCCTCTTGGGACACGACAGCATTCTCAATAGTTGGAGACACTCTGAAACCATTTAATTGGCAATTGATCGTACTCGTAATGAATTTAAGTGTTATTTAATCTGGGTGAAATAGGCATTACCTCTTCTTTGGTATCGTCGATTGTTTCTTGTTGTTCAACTGGGGCTGATCCTTCATCATCCCCTGCTGCTTCTTCTGCAGCTCCTCGAGGGCCTTGACAATGTCGTTGTCAGCAATATCGAAGGCTGTTTGACCCTGGAAATTAATATAAAATAAAGTGGACATTGCAGAAATTACTGGAAGGCACTGGAAAATATTCATGATTGAATACCGCGTAGTTCTTCATGTCCATATCACAAAAATTTTCAACGAGAAGTTTGCAGGCCTCTATTTGGCCCCAGTGGGCTGCACCGTGGAGTGGCGTCCAGCCGTCGTAATCCTGTGCATTGACATCGCATCTCGCTTGTAAAAGTATGTTCATAACTTTTATGTAACCCTTGGCAGCGGCAACGTGCAACGCAGTAGCACCGGAGCGTGGATGGGTGGCATCTTTTCCTGGTGCTCCAGATCGCCAGGCTCTCGCATCACTCAGCATCGATCTCTCCTCTTCACTTCTCGCCTGATCGCAATCGATCCCTGAAGGAGACACCAGTCAAGTTTTATTTCAAGATCTTTCAGAAATTCCCTCGTCTCTTATTTCCCTCGAGGATTTAACACAAAAATAAATTCATTAAAAATAAAAATCAGTATGGATTAATATTTGATCAGTAATTAATGAATAATAAATTAATAAACCATCAGTCATAATTTATTTGCCAATAAATCGCATTTTCCAGTAAAAAAAAATTCTTGGTTCCATCGTTTGGATTTTTAAATTGGGAATTCATCTCACGATTAATTATCTCCATGTTCACCTGCTTTATTGATGTGCTGCTGGAGCAAATCCTCCATTTCGTTGCTCTCGGCGATATCAACCGCCAGCTCTCCATCGTTATTCACAGCTGCTAGATTGCAGCCTTGTTCAATTAAGTACCTAGAAATTGAATTGTCATAATTTTCACTCGCTGTGACAGAAACTATTGCAGTTCAAATAATTTATCGTACTTTGCAATAGATATGAATCCACAGGAGGCAGTGGCGTGTAAAGGCGTCCATCCCTCGTTATCACCACGATTGATATCAGCACCTTGTTCCACCAAAAACTCCACCATATCCAAGTCATCGTCAATACACGCCTGTCAATCAAAATCCATCCCACATTATTAATAAAGAGCTCAATGCTCTCAGTTTATTTTTTTCCTTCACTCTCCAGAACCCAAAATTATCTGTTACCTCACGCTCACCGAGTCGCACGAGTGAGACGCAGGGATTGTTCATAGCCAAAAAAATGAGAGATAAAAAAAATGTGAAATGAGAAAAATAAACCATCTGTTACAACACTGACAAAGCCATCGTGGATACGGACGTACACCAGGGACTCACTTCTAATAGGCAATCTATTAATAGTCACTCGGCCAAAAACTACGTTTTCTCCATCTATACCATAAATTTTCTGTTATTTTACTGCACACATTTTTTTCGAGATTGCATAATGCAAAAAGTCCATTTTGGAATTATGTAATTTACGGATTTAGTCAGAGGATTTGATGGTGTGGAATTTTAGGATTTATCGACAATAGGTGGATGAATTTAATTGCTAGGAATCAATCGATCTTTTATTGTATTTTGTATTTGATGTGGCTGTGGGAATAATTCTGGGCTTTGGGATTGAATTGTACGTTCTCGAAGACTTCCGCTCGTCTGGAGATTGACGAGAGCACGCAAGACTTGAATTGAAGAGCAACTAGAAAATTAAATTGGCAGTGTTCTATATTTTGAAGGAAGTTTGAAGATTCATGTGGTCTGGGGGCATTGTCATTACTGATAGCTAGCTGAATCATATATATAATATTTATCAGGAAAGGGCAAGATTAAAAATGAATCATTGCAATAATAAAGTTGCAACTGGAGGGGAATACATTTTTTAATAATATATTTACATAAATTTCATTTGAATAATGAATTATTAGCGAACTGGTAAATCGGTTCGATTCGATTTTGACTTTATTTTGAAATCCAATAGAGATAGAGGAATTTTCGTTATGACCTTTTTTGTCGAGATAATTGTGGGGTGCAAAAAAGGTCATTACAGAAATTTCGCCATCTCCCTTAGTTTCTGAGATATTTTAACACTTCGTCACGGAATTCCGTAGAGAATTTGTAAAGGGTAACGAGCCGATTTACCTTTACCATTCAGTTCTTAATCCCAGAATTACAATCTCTTTAAAGAAAAATCCTGAAATGAGTGGTAAATTAAAAAATGATAAAAATTTTGAGGGGATGAAAATAAATGAAACCAATGGCCAATTCCAACTCTGATGAATATCCCAGTGAGTGGCCAGTCTTGATTTTACTGGCAGAACACAACACACGTATCATGACAGACGTTTGAGATATCTGGCATCAATCGGAGCTCTGAAATTAGACAGCTGGAGGAGGCCAGCGGCCATCTTGCAAGTACAAACTACCGATTGACCATGTACTTGGTCATTTCCCCAGGACATAAAACACCTCAACAATAAATCTCGGGAAACAATTATGGAGTCAAGTGGTAAAACGACAAAAGTCATCTCAACTCTTCTCAGTCATTTCCAAAAAAAACTCCAAAACCGAGGGAAAAATTGAATTTGGTGTAATAACCTTTTTCATAGTTCTCAAGTAGCTCCACAAAAAAGGTTCTATCAAAAATTTCGGTATCTGCTTTCATACCGGAGATACGGTAGAAAAAGGCGCCGAAGAAGTAATTCACCTGGTTCTATGATTTGAATGGCATTCTCACCTGGTGAAGAGCGGTCAGGCCATCGACATTTCCAGTGTTGATATCAGCACCTTTCTGCAGAAGTCTGACGACCTCGTCCTTATCACCAGCAGCACAAGCAGCCAAAAAGACACAGTCGGCCGAGAACTTGATCTTTCGTGCTATTTGTTTCGGTTGGGCCGGTTGGCTATTAGTCTCAGACTGTTCCCAACGTTTGAGCTGTTCGGCCCTCTTGAAGAGGGCCGAGCTGGAGCGTGTCTCCAGGGACATCTCCAATATCCTCAAAAATAATAAATCACCCCTTCTCCACTCACTCAAACTTCAAAATCCAACTGTTACCACGTAATTCACCAATTGCATGGATAACACATTGCCAGGGAGAACATGAGTGAAAACGTGGAGTATATTCCAAATATTACACCGAATCCTGACAATTATGAGAATTCAGGTCCAACCGAATCGATGATGATTGTCACCGATCACTTAATTTTCTAATGCTCTGTGAATTTTTAGTCTAGTCGGAATGAGTGGGAGGGGCATCCGCCGTAAACTCCAGTTAACCAGTTAAATAAATTCGGATATATTCACAATTATGAACATTAGATTTGATGAAAAATACTGGCGAATCCTCGGTGTTTCAGATGTGATGGCCTGTGGATTTGGGATGAGTTTGAGGCACTGGCTGGATAATTATTGAAATATCGGGCTTTATTCACTGTTTTATTGTAAAAAAAAAAAAGTGGACACCGTTGGGCAGCCGATGGCACTCTGATTCTATCGTCGGCTCTTCTGCCCGTCGGCACAACCCCTCCCCCTTTTACAACGTTTTGCACTTTGTTTTATTCTATTTATCCTAGAGCGTTTTTCTTTTGGGGCTCGATGGGCTATTCTTGGGCTCTAAAAGTTTTCCCCACTTTTGGCCCCCCTCGACAATCCGCGTAAAAACCCCCTCTCTCTTGGAAATCACACGGCACCTTGACAACGATTTATTGGGAAGTGATGGGATCTAGGGATCAGTCACTATGCCGTGTAGATGATTTGGCCGATTTATCAATTTGCTATTTCACTTTTGGTGATTCGGCAATCTTTTTAGCGGTGTGTTGTTGGGGTATTTTTATGGGCTTTTTCCGGGATTTTTATGGGTACTATAACTTCACATGAAGAACTAAACTATTGGGAGGTGGAGTATGGCGGATGATACCTTCCAGCAGCGCCATTGGTTACGCCATTTTATTTTTTTCTGGTGGCAATTTTCGGCGCTATGTTTTTGAGATATGTTGTGTACCTTTTTTTAATTACCTCCATTGAAAAATTCCAGGAATTATCGATATCCAGGATTCGACGAGATCTTTATCGATTCTACTGTGAAAGTAATTAATTTCTCATAAATCATTGAGATGTCAAATTACTCCATTGATTTAATAACAAAAATAATTCAAATGTAATTGAACAATATTTTCTCAAAAATCAATTAACAGAAACAAATACTCTTGCAATAATGAGGAAGTAATTGCAACAAGAGACTTTCTATTATCAACGACCTAATCAATGAATAAATTAATTTAATTATTACATACCTCATTACCGCATACCCCAGATAAAAATTGATGTGAAGATAATTTTTTTTATGATCCCCAAAAATAATTTGAAAAATTATACAGCAGATTTGCAGATTTGCAAATTCCAGATTGTTATTTCATAGAATGATTTTTTTTTCTTGGGACAATTGAAAGAATTGAATGCCAAGTTTTTTTTTTTATTAAAAATTGAGGGCTCTTGATACAGGAATTATAAATCGAATTCACCCCCGAAAAAAGTCATCTCTAAGGGATGTCCACCCTAAATTTCAAATCGTCAGTTGTGAATTCCCCTTGATTCTTCAGGAAATCTCCAACAGCGCATCAACGCCATCAAAGCGAACGGACCGCATATGTATGTGTGATTTTGGCGAGTTTGCCTCACTATTGCAACGGAAAAACTACCTCGGCAACATCCCTAAACCCGGAAAAAAGAATAAATCACCGGATTGTAACCGAAAAAAATTCCGAATAATCAAAATCCGAAACCCAGTGAAAGCCGAATCCCTCCAAAACTGATAATTTCAATCAAAAGCTGGATAGCGCGTGCTGGGCCGAGTGTTGCCGAGTGTGCCCGTGGAAAAAAAGTTTTTGCCTCATCCTCCGAAGAAAAAAATCCAATTGGTGACCAAATATCTCGAGTTCCTCACGTAAAAATCACAAAAAACCCATCAATCCTGGCCACCAACCACAAAATACCATCCAGAATATTTTTTCCTCTTTCACAATGTTGGGCTGAAGCGTTTGGCCATTTGTTCGCTGTGAAAACAACAATAATTATTAAAATATATTGATCCCGATGTTGGTCGTAGATTTGTGCAAATGTAGTTTTCATGCTTATGAGGAGAGAATACCGGGAGGAAAGTCGTGGATACCGAAGAAAGCTTCAACAACGTTTGAAGCTTTCGAGGTCGCATTCATGGAACTATGAACCTGGACTCGTTATCTTTTACTTTGTCACAAATAAGTTATTTGGTTGCTAATTTGAATAAGAAAAATTATCGTGGCAGTGCCGAGGAGATAACATTCGTGAGTAACAATTATATTCAACTCCCATTCTATACTTGCCAAGTAAAACGAGATAACTTGAATAATACCTCCTAAAAAAAGAACCATGAAGAAGTTTCTTATAAAAATCTCTTCATTTTTCCTGGTTGCGGAGATATTTTCGAAAGACTCGTCTTTTCACGACTTCATCGTGGATTTAATGATAATTTGATAATAGACTAATGACGATTGATTTAATACAATGAAAAATGGAATTTGCGTTGTAGCTGGTACGTTGGAAAGGTCTTGAGGCGGACAGACACTTGCTGCGCTGTTTGTTCTCTTACGTTGACTTTTCAACTGGTGAGCCACCCAGCACTAGCTCCAAGGACTATTACCAAGTGCAACTGCTGAAACAGGAGTGCAATAATCACCTGGGGAAGCCACTGCTGATATCTAACCTCACATACGCAATCGATCATCCACTGCATCAGCAGAAAACATTGACACCATCGCCAAAGTTTTTTCACAATCTTCGTCGAGTGTTGAATCTGACACTAGTTCAGCAGGTGGTCGTTACCCTGACCCTTCGTCACTCATCATCATCAGAGCTACGTCAGCTTGCCCTCGAGGATCTCCGCAAGAATCTCCCAGAGTTAATAAAAAACTATACAAACACAGAGAATCCCAGCAAGCAGCAGGAAGAGGGTCTCCACGACTCGTCCCCCGAAGTCCTCCACCTGATCCTCTCCCAGGCCCTAGATCCCAACAACAGCTTCAATCTTCCCCCGGACTCGGTGGAGAAATTCCTGAAAAATCTGCGTCGTGATTTTCCTCGAGAGCTTGTACCAGTGGTGCTAGCACCACTCATCTATCCAAACGAGGGGGAACTCTATCCCAATATCCAGAGCAATTTCGTTATGGCTGGGAGTCAGATGGACAGTAGTTCACTGGTTGAGCTCATAATGGAGTTGGGTTATGGATTTACAGCGAGTGTTGAGGAGTGCCGAGCAGCTCTGGCGAATCTTGGAGCTAGGGAGATATCACCACTGGCTGCTGCCAGAGTTCTAGCTCATATGGCGAGAACCTGCACTGGTCTTGAGGATGCTGGGGGCCTTCAGGCATTCTGGGGCAACACATCAGCCAATTCAGACTCAAACAAGGACAAATCCTCGGACGGCAGCACCACCCCTACCACCTGGAACGTCGAAGTTTTTATTCAAACCCTCAAGGATATCCAGTCAACTCTCTCCTGGAGCGAAGTAATCGTCAAACTGGATCACTTGGAGTTTCACATAAAGGATCGGCAGGGTCTGAATCTTCTCATCACAGGTCTTCGCCTGGGACTCCAGCATCAGGGTTATCCCCTGGACATGTTTCCAGTGGAGCTGTTCTACAGACACTGGGACAATATCGAGGGACAGTTCTCACTGATCCAGCAGATCCTCAAGAGTCCAGACATCTTCTGCTTCGCTGATTATCCTTATCACCAGGTAACAGTGGATGTCCTGAAGTCAATACCCGAGGGGGACAGCAAAGAGGCCAAAACCTGGAACTCTCTCAATGTCGTCGAACTTCTTCTGCACATGGCTGAGAGGGGCCTCTATGGCCCTGTCCAGGAGATATTCAAGTGGCCAATTCAACACTGCCCTGACGTTCTCATTCTCGCTCTACTCCAGATCAGTCCACCCCTAACGATTCTCAGGCAAGAGCTACTCACCACCCTCATGCCCATTTTTCTGGGAAATCATCCCAATTCAGCGGTTATTCTTCATCACGCCTGGCACGCCAATAATACCAAAATAAAAACGATTATCATGCACTCGATGGCAGAGTGGTACCTGCGAGGGGATCACGATCAGACGAGACTCTCCAGAATTTTGGACGTCGCTCAGGACTTGAAAGCACTATCGACTCTCCTGAATGCCCAATCTTTTCCCTTCATGATTGATCTCGCATGTTTAGCCTCACGAAGAGAATATCTCAAGCTGGAGAAATGGTTGACTGATAAAATTCGAGACCATGGCGAGGCTTTTGTAGCTGTGACCGTCAAGTTCCTCCAGAGGAGGTGCCCTCAGGTGATGGGGGCCGGCATGAAGGAGGATTCGAGTCTGCCGAAGGCCAGTCAACTCCCTCAGGAGACATTGACAACGATTTTAGCGTGCCTTCAGGGTTGCGCTGGCAGTGTCTCCCCGGAGTGCTCAGAAACCATAATGACGATGGTGCAGAATTGCAGTCTGATGCTGCAAAAAGGAACGATGAATAGACCTCCACCACCTGGAGTCCTTCGTCACCCAGTTCTCGACGCCTTTAATCCAGCAAAACTGGCTAATCCCCTGTTCTCATCGAAACCAGTGGATAATATTGGGAATATCAGCTCCAGTTTGGCATCAATGGGAATAGCCCCCACTTCATCCACGTTTAATCTTCCTGGCGCCCTTGGGCCCCTGGTTTCAGCCCCAGGATCACCATCACGACTGATGGGTCCCTCGCCAAATCAATTTCCAATGCTACCAATTTCCTCTCAACTTCACTCAGGCCCTGTGGGTACTCAGGGGCCCTCTGTTCTCCCAGGAGGCTCGACAATAGGTGGACTAGGTCGTTTGGTTCCCCCCACTGGCATCGAAAAAACAAGAATTCCAGACTTCTCCAATCTCTTTCCAGACGTTTCACAAAATGTTTCGAAGGAGATCGAGGACGAGGCCAACAGCTACTTCCAGAGGATTTACAATCATCCCCCTCATCCTACCCTATCCATCGACGAGGTTCTCGATATGCTGAAGAAGTTCCAGGATGCTGGAACGAAGAGAGAACGAGAGGTGTTCCATTGCATGCTGAGAAATCTTTTTGAGGAGTACAAATTCTTCCCGCAGTATCCCGACAAAGAGCTTCATATAACAGCTGAATTGTTCGGTGGAATAATCGAACGAGGACTTGTCAACAGTTACGTGACCCTTGGACTAGCCCTGAGATTTGTCCTGGATGCCCTGAGGAAGTCTGAGGGCAGTAAAATGTATTACTTCGGAGTGGTGGCCCTCGACAGGTTCAAGGGACGCCTCAAGGATTACCAGACGTATTGCGAGCACGTGAGAACGATTCAGCACTTTTCAGAATTCCCAGCCCATCTGATTGAGTACATAGAGTACGGCCTCCAGGGACAAGAGCCACCGCACAAGCCACAGGGGCCAGTACTCCCCAAGAATTTGGCGGCTCTTTTGGCGCCAGTGACAACTCAACCCCCTTACAAGACAATCACCACCACAACAATAACCACGAGCACCACACAAGTCCAGGTTAAATCCACAACGACAGCTACAACTTCATTGTCAGCTAGACCATCAATAGCCAATGCCACGAATATTGACACTCTTCTAGTTGCCACTGACAAGGAGGAGAAGATAACGTGTCCCCCTGAGACTCTTCAGGACAAAACTGCCTTCATCTTCAATAACCTGAGTCAACTGAATCTTCAACAGAAGTGCGACGAGATCAGGGAAATCGTTACCGAGGAGTACTGGCCCTGGATGGCGCAGTATCTCGTGATGAAGCGAGCCAGCATCGAGCTAAATTTTCACGCACTGTACTCCAACTTTCTGGACTGCCTCAAAGCTCCAGAGATCAATAAAATGGTCACCAGGGAGACCTTCAGAAATATCAAGGTGCTGCTGAGGAGTGACAAGGGGATTGCCAATTTCTCTGATCGTTCACTCCTGAAAAACCTGGGACACTGGCTGGGAATGCTGACTCTAGGTCGAAATAAACCAATTCTCCAGGTGGATATAGACTTGAAGAGCCTCCTCGTCGAGGCATACCACAAGGGCCAGCAGGAGCTCCTCTACGTCGTACCATTCGTCGCCAAAGTCCTGGAGAGCTGTGCCAAGAGTCGAGTGTTTCGACCCCCGAATCCCTGGACAATAGCGATAATGAATGTTCTCGCAGAGCTCCATCAAGAGCCCGATCTCAAACTCAACTTAAAATTTGAAATCGAGGTACTGTGCAAGAATTTGAGTATCGATGTGGCTGAGCTGAACCCAGCGGTTTACCTGAAGGACCCAGACAAGCTGAGAAATCTCGAGTATCAATTGTCCCAGCCAAATAAAAAAGCAGAGGCACCGACTAACCAACAGCCTCAGGCAGGCCCCATGGAGGAACTTGGGGGCTCGACACAAGCTCCAGGAACAATATCCCAGCCATCACAACCAGCTAATACAACTCCATCATTGCCCACAGGACCCCCAGAGCCGCGATTCAACTACATGGACATCAGTGTCACCAATATCTCCAACATAGCCCAACATATGACGATAAATAATCAGCTGCCACTGTTCCAGACACATCCACACCTGAAGCAATTTGTAAGACCAGCTGTAGAACGAGCAATTCAGGAATGGATTCACCCAGTGGTTGATCGTTCCATTAAAATAGCCCTGACCACCAGCGAACAAATAGTACGTAAGGATTTTGCACTGGACCCCGAAGAAGTGAGAATGCGCTCTGCTGCGAGGCACATGGTGAGAAATTTGACAGCTGGAATGGCAATGATCACCTGCAGGGATCAAATTCTCGCGTCGATCAGTACAAATCTGAAGAATGCATTTTTAACAGCGATGGGCTCGACACCCCAGCAGAAAGAAGTCGCTGAACAGGCAGCTAATGTCGTTGCTGCTGATAATATGGAGTTGGCATGCGCTTTTGTCCAGAAGACAGCTATTGAGAAGGCGATGCCTGAGATGGACAAGAGATTGTTGAATGAAATAGAGCTGAGAAAGATAGCCAGACAGGAGGGGAGAAGATATTGTGATCCTCTGGCTAAATATCAGGCTGAGAGAATGCCTGAACAAATAAGATTGAAAGCTGGAGGTGTAACACCCCAGCAAATGGCAGTCTACGAGGAATTCGCCAGGAATATTCCAGGATTTCTTCCACTATCCGAGAGAGACACTCAAGCTCTGTTTATCCCGAAACCGATAGCCGAGCCGACGGTTCAGGCGTCTTTTCCAACTAATCCAGCAGGTGTTGCTATTGCAACACCTCAGCAAGTTGCCGTCTATGCAACAGTCAACAACGATGAGATTGGCTCGATGCTGGAGAAACTCGCTGGAGAAGTTGAGCTATTGATATCTGCGATGGGACCTGCAGTACCACCTCCTCATCATGCATCACTCCACAGTCTCCTGGAGTCTGTTATCTTGACGAGAAGATCGAGAGACGCTGGGGCTGCAATGGCATTACTGAAAAAAGCTGTTGAGGGACTGCTGGATGGTCCGACAATATCCAGTGGAGTAATCGATGGGGAGATAATCCTGAGATGTCGAGAGGTGCATCTGAGAATTCTCAAGTGTCTTCAGGATCCCAGAGCCTATGGTATGCAGTGGACCAACAAACACTCCACAAGATGCCTGACAGAATGCAGAGATGAATTTAGATACAACTTTGAGGCTGTCGACTGTCTGATAAGATCTCACCTGGTGAGCTTTCCACAGTTTGATATCGCTCTGGCTCAGGCTATGGATGCAGGCAATGCCATGGCCACTGCTTTTGCAATGCAGCTTGTACAGATGTACCTCATCGATGAACGACAGACAACACACGTCACGGAGTCTGATCTCTACAACACCATTGAAATTCTCGGAAGGATGATTCAGCACCGAGCACCACCAGAAGGCATCTCTCTTTTCAGATTAACAAACCTCATCGAGTCCCTTCGAGCGAATCAGGATCCCGGGGTACTCGCTGATCGACCATCAGCCGGCCCCACCGCTCACATTCACTCTGGAATTCTCCAGGTCCGGGCCCGGGACTTTGACGATCCCCCAGGATTCATGGAGAAGACTGAGTATCTCCTCAGGGAATGGGTGCAGATGCATCACTCACCAACTCACGCACGTGATCCCACAAAAGCCTTTGGTATTTTCGTTCACCAGATGAATATCCATGGAATCCTCAAAACTGATGATCTCATCACGAGATTTTTCAAACTCAGCACTCAGATGTGTGTCGATCTGTGTTACAGAGCGCTCGCTGAGACAAACGTGGCACCATCAGTCATTAGAGCCAAATGTTTTCACTCACTCGATGCTTTTGTACGTCTAGTGGCTCTTCTTGTTAAACACTCTGGTGACACAACCAATACCCACACCAAGATCAATCTTTTGAATAAAGTCCTGGGTATCGTGGCTGGAGTTCTCCTCCAGGATCACGAGCTGAGAACAACAGACTTCCAACAGCTTCCCTACCACAGAATCTTCATAATGCTGTTTTTGGAGCTTTGTGCACCCGAGCCTGTCCTCGAGGCTGTCAATTTCCAAGTGCTCACAGCTTACTGTCACACCCTTCACATTCTGCGACCTGCCAAAGCCCCAGGTTTCTGCTACGCTTGGTTGGAACTCGTGTCCCACAGAGTCTTCATTGGCCGAATGCTGGCAATAACACCTCAGCAAAAGGGCTGGGGTCCCTACGCCCAATTGCTCATTGATCTCTTCAAGTACCTCGCACCATATCTGAGGAATGCAGAACTCGCGAAACCCGTGACTCTCCTCTATAAAGGAACACTTCGAGTTCTCCTGGTGCTGTTACACGACTTCCCAGAGTTCCTCTGCGATTATCATTATGGATTCTGCGACGTCATTCCCCCGAACTGCATTCAGATGAGGAATCTGATACTCAGTGCTTTTCCCAGGAACATGAGACTGCCTGATCCTTTCACTCCTAATTTAAAGGTGGATATGCTCCAGGAGATCGCCCATGCCCCAAGGGTATTGACGAATTTTGCATCGATGATTCAACCGTTGAGTTTCAAAAAGGAGTTGGATTCTTATCTGAAAGCCAGGGCTCCTGTCACTTTCTTGTCTGAATTGAGGAGCAATCTCCAGGTGTCCCAGGAGCCTGGCATGAGATACAATATTCTTCTGATGAATGCTCTGGTGCTGTACGTGGGAACTCAGGCAATTGCATTCATCAGGAACAAGGGACACACACCCAATATGTCGACTATTGCTCACTCAGCCCACATGGATATCTTCCAAAATCTTGCGGTTGATCTCGACACCGAGGGACGATATCTATTCCTCAATGCTATTGCTAATCAGCTGAGATATCCCAATAGTCATACGCATTATTTCAGTTGTACTCTCCTGTATTTATTCGCCGAGGCCAATACTGAAGCCATTCAGGAGCAAATAACTAGAGTTCTCTTGGAGAGACTCATTGTTAATAGACCTCATCCCTGGGGACTACTCATTACCTTCATTGAACTTATTAAGAATAGGAATTATAAGTTCTGGGATCATGAGTTCGTGCATTGCGCACCTGAAATTGAAAAGTAAGTTCTTCATGAATTTATTGTTTCTGTAATCGATTTTTTAAAATTGAATTTCGATTTTTAGTGGAAATTTCAAAAAAACTTTCAAACTTCAAAGAGATGCTTTGTTATTTTACAAATAATTTCATCATAACCGTGAAATTCATAATTAATTAGATGATCATTAATTCATGTAGTGCTGATATCAATTTTTGAATTCCAGATTATTCGAATCAGTGGCAAGATCCTGCATGGTCCAGAAACAAGTTCAGCCAACACCAGAGCCGGAGATGCCCGAGTGATAAGACGTTTTTACATTAGTTATTTTTCATTTGCACTCAATTTCCCCTTCTTTCCATGTACAGTTAAAAGAATTGGTACATAATTAATCACATGTAAAAATACTTAGGTGTATTATATTTTCTGGGGCTAAGATACATTTTCATTTCGTTTTATTTTTTTTTTTCCTTATTGTTTATTGGAATTTTGTTCCCCCGATTTTATTCGGATGAAATAATGAATCATAAAACTATCCGTTAGATCTACTTGATGAATATAGTGATCGATTAGATAAATAAGGTAATGATACAATTGATATGTTAATATTTTAATAAAAACGTCTCTGTAACTGTACAAAAAGTCTGTTAAAGATGGTATTGGTACAGATAGAGTTATAATTATCCCTGAGGGGAGTGAGTGAGCCAATGAATGAAATAGCTGATAATGGGAGCATTTTATATTGCAAGTATATTTGGGTACAAAATATCACAAAATTATAGTTGACAATACTAATCTCTACGAAGATAATGGATTACAGCGATGTATAAATAACAAAGAATGGTGTTCAATAGAGTGTACATTGATAGTGATAAAATATCATCTTATTTTTCTTTTTCTCTTATAGATTAATTGATTACTTCTGGAGGAAGTTTCATGTATTTACTTGCAATAAACTGCACAATTTACTAAATTTCGTCGATGGCAGATTGAGAGATTGACAGCTGTTGGCAGATTGAGGGTGAAAAATCCCTCGTGAATACTAGATCATCAGATTCTGTCAGATTTTCGTCAAAAATGTCAAATTCTGTTTTTAAAAAATGTATCACATACATTGGCTGTCATTTTATGATGTCCTCACAAAATCCTTGGTAAAAAAAAAGGGTTACTTTTTTTTGGAAAGGGGAATTTCATCCACGTCCCGGCCGCTTCAGCGCAAGTAATTCATAATTAAATACAATATGACAGAATCTTGATTTAATTTCCACGAGGGGTTCGTCTCGACAAAAATCATGCATTCAAATTATCTCTGGTTGCGTGATAAGAGTCTCGTTCGGTGTCTGGGAATTTAGTGGGTAGATTGGGGCTATGAAGATTGCATTTGGCATGAAATTTTATTCCAGCCACGTCGACCTCGTAATCCCCAGAGAGTACATACTCGTTAGTAACCTCCTGAGTTCTCCCAATGTCATCCAAATTCTGTACAAATCCGAGACAAACTTGAGTTCTGAAGGTGTATCCATAGCCAGTGGTGGTGGTCATACCACAGTACTTTCCATTCCTGTAGATCGGCTCACCCCCCCAGCACCAGGTGTCAAACTCAGGATCATGATCATTGAGAAGAAGTTGTACGTATTTTCGAGTTACTCCCTGCTCTCTCTGCCTGAGGAGCGCATCACGACCGATGAAATCGATATCTTTATCGAATTTAACTCGCCAGGACCTGCCACACTCCAGAGGAGTCGTGAACGTGTCAAGATCCTGTCCCCAGAATGCGTAGAATTTCTCAACTCTCAATCCCCTCGTTGCATAATACCCAGCATGATTTATTCCATATTTAGCACCGGCTTCGAGAAGTCTCGTATAAATATGAAGAGCAAATTCATTTGGAATATAAAGAACATATCCCAACTCCCCAGTGTGGGTGAGGTTCATCGTCCTGACGCCATTAGCGAGACCCACATCCAACTCCTTAAACGTGAAGAAGGGAAAACTCTTGGGGCTCAGGTCGTCATCAGTGAGTTCAGTCAATAATGACCTAGTGGCAGGGCCCATGATGCAAATTGCAGTGTAAGCTGACGTGACATCTGAAAAAGCAACAGAGCCATCGCCAGGCAGATGTCGTCTGATCCAGTGTTTGCAGCGAGTCTGCTGAATCGTTGGGGCAATCATCATGTAGTGATTGTGAGATATTCTAGCTAAACTGCAATCATTCTCGTATCCTCCCCGATGATTCTGCATTCCAGTATGAATTATACTCCCAACCGGTACATCAACATCGTTGGAGCACAGGTACTGGAGAAAATTCACGACTTCTTCACCCTTCGACCAGAGGTCGATCTTCGTGAAGGAAGAGTAATCACTCAGGCCAATTGTCTCTCTGCAAGCTGCATATTCCCTTCCCACTGGGCCGAACCACGAGGGCTTTCCAAAAGTATTGGTCGAAGCTATTTTGTACGTTTGCAGTCCATCGAGAGGGTCGACGTCGTTCTCATCCAGTTGAAACCACGAGGGCCTCTCGTACCCCATCACCTGACCAAAAACAGCACCCGCTTCCTTGAGCTTCGAGTAGATCGGTGACATCCGCAAATTTCTTCCTGTCTTGAACTCCATGTGAGGGTACTGAAGGGCGTAATGAGTGCTGGGTACCTCTCTCACTCGATCTCTCAGGAATTTTCTGTTATTGTGAAGACCAAGAAATCGTGAGACGTCAATCTCGTACATATCTAGGGACGTTGACCCATTTATTATGAGTTCAGCTGTTGCACGACCTACGCCACCAGCTGCTGACACTCCAATAGTCTTCATTCCAGCAGCGACGTAATAATTTCTAATTTCCGGTGCCTCTCCAACGATCCACTTGCAATCAGGGGAAAATGCCTCTGGACAATTGCACAATCTCTCGAGCTCAATGTCCCCGAGGGCTGGTACCCGGTGAAGAATTTGCTCTAATAGCACATGAAAGTGGTCCCAGTCCTCTGGGAGGACTCTCTCGGCGATGGTCTCAGGTATTCTTCCATCCTCGAAGGCGGGTTTGGCCAGTGGCTCAAAACCCCCAGCCAGAATTCTCCCGTTGTTCTCTCTGAAATAGACGTAGCCATCGAGATCACGAACAACTGGAGTCATCGATTCCAGTCCAGGAATGGGTTTTGTGTGGAGATAGTAGTGCTCTACTGGATGCAGTGGGACTTTCACGTGGGGATGACTTAATTTACCAACATTCCTCGCCCAGAATCCAGCGCAATTGACGAAGTGCTGGCATTTGACGGTGCCTTTTGATGTCTGGACCCCATCGACTCTTCCATCTGTGGTATCAACTCTTGTTATTCGACAGTTCTCGAATACTTGCACCCCCTGTCTCTGAGCTTCTTTGATCAACGTCAAACAGGTTTGATAGGGATCCGCTACACCATCCCCTGGAATCCATATTCCACCCACCAGGTCGTCGACTTGAATGAGGGGACAGAGCTCCTGGGCTTCCTCTGGAGTCACCAAGTGACACTCGATGTCTCTCGATACAGACTGGGCCTTCATCCTCCTGAAGACTGTCATCCTGTCTCTCGTTCGGGCTAGAGACAGACTCCCACACTGTTTCCAGCCAGTTGGCAGCCCCTTCTCCTCCAGGTCCTTGTACAGGGCAATACTGTCCTGGGTTAATTTCACTTGTGCTAAACTCGGCTTGAAGGCACCCACCAGTCCTGATGCATGCCACGTCGTTCCCTCGCCCGTTCGTCCACTTTCTAAGATTATTGTTCGTGAACCCCAGCCCATCACAGCGAGATGGTAAGCAACAGCTGCACCCATTACCCCACCTCCACATATCACCACTTGAGATTCCTCAGGGAGTCCAGGGTCACTTGATGATCCAACACCTCTCAACTGACATCTCAATATCTCACGGGCTGATTTCACCAGTCCCAGGGGGAATGACAGCCTCTCCAGGTGATTCGCTGATCTCCACATTTCTGTATCACGAAATTCAGATTGAATTTTAATTCTTTCTGAAAGTCCATTTATTGGAACTGACCTTTGAGGTTATTCATCACAGGTATCACAGCCCCAGGCAATAATGTCACATTCTTTCCATTTTATTATTGTCATTCGGTGAAACAATAACTAGAAGTTAATGGAAATTTTATGAGGAAATCAATTTGGGGATTTCAGTGTGGGAGAAATGGTGGGGAAGGATTGAATTGTTTCACGTACCGTAGGTCTGCCATCGTCTGCTCCATCTGAATGTTTTGATGGGTTTTGATAGTCATGTGTAATAATTATTCCCCTGTGCAGGTAAAATAATGAATCAAGGACCCGGATCACATCAATGAATGAAAATAAAAGGAGAAAAAAAAAGAAATAAAAAAGAAAAAAACTGGAATTCATGTTATTTACACATAATCAAAAATTTATTACACTCCATCAATTCGAAATACTCGATATAAATACTTCTTATTTGTGTTAACACATTAATGAAAACAATTGATAAAGCGCATTGATTGTCTGCGTAGATACAATGTGAAAATAAACCCCGAGTTCGTGGTATAATAATTAATGAATTAAATATCGTTCGTCGTTGAAGATCTTCAAGATCTCGTTCACCTCCTAGAGAGGAAAAATCCTTCCAAAATTCCCCTGTCATACATCAATTAGTCAATTGACAAAGGCACTGAGATTCTTCAATTATCTATTCCATAATTTTGTTCCAACTGAACAATAGCGTCTTAATAAAAAAAAATTGTATAAATAAATCTTCCAGACTTCGTATTACAATTTTTTTTTTTGAGTTATAATATGATCTCCGAGTAACTTTCCTCCTCAAAAATCCCTGATATGGCCTTTGGGACGGTTAACAGCTGCACAAGTGAAACAATTACCTGTCAATAAATTTAATCTCTAACTACTCATTAATTAAAATAGTTGCGGTATTCGAATTGTGTCAAGAGTTGCTGCTTGTTGTGGAAGATACTACAGTGGTAGTGTTGTGGCTTTACTCTTGTGCATTCCGTGAGAAATTGGGCCTTTAAAATTACTCTATCTCGCGTGCTTTCCTAGGTACGCCTTGCAGTTGGGACAGGTGTGGTGGATGTCCATGCATTCGTCAATGCAACAGGGAATCAGACAGCAACCGAAAAAACATCTAGAGAAAAAATCCATAATAAATACAAGATAAAAATGTTGAAACTGATTATTCCCATTTCCTCTCTTTATCACTGACTCTCGTAATCGAATTAATTTCGTACCCGAGCAATGCAATGACAACACCTGAGACGTATGCAATCATTCCAGGCTCTGATTTCGTAGCTGTTTCAATCTCGACGTGACAGTGGGGACAGATAGTGTGGGTGGGCCCAGATCCCAATGGCACTATTGTCGTCACGATGGGAGGTCCCTGAGCATCTGATTAAATTAATAATTATTGTGACATGTTTTATCGATTTAATGCGGATTAATGTCGAGAGAGAGGTGAAATAATTACATGTTGGTGCTGGAGTGTATGGGCTGGCAGGTAGAACACCTCCTACACTCTGGAAGTAGCTCGGTGGTGCTGATGGTGGGGGCTGATCATAGGAAGGTGGTGGCCCATTTTTGTTCATGATGATGAGTTAACTGCAATAAATTAAATCAAATCCTTTTCTTCACAATCTCTCAAACTGGAGAATTATCGAATTTCATGAATGAGAAAATGCAAATAATTTATCAGAACCGAAATAATAATAATTATCTGTGGAATGAATTAATTGATTAATCGATATAATTGATAATTAATTGAAAATTGTTTTTGTAAAAATGGCTCAGTACCATAATTCCCATGGGAAATTAATGAAAGCTTCTTCGCCGAGAGAAAGAGAAACAAATGAGACACTTTAATTATTGCGAATTCTAGGTGAAAAGTGACGCGATTTCCGTAAATACCCACGGCCCAATTACGACATAAATACGCCATATGAATGAGGGAATTGCCTGGGAATTGCCATGAGAACTAGAAAGACCTTGAGAAATAAATTTGAGCATGAACCATCGCTTATTTATAGTAATAAACTCCCCTCTGATTATTGAACATATGATTATTGAAGGACGACTCACCTGGGGGAATTTTCCGCGTTAATATTTCCACTGAAAAATCGAACAAGCGAGTGTAAATTTTTTGTTGTTCAGTGACGCGGAGATATCCGCATGTGTTGTCTCACAAAAATACACAAAAGTCTCGTCTCGAGACTCTGGATCAGCATGGGGTACCCGTCAAGGAAAATCGGCCCTAATCTCATCATCGAGTGCATCCGGCGATCTTCGGGGATCTTCGAGTGACGCGGAAAGAGAGAGTGACAGTTGTTTATGCAAATTGTACTTATTAAAAACTCTCGTTTTCCTCGGCTTTCATGCATCCTAGAGCGAAGAGCCCTTATTTGTGATCTCTGTGTTTTTTTTTTAATTTTTCGAAAAATATTTGTCCTAGCCATCTAAATTCAACTGCATGGAATTCCTCAGGCAATTTACGATTTTTTATTTACAGAAAAAAATTTTTAAAAGGATTACTCACTATTTTTATTTACATAATATTTAATCTGTTATTGGAATTAGATAATTAATGACCTGGACATATCGCAGGGAAAGGAATAAAAAAATGAAATAAAAATCGTCACCTAGGCTTTTTTTTTCAAAAGCCACGCTTTTGCCACCAGTGGGCAGCACTATTTTGTATTCATAAATATAACTGTAAACATATACCAACAAGAATCATTCATCGAATATTTTGCATAATTGCTCTTCAAAAATTATTGACACAATGAATTAAATACCAATATATCTCTTAATTAATCATAATTCCGATAAAACACGAGGTGAGAGCATGAAAATTTTATTGGAATTGAATTGACTTGATAACCTACCGAAGAATAGTCCCGCCACTTTGTCCATCAGTGCGATTACAATGTAATTAACATATCCCTAATTATCACAGATTATTCCAGAGGCTGTCCCTGCAAAAATGTTCGCAAAGCCGATGAGAACCTACCAGAGAAAGCCTGTGAATTCTTGGTCTAGAATTCCCGCAGCCATTCCCACTCGTTCCATTCCCCTGCACTTCTTCTCGGACTCCGAAGACGAGGAAAATGACAAACAGGAAGAGCCCCTGGACGATACCTTCGACAGACTGAGAAAAACGGCAAAACCAGTGGAGGCAGTTGTCTCGTCTCAAAACAATGACTCAACAAATTTTTACTCCACCAGCAGCTCTGACTCCAGTGAACTGGAAGTCATCCCCATTCCTCAGGCTAGTCTTCCGGTTAAACGTGGGAGAAAAAGAAAAACCACGGAAAAATCCACAAAAGCCAGTAAAAATCCTCAGAATTCTCTCTCAAATCAGAAAGTAACGAGAAGAATCAGAGGAGCTAAGGATAATGCAGGACGTCCCGTCAATTCTCAAGTTGTAGATCAAAAGAGAAAAGAGAAACAACAAGTCAAGTCGAGAAATAGAAAAAAGAGAACTTCTCCATCACGACAAAAACATTTTGATAAAAATGAGGAGAACGACCTTGTGGATGACAGTGTAATCCCACCAGTTGTTGAAATCTCAGATAAAAGACCAGATTCCAACAGAAGAGGAGGCAAAAATATTGAGTCAATTCAACGAAACGAAATTTCTCTGCACTCATCATCAGATGCAACGAGCGACTGCTGGGTGAGCTTACACAGATTAAAGCTGGCAAACATCCTGAGGGAAAAAAATCCTGGGAATCATTCCGAATCTCCGAATTCTCAGAAAAGTTCGGTCAGTGTTCTAGTCAGTTTATTATCTGAGGATGAGTTGAATGAAGAAAAAGAGAATAAATTCGACGAAGAGAAAACAAAAGGCAAAAGAAATTTGAAATCTCGAATCGAATCGCTAAGTTTATTCTCCACTGATGAGAGTTTGAATCCGAATGATTCTGTGAAGAAATACGAGAAAGAGGTGACGGATGATTCATTATCTCTCATGAAAGAGGAAATTATTGAGAAAACTCTTGAAACGAAGAGAAAACCCTCGAGTGCCAACGAGGGACGATCGTCTACCAGTTCCGTCTCAATCTTGGATAATTGTTCAGTAGTTCTTCAACGTTATGACAAACTGGGAAAATCCAGGAACTCCAATATCAATCAAACTCTCTGGAGCAGCACTCCAGTGGTCTCCAGGATCAGACAGAAAGGGGCTAGATTGCAGTTGTCTCCCATTCCAGTTCCCTCTTCTGGGATTAATCCGCGGAATAATCAATTGGCACCGAGAGGAAATCAATTACAAGAGCAGGAGAACAGGGGGAAGGAAAATATCGAGACTGATCCCTTAGGGGTGGCGATTAAATTACCCAAGAGCAATTCCGTTTCGATAATTGATGAGGACACTGAAGAGGAGCACGTGTCGACTGCTTCAGATATTATTCTGACTAGAATAGTTGATAATTCTCTCAAGCAGAAGATCGAGCAACAACTGTTCTCTTCGGTACCCAGTATTAAAGATAGTATTGATGGATCCACGGGGGTTGAGCCCTCGATTATTTCAGGAGAATGTCAGGAAGACAAATTGAAATCATCTGTAAATACAATGGCAGTTTCGAATTCTTCTGGAGAAATTTGCTCTCCACTCTCCGATAAGGTCGAGGGGAGGGTGGATACGTCGTCTTCAGGGACAATGTCTCCACTGATGTTTGAGGATAGTGGCGAGGATAAAAGAGAGGGTGACACTTCTGGAATTCATGATTCAACAGCTGGGGGAATTGAAGACGAGGGGCAGCCGATGGGGAAGACGTCGGGGGTTGATCTCTCGTCGCATTTGTTTTCAACTGATTCAATTAATGATCAAGGTGACGAGGAAAATAATGGGGAGATAATGATTGAAGAGCCAAATGATTCTTCTGGTGTTGGTGAAAAGAAAAGAGAGTCGACGATGATGGGACAATTGCCAGAAGCCCTGACTCGGTTACCCGATTCTGTTCGGGTGTCAGACAGACGTCACAAATATCGTGACCGAGATAATAGACTGAGTGCAATATCTGAGAATACTGTTAAGAGATTGTCAGAAGGGGTTGAAGGTCCTGTGGAGAATGATGAGGATGGGGATGAGGGTGAAGTGAGTGGTGGACGTGAAGTTAAGTCTGTCTTCCTAAAGCCTGGGAAGTCCTGGGCCCGATCGCTCTCTATTTTGAATCATTTACGAAAAGAGGAGGACCTCGAGGCCATGGCTGCTGGAAAAGGAAAGAACTGGCGACAAAGTGTAGCTAATCTCCTGAATATGCAGAGCCAAGGTAATGTGCAATGAATTGCTAAATTTTCTTTTGGAAATTCTCCCTGAATTAAAAAAATTTCTTTTTATTCAAAAAACGATAAAAAACGCAATTTTCCTCTGCGAGGAGTGAATAAATGATTTCCATACAATCGACCTCAGTCTTTGTTTTGAATAAATAAATAAATAAAAACACGCATGAAGTGGCACGGGAGATAAAACCGAGTGTCAATTGATAAACATGAATTCATTAGGTTAATCGGGACAAATAAATTCGAAATTCATTAGAAAAATACTCCGAGGCCCAATTGAAGGATTTTTCACGGTTCAGCCAATGGGTCTGTACTCAGTATTAAAATTTATTAGAGTAGATATGTAATTGAATGTCGGTGAAGTAAAATGAAAATGATTTGAAATTATTTTGTCTTACTAGGCATAATCCAAAGCTGCATATCGAATAATGCGGACGACAAGATTCAGACGTGTGTCTCCAGTGCCATTTCTGGACCTCCAGAGAGGAAATGGTCGGCGAATGGATTATCCTCTCAGCCCTCGAGTCCAGGGAGATTCATTCGGAGGGTGTCGATCCGCGTCGTGCCCGATAATAGGGGCAACACCAGGATCTCTGAAAAAATACAGGATTCATCGTTCCTTGAGGCTTATGGGATCACCACTGGAAAAGATCGACAGACGCTTGTGCAGAAACCGATCCAATCGGTGAGAAAATCGAATTATAATTTCCGAAGTAGCACGAATAATTTACAAGTTCCTGAGCCAACAATTGCCAGGAACGTCGTCTTGGAACGTTGCAACCAGATGGATAGCTGTCCATTTTCTCAAATGTACCCTGAGGAATACTTGGACAACTGTCGAAAAATCGGGGAAGGTGTCTACGGTGAGGTATTTCTCTTCGACAACGGCAAGGAAAGATCTGTCATCAAAATAATCCCAATAGAGGGCTCAGACCTCGTCAACGGGGAGCCCCAGAAGAAATTCGACGAGATATTATCTGAGATTATAATTGCCAAGGAGCTGCACGATCTGAGGGTGAATAAAATTAATAGGACTGACGGTTTTGTAGAGGTGAAGAATATCCGTTGCCTCCGGGGGAGGTATCCAGATAAATTGGTGAATCTCTGGGAAATGTACGACGAGGAGAAGAATTCTGAAAATGACTGTCCCAGTATGTTCAAGGACGATCAGCTGTACATTGCCCTCGAGCTTGGCGATGGTGGAAAGGATTTAGAGGCGTTTATCTTTCAAAATGCGAGTGAAGCTTTCTCATCGTTTATTCAGACTGCCCTGACCCTGGCTGTTGCTGAAAAATCCATGGACTTTGAGCACCGGGACCTCCACTGGGGGAACATCCTCATATCACGAACGAACGATAAACTCGCGAGCTACAAATTAAATACCGAAGAAATCACATTCCCCTGTCAAGGGATTAAAGTCTCGATCATCGATTTTACATTCTCTCGGATGTCTTACGAGGGATGCTGTATATTCAATGATCTAGCACTCGATCCATCACTCTTCACTGCTGTTGGAGATTATCAGTTCGAGATCTACAGGCTCATGAGGGCACAGGTGAAGAACACCTGGCAGGTCTTCCAGCCCTACACCAATCTACTCTGGCTCCACTACTTGATCGATAAAATGATTACTGTAGTTCGATACAAGAGAACTGGAAGCAAAATCCATCAGAATCATATTTCGAAGTTCCAGGAGTTGAAAAAAGTTATTTTGGATTATGACAGTGCCTTCGACTTTGTTTATAATTGTCAAATTGTCAAGGACGCATTGAAAATTCGGTGACTCGCAGAGACTAGATGAATAAATTTGCGCTAATGAGAAAAATTTTCGTGGATTCTAAGACTTGGTGATTATTATTGATAATTTTTGGAAATTTTTGGAAAATTTTGAATTTTCAAATTTCAGTGAATACCTCTTCTCTTGGAGATGGAATAAATCATAGTTCTAGGGAAGAATAATAACCCAAATATTTATTTTCCATTTACTGTGAATATTTATCCTTTAACAATGCTCCTAAACAACAAATCCGTGTAAACAATTCACATTTTTTACTTTAAAATTGGGCACGCAAAAGTCGGAATAATTTCCAACAACACACGCGTTTTAAAGAATTCGTAGAAAACCTTTCACGCTTCTCAAATAAAAATCCACGTGATTTCTAATAGAATTCAATAGAAATTTTAATTAAGATTTCTATTAGAAACACCAACGCGAAAACCGTGAGGTTTTTCCATCGAATCATTCAATACGTGCAAACGAAAAAAAAAAAATGGATTACTGTAGTTTTTAATGTGTCGATGCTACACGATGAGAAGATTATTCATAAAGTGATGGTGTTGAAATGAACTGGATAATTACAAATGGTATAAACTACACCTCAGCATCCACTAATTTGAGAAATGTTCGATTAATTCCATCCACATTATCCTTCTCATCCTCACAGGTAGCATTTAAATCGGGGGGACGGTGGTTTTCTTTATTACAAAAAACACTTGATGTATTTTACTCATTACGGTCTAATTTACCTCTTCTCTTTGAAAAATCGAATTTATTTTGTCTCTCGAAGTAATCAGATGAATCACGTAATATGTACATGCTTTATGCTGTTGATCTTCTCTGTGGCTTCTGTCCCTTGACGACTGACGGCTTACCCTTGATGAAGCCCTTCCTGCGCTTTGCCGTCTGAAACAATCAGTGACGCACCCCCCAGAACTATTAACAACGTTTGCATACAAATCTGTCTCTTAAAAATAAAATAAATATAAACGATACGAAAGGGACGAAAAAATAACTCGTCCCTTTTTTTTTCAATCGCTGATTAATCAGTAATACAAACCTTTTTACTATGATAACTGCTACTTGGCCGAGCAATTGTGCGCTCGGACAGTGGAATACGAGGGCGATTGAATTCGTCAGGCTTTTTCACCCTGAAACACGAAAATTTTTATTTAAAACTCATTCATAATAATAAAGAACTTGCCCAGCGATCAGGCAAAAAAAAATTCTTTGAATCCCAATAAAAAAAAACCTCACCTATAAATTCTAACGAGCCAGTGTTCCGTAGTGTAGGCCTCTTCCAGGTACGTAAGTTTGAAATTTTTATTTCCTATCTCAGCATTCCTAGTACGATCATAACCCGCAGGTGATCTATAATCAATGGCAACTTCTCCAAATCGATAATAACTCAACTTATACATGAGAGAATTGAGTAAAGTGGGTGATCCCTGTGAATCGACCCTGAATTCTCCCCTCTCGGTGAAATAATCGCTCTCCCGAATGTCCTGTGGATGTTCCCCCTCAGCGATCCTGACCATCCAGAGGAATTTATTGATATCATCCCCAGAATATCCAATCATTCCCCCAAAGATGACGAGCACGTAGTCAACATCAAGAGAAGTCATAATATCATATGCTTTGTCCTCAGTGGAGCTCATGGCCTTGCCTACGAGAGCAATATGTGAATTATTCCAAGTGTTATTATCGACTAGAGTCGTTCTATTGGCCATTCCAGCGATCTGATACCCATAATCCCACCAGCTCATCACCCTGGCATCACTATGGGTGTTCTGTGCTAACCAGTAATAAGCCTCTCTGAAATCATCGAGAATACTCCTGCCACCATCATTGCTGTATGATGCCAGGACAATAGAGGGACTGGAATAGGCATTGCTGGTTACCCAGGTGCAGTGAACAGTGAACATCATGAGGAGCATGAGAATTCCAATGACAACTCCATTCCTGAGATTTGCCCCGAGTCCATCGCCATTGCCCTTGGGCCTCTCGTGCTTCATTCTCCTCAATTTTCCAGCTTTATCATAGAGTCCTCTTCCAGGACTCCTCTCTCTTTCTGCTTCACTCTCATCCTCGCTGCTCTCTCCTCCATCCCTGTCACTGCTCTCTCGATCTTCCTCTTTGAAATAGAGCTCGAGGAGTCCACTGAAGGCAACACTAGCCAGCATACACACGACTGGAGTCAGTGTCAGCATCAATCTCACCATTACACCAGCAAAGTAGACAGCACTGAGGGCATAGAGAATGATGAAGACCCTTTCGTCGTTTATTCTCTTGATGCAGTACCAGAGACCCACTGGGAACGTTGTCACCAGGATGTGGAGATCGAAGAAGAAGCTGAACCAGGTGGTTGGCTGGTGCTCAGACACCGAGGCTATTATTGGAATGTGAATTTTTGCATAACCAGTGTCCCAGAGACTGTAGAATCTACCACTCCAGGGGGCCACGACACCAGCATACGTCAGAGATATCAGGGCTAGCAGAAGGATAACAGCTGTTGCTGCTACTATTCCACCGAAGTATTTCATCTCTGATTTAGTGAGAACTGTTCGAAGATACCTCAGGGTTGCTATGAAGATGAGCAGTCCGAAGACACCACCCGCCGCCATGTGCTCAGACGTTCTGATCGGTTGAAAACCTACGAAGGGTATCTGCATGCTGAGTAACAGCCCCAGGATGTAGAATGTCGTGTAGCTGACGAATAATCTATTGCTGTAACGATTCATGATGAGAAGTATAAAAACGTGGAATGGAATGAGATTGATGATGAAGACGTATCCTCCCCAGGCTGATACCATGTAGAAATAGGACAGGGCTGTCATAGCAGCCCAGAATATCGAGCCTGACTTAACGGATTTAACCCAGAGATAGTACGTGAATTGCAGAGCAAAAATGGCTATTCCCTCGTTGTCGTAACTACCAGCAACTGAACGGGATATGTAACCTGGTACAATAGCTATGAAACACGCTGCAAATAGTCCAGCTCCAGCACTCCATAATTCTTTAGTCAGGAGATACGTGGATATTGCTGTTAGGCCACTGAAGACTGGCGCCAGAAAGACACATATATCTCTTATGTGGACTGGAATGTTGAGTGAATGCAAAATGTAGTGGATCGAACCCGATGTTATCATCAGCCCCGGGTACACTGTACCACCGACTATACGCCCCAGGGGATACCATGCACGCTCGTCAAACCAATTTAAAAAATTGTAGAAACCATGCTGCACCATGTAGGCTGTTGCCCTGTAGTTGAACCTGAATCGTCAAATCAAGAATTAATAAAAAAAAAAAACAATTGCCGGATTTTAAACTTTAAATATATTTGAATTTACTGAAGGGGATGTAAGGGGGGGAGGTAAGGGGATTGTTGTAAGGACCTTTTTTGTAGCTCTTCATCTGCTGCAGAAAAAAGGTCCTGAGGACAATTTCGATTTGTTCGTCAGGTTCAGAGATTTTCGTTGGAAACATGAATGAGACGAAATGGAGTCCATGATTTTTTCTTATTTTATTGGGATTTGTGTTGGTTTTAATGAACCATAAGGCCCTATTATCCTTACCATGGGTCAAACTCATGGATGATACTCTCAAATCGTATGACTGCGAATAATCGCGATGCAAATCCCGATATCCACGCCAACAGGAGTACAGTAAAAGTAATGAGTGAAATCAAACCAGCAGCATTGGTCAACGTGGACGACTTCATCTGTTTAGATGTTGGCTTTTTATCAGGAAACATGACCTTCTTAGCTGCCTGAACATTACCACCACCCGGTTTTCCCCGCATCATGATTCAATTCCTTCAGGAAGATGAAAATTACAATGATTTGTTTATTTAACGTTGCGATGTCGTTGGACGATCATTTGCTGAATATTTGTCGATTCTCAGTCATTTATGGAGTGAGAAATGGTTTTGATGGACACGTAGGTAATTTTTATCTATGTTAAAACGCACCACTGAGCACTGTCGATGTACCGAACCAACCCGACACCGACCAGCCGCCTCCAGCTAGGCTAGGACACGTCAAAAGCCGGGTACAGGGAATCCAATCGCTTCGTAACAAATCCCCAGACCCTAGAGACTTTTACTTATCAGTCATTGTTACCCAACAGGCGGGAAAATTCAATAATGGCAACAGGTCATTCAATCCTTGTGGAATTTCAAATGGAAGAAATTATTCAATATTTTGAAGATATACTACTAATGAAATTATATTTTTATAATAAGCGCGTTGTTTACTGGATAATGTGCTTGGCTAGCACGCCTACGGCTGGGGTTCGATCCCGCCAGCATTCATTTTTTTTTTTCAAAATAATTTTAATTTTTTTTTTGTAAATGGCTAATCAATGAAAATACCGTTTAAAAACTGAATATTTGAAAATCGAAAAGATATCCAGTGAAATTGCAAAATTAGCAATTTTTTAAAACGATACTTTTGCAATATATATACTCCTAATGAAATTTTTATATTGTAATTATGCGTTATCCTAGCGGTAACGTGCTTGGCTAGCACGCCGACGGCCGGGGTTCGATCCCGCCAACATTCATTTTTTTTTTTAAATAATTCCTATTTTCTTTTTGTAAATGACTAATCATTCGAAATATTGTTTAAAAATTGAGTACCTCCTCGACGTTCATGTTCCCCTGATACTTTTTCAAAACTTTCGAAAAATTTTAAATTTCAAGTTTTAAAATGTAGAATTTTCACGCCCAGTGAAATACAGACCGTCGGTAATGCGATAAGTATAGAAATTGAAAAATTCGAAATTTTTGAAAAAGTATCAGGAGAACATGACAATCGAGGAGCTATTCACTGAAATTTTCACTGAAAGTGAAAAATTCGAAATTTTTGTAAAAGTATCAGGGGAACATGACAATCGAGGAGCTCGTCACTGAAATTTT